CCATTGTGAGTCATGAATAGGTTGACTGTAAGGAGGGTGACTGTAAGGAGGGTGAGTGTGAGGAGGGCGAGCGCAAGGAGGGCGAGTGTAATGGGGTGAGTGTGAGTTTAAGGCGGGAAATTTCAATGGTGTGAGAGTGAGTGTATAGAGCACAAGGTAAGGAGGCCGAATGAAGTGTGATAGCGAGGGATCATATGCAACGAGCGAAGACCTTCTTTCTTTTGCACAGATGTGTCCTTGTCACAAACGGCCGTTTGTTTTTCCTGACCTGACCTGCCCTTTCCTCCTTGTGTGACCCGCCGTATCCTCCCCATACTTCTCACCTTATCCTCTTCTGTGTGGTCCCATCCAGGTCAATGCTGCAAACGAGGGAGTTCTTGGTGGGGGCGGGGTGGATGGAGGTGAGTGGCGCGGGAAAGAATGGTTGGAGCAGTTTATCTGTCAAGCTGCCGGCAGATAAACGCCTGTCGAGCTGACTTTCTTTTGTGTTGTCCCTACGGCTAACTCTTCTGCTGTCGCTCTGCACTGGTTTTGCCTTACTGAATTGTTTCTTCTCCTCTCCCACTGTTCTCCTTCCTCTGTCCTCCGCCCTCCAGCCATCCACAGGGCAGCAGGCCCAGCCCTCAAGAAGCTCTGCTATGATCTGCCCGTGCTGAGGTTTGGCGTTCGCTGCGAGACAGGGGATGCTGTGACCACAGGGTGAGTGAGTCCATCATACTCCCATTGAGCATCTGTTTTTGCTTCCATTCGTTCCAGGCACCTCAGAAGTCGCTGCAAAACAGGTGAGTCAGTCACCACAGGGTAAGCATGCCTGCCAACGCCCGTTTTAGCTCCTCAGGTCCACCACAAGGCATGTGGATCCCCATCCCATCATTCGTTTTCCAAGGGGCCCGCCATGGGGTATCTGAAGCAGCTCACTGCCAAGGCTCCCATTCCATCCCAAACGTGTCCCATCCCGTCATTCTTTTCACGGAGCAACTGCCTGCCCGACAGCTCTTCTATTCCATCACTTGATTTAATTTTTTAGTCGACTCAAAAATTGCCTGGCAGCGCTTCTATTCCATCACTCGTCGAGCATGTTTATCCGTTTCTCCTCCCTTGCACCCACCCTATGTCGACTTCACACTGCAGAGCTGCCAAGCTGCCAGTGCGTTATGTGATCCATGCGGTGGGGCCAGTGTACCAATCAGAACGCGTATCAGCACCCGTGCTAAAGAGTGCCTACAGGTGCGTTGCCTTTGAGGATTCTTCGAAGCGGTGGGGCTGAGGGAAACAAGCAGAATGTGTATCAACGCCTGAGGATTCTTAAGAATGCTTACACGTATGCTGCGTCTGAGGATTCCTCAAAGCAGTAAACCAAAATACACGTCAGAAAACATATCAGCGCCCCTGCTAGAAAGTGTGGTGGCGCGTCTACATGTACGGTGCTTTTGTAGAATTCTTGTGGTGGGGACAAGTCAGAATTTATCGCCCCTTGACCCCCACTGTCCCCATAGCGCATCCTTTCCCTTCTATTCTCCTTTTTTGAAATTACATTTTCCTTTCCCTTGACCCCCACTGTCCCCATCTTTCGTTTCCCACTCCTAGCTGTCCCAGATGCAAGTCTGACCCACACTTGAATCACTTAACTGCATGCTTTTCTCTCCCTTCTGTTTCCTCCACACAGGAGCATATTGAGGGAGGCCAACAAATGCCAGATTAAATTCGTCGCCATATGTGCTATATCATGCGGCATATTTGGGTAAGCAATTCTTTTCCCCGATATGACCGTGTATGCGCTCTCCTCGCGTGGCTTATCCACTATCAGAATCGTTTAAGTGAAACCACTCAAGCCACTCGGGCCATCATAATTTTTTTGTCTGCTGAAGCCTATACCATCAGGCTTCGTGTGCAGTGCACTACACCTGATATGTCTTCTCTTCCCCTCCTTTGAGTTGCTTCACAGACTTTGTATCCCTTCCTCCCGCCTTCGTTATGTATGATCCCTCTATTGCTGTGTTTGCCTCAGCTACCCCCCTCAAAAGGGCGCCCAAGCAGCAATCGAGGTCTTGTGCAGCGAACCATGGGGATCTGTGCAAGAGGTACTTTCTGAATGAAATCCTGTGTGTGATGAGCTGATATTTTAGCCGATTCATGAATCCCGTACTCTTTTTTTCTTGGTTTGTTTGTTTGTTTTTTTTTCCCCTTTTCCTTTTGTGGTACTTTTTTTTCCCAGCCACTTCTGTGATGTGATGTGATGTGGCTTGCAGTTCCAACCTGCTGGTGTTTGCTGCTGCTGGTGGATCATGTGCCAACCTGAATATATCTTGACACTCATCCTATTCCCTACCTTCGCCTGCCAACAGGTGCATTTTGTCCTATTTGAACCTAAAATTCTCAATGACTGGCTTGCTGCCATCCGTGCTGCCAAACTGCCACAGCTGCTGCTGCATCCGCCACCACCTCAACAGCCAGCACCACCCAAACAGCCATCGCCACCGACGCCACACCAGAAACTGTTGCCGCAGCAGCGGCCATATGAGTCGACAGTGCAGCCGTATGCAAAGCAGGCGGAGAAAGGGCAGGTGAAAGAGGGGATTGGGAAGAAGGCAGCAGTGCAGGAGCCGCCGAAGCAACAGCCGTATGAGTCGGGCCAAAAACATGCGAAGCAGGCAGCAAGAGAGCCGGTTGGGAAGAAGGCGAAACAGGAGATGACAGAGGTGCAAGGAGCAGCAACAATTCCTGCACGCCAGGAGGAGAATGAGCAAATGGGACTTAAGCTAGGGCTGTACAAGTCGACAGTGCAGCAGCCGTCAAAGCAGGCTTTGAAAGAGGGGATTGGGAAGTTGGCGAAACAGGAGGTACGAGGAGCAACAGCAATTCCAGCACGTCAGGAGAACACAGAAAAGAAGCAGTCAGACGCAATTGAGAAGCAGCAGCCTCAAAAGCAATCCCAGAAGCTGGAGCAGCAGAAGCAGTCTCAGAAGGTGATGCAGCAGGAGCAGCAGCAGCAGCAGCAGGAACAGTTTCAAAAGAAGATGCAGCAGCAGCAACAGAATCTGTCTCAGCAGCAGCAGCAACAGCTAGATACTTCCCAGAAGAAGCTTGGGCCTTCGTCTGCACCTGCCTCTGCCTTTGCACCTTCCCAGCAGCAGCAGATTCAGCAGCAGCAGCAACAGGAGCAGCCTCAGAAGCTGTCTCGGCAACAGCAGCAACAGCTAGATACTATTCAGAAGCAGCTTGGCCCTTCGTCTGCCCCTGTCTCTACACCTTCCCCTGCTCCTGCCCCTCCCCCTGCTCCTGCCCCTCCCCTTGCTCCTGCCCCTCCCCTTGCTCCTGCCCCTCCCCCTGCTCCTGCCCCTCCCCCTGCTCCTGCCCCTTCCCATGCTCCTTCCCCTGCCACTGGCTTAGCCACACTGCTGTGTGATGGGGATGGGCAGGTGCAGGGAAGGGGAGCGAATGGGAGGAGGGAGGGGATGGAACGAGAGAAAGGAAAGGGGCAGGAAGCTGCTGGTGGTGGAGGGAAGCAGGGTGATTATAATAAGGGTGATATTGGCATGACTGACATGAGGGGTGGTAACAGCATGGGTGGAAGCGCTGGTGATTGTGTGCGGGACGGCGATGGGGATGTGGTGATGAGAGGCAGTAACTTAGTCGAGGAAGCAAACTTGCTGCATCTGGAGGATGAGGACGAGATAGTATGGGCTGCAAAGAACAGGGAGGCGGGGAAAACAGAGGACACGAATCCATGGGGAACGGGAAGCAGGAAGGTGTTGGGTGGTGAGGAAAGGTTGCTGACTGTTGAGAAAAAGGTGGGTGGTGGGAGTGGAAGGTCTTTTGATAGTTGGGCTGCTGTTCTAAATGCTTCTCCGAATTCTCCTCCGCCTGCCTCTCTGACTGCTGCATCTTTTGAGGTGCCTCAAGATTCGACTGGTGAAAAGACAGAGAAAGTGGATTGTGGGAGTGGAGGGCCCTTGGATGGTTGGACTGCTGTGCTAGTTGCTTCTCTGGATATTCCGCCAGCTGCCATTAAAGCCCCTGCTGTACCTCCGGCTGTGCATCTGGGTGTCGCTCAGACCGCCTCTCCTGCTGCCACTCCTGCTGCCTCTCCGGCTGTAGCGCCAGCTGCTGCTCCGGATGCTGCCCAGGCTACAGGTCCAGCTGCTGCTTTCACTGCCACACCAGTGGTAGCTCCAGTTGTAGCTCAGGCCGCTGCTACAGCTACAGCTCCAGCTGCTGCTACAGCTACAGCTCCAGCTGCTGCTACAGCTACAGCTCCAGCTGCTGCTACAGCTACAGCTCCAGCTGCTGCTACAGCTACAGCTCCAGCTGCTGCTACAGCTACAGCTCCAGCTGCTGCTACAGCTACAGCTCCAGCTGCTGCTACAGCTACAGCTCCAGCTGCTGCTACAGCTACAGCTCCAGCTGCTGCTACAGCTACAGCTCCAGCTGCTGCTACAGCTACAGCTCCAGCTGCTGCTACAGCTACAGCTCCAGCTGCTGCTACAGCTACAGCTCCAGCTGCTGCTACAGCTACAGCTCCAGCTGCTGCTACAGCTACAGCTCCAGCTGCTGCTACAGCTACAGCTCCAGCTGCTGCTACAGCTACAGCTCCAGCTGCTGCTACAGCTACAGCTCCAGCTGCTGCTACAGCTACAGCTCCAGCTGCTGCTACAGCTACAGCTCCAGCTGCTGCTTTGTTTGCTGCTCTTGCTTCCACTCTTGCTGCTGCTCAAGGTGCCTCTCCCACTGCAGCTCAATATGCTGCTCCGGCTGCTAAAGGTGCGGCTGTGGCTTTAGCTCCACCTGCTGCTATGACTGCCGCCCCAACTTCCACTCCAGCTGCTGCTCAAGCTTCATCTCCTGCTGCACCTCCCTCGGTTAATGTAGGCAACAGTGGTTGGAGTGGAAACATTGTTGCTGGCTGGGATAGCAGCAGTGCTCCTGGTATGGGCTGGGGTTGTTACCGCAGAGAGTGCAGGGAGCGCGAGCCTGGTCGGGGGAGGAATAATCCCACTAATATGGTTTTCGGCAGCTGTGTCTCTTCTGGGAAAGTGGAGGGACGTGGTGTTGAGAGGTCCCTTGGTTCATGGGAAAGAAAGGCAGTTGGTGGTGAGGCCGCAACAACTGGTGGTGAGGCTGCAACAACTGGTGGTGAGGCAGCAACAATTGGTGGTGAGGCAGCAGCAATTGGTGGTGACCCAGCAATGGGTGGTGGTGACCCAGCAATGGGTGGTGGTGACGCAGCAATGGGTGGTGGTGACGCAGCAATGGGTGGTGCTGACGCAGCAATGGGTGGTGCTGACGCAGCAATGGGTGGTGCTGACGCAGCAATTGGTGGCAGTGACGCAGCAATGGGTGGTGGTGTCGCAGCAATGGCTGGCGGTGATGTATCAGCATGTGCACGAGCGAAAGAGGCATCAGCAGCGGCGATAATATCAGCAGATATATCACCACTAGCATCAGCACAAACAGAGACATATGGGGCAGCAGCTACAACAGCAGATACATCACCACTAGCACCACCAGAATCTCCAGCACCAACGCCAGCAGCGCCAGCAGCACCAGCAGCGGCACCAATACCACCACCAGCACCACCAATACCGCCACGAGAAGAGGCAGCAGTGACCATTGCATCTGATGCTGCTGCTGCTGCTGTTCCTCCTTCTGCCACTGCTTCTGAGGATGCTGCTGTTGGTTTCGCAACTGCCACTCCTGCTGCTGGCCAATCCGCTCTTGCTGCAGGATTTTCTTTGTTTCCAGCTGCTGTAGATTCTTCTAGTTCTGCACTGGACCCAGCTTCGGTTGCTGCATCAGTCTCCCCCGTAGCTGCCTGTCCTAATTCAGAGAATCTGGACTTGGGAGATGCTGCTTCTCCTGATTCAGTGAATCTGGACATTGGAAGTGCCAGTGGGGATACTGGAAATGGAGGGAGCTGGGAAATGCTCTCATGTGAGGGAAAGGGAAGGGGACAGTTGGAGGAGCAGCAGCAAGGTGTGGAGAAGAGGGGAAGGGAGGGGGAGTTAGAGGAAGGAGAAGTTGGAGAAGAGGAGGTGGGGGAGGGATGTGATAAGCAGGGAGAGGAGAGTTCTGAGGAGGAAAAGAAATCTGCTCCAAAAGAGAAACTGTCCAAACACCAGCAGAAGAAACAGAAGAAAGGCAGGAAGAAGAATAAGAAGTAGAGGGGGTATTGAGGCGTCCCTACTTTTGTGAATATGTAGTAAATACGTAGTGCAACTTTACCCTGGTTTTTTGCTGTTGTTTATCTGCCTTTTCAGCCCGTTGCAAAGGTATTGGTGGAGATGGTCAATTTGCAGAAACCATCCCTGGGAAATGCTACTATTGTTGCATGCTCTGACATTCCCAAAACGAGTACAAATTCGGGAAACTCGGAAATGATTTCCCACTGATTTATATGCGATCTAATACACTGACCACGCCTGGCTGTCTCACGCCTTTACCGCGCCGCTATAACGCCGAATTCAGGCTTTGCTAGTTATTAGTACTCGCGCCTAGTAGTAATGTCCACCATCACCCATCGCGAGTCGTGTAACATGGCCGTCGAGGCAGCTTGCATCGTTCCTCGGGTCGCGTGCATTCCACATACCGCCGTTGCAGAGCCTAGGCTCCATCAATGGCTGGAATTTGGTTTGGTTTGGTGTGGCGTGTCAATACGCACGCCTTATTTTCAAGGCGCCTAAAAAATAGAAAAAGCGTGATGGACATTAAAAACGTCCTCAGCGCCATGCGTCGTGCCTCGTGCCTCGTACACCACAATCCCCATCGTACCATCGTAACATAATGCATCGAACATATGAAACGTAGAGGTCCGAACCGCGAAAGCCTATGCGTGAGAGTCGGGCTCTCACTTGCTTTCGCGGCTCGGGCATACTCACGACGACACGAAAATTCTTTCGGGATGAAAGTTCTCCCTCGGAATCCTTGCATGCTCCAGCCGCGAAAGGATATGCAACGCCGCCCGCTGCATGGCTGCGCCGGCCATTTTCTAGGCAGACTAAACAATCCAGTGCATGGCCGCGCCGCGGGCCGCAGCTAGTCGAACTCCAAAACCCGAACGGTAGTCCGAGATATTTAAGCGGTTGAGAAGTTGTAAGTGTCAGAGCAGCGGCCTATCCTAAGCTGGCGACAGGATCTCCCAATCTGCCTGAACCCCGAAGTGTCTGACCGACGCCATGGCTTCCAATCAATCCGATTCATCTCCTCCGGCTGTCTCTGCTGCTGCTTCTTCTCCTGCTGCCTCTGCTGCCGCATCTGCTGCTGTTAGTGAGGTCCGGACTCCTATCCCCCACCTGCCTCTCCCTTCATACACCGTCCACCAGTCTCAGGGGAAACTCTTTTCTGACACTGCTGCGTTTGCAATTCCACCTCCTCCTCCCCTTGGTGCTGCTCGTGCGTCTGGTCACCTAGTGCTGGTGGTGCATCGGGGGGATATCACCAAGTGGTGTGTGGACGGCGCAAGTGATGCCATTGTGAGTGAGTGTGTGACCAGGTGAGGTAGAGCAAGCAAACTCCCACTCTCTCTTCCGCTGCTGCTTCTGGTGGTCACCTAGTGCTGGTGGTGCATCGGGGGGATATCACCAAGTGGGCTGGGATATCACAAACGAGAGGGCTCCAGGCTGGGCTGGCTTTTGAGTCGACTCAAAAGTCACCTCGTTCCACCACCTCCTCTCTCTCCTCTCCTCGTCCGTTCTCGTGTGGCTGGCAGGCTAATACCACAAACGAGAGGGCTCCTGGCTGGGCTGGCTTGGATGCAGGTGAGATGAGAGAGAGACGTCGGGAGAAGGGGGGAAGAGGAGTTGGAAGAAGGGTAAAAGATCAGGAGAGAATGGTGGGCGGGGGAAGGGAGAGATCTAGGGAGCTAGATGTTTCTTATATCTCTCTTACATCCCCCCCCCCTTTCCCTCTCACGTTTTCACTCACGCCCACTCTCTCCTTCCCTTCCTCTCCTCCCTTCACCCGCCCTCGTGCTATCTCCCTTCTCTCTCACCCTGCCATCCACCTGCCCTCCCTCCCTCCGTTTCGCCTTCCACCCAAAAAGTCCATCCCACCTGAAAGGTTCAAACGATTCTGCCCATATATTTTGCAGCTCCCCCCAACCTGTGCCCAACCTAACGATTCTCTTGCACCTGTGCCTCCACCTCCACTCCCTCCCTCAGCTTTGTTTCTCTCTTTTCCTTCCGAACCTCTCCCTCTCCCTCCGTTCCTACTTTCTCGGTTTCTTTTTATGCCTCGACTTTCCTTCTTCTTCTCACCGTTTCCTTCTGATTTCCATCTCTCCCCTCCCTGTTATCCCCTCTCCTTCCAGCCATCCACAGGGCAGCAGGCCCAGCTCTCAAGAAGCTCCGTTTCAACCTGTCTTCTCATCCCCCTGCCCCGCCTCTACTTCTTCTCTCCAACCCTCTCCCGCTGGTCCCACCCTCGTCCTCCTTCCAGCCATCCACAAGGCTGCAGGCCCTGCCCTCAAGAAGCTTTGGTTTGATCTGCCGATGCTGAGGAATGGCATTCGCTGCGAAACAGGAGACGCTGTGGCCACAGGGTGAGTGATCACCATGATCACCTGGGCTGGGATGCTGTGACGTGACGAGATGTGATGTGATGTGATGTGATGTGATGTGATGTGATGTGATGTGATGTGATGTGATGTGATGTGATGTGATGTGATGTGATCACCTGGGATGATGTTATGTGAAGATTCTTACTCTGCAGCAAATTCTCTGCCGTTTCCGACGTTTTCTAGCCGCATTGTTAGTTGTGCCTTGAGGCATCGGAAATCACGCTGAGGTGCATTGAACCTGCCTTTCTGATTCGATGCACCGCTCCTGCCCACCTGCCTCTTCGCCTCTTCCCCTCTCTCCTACCTGCCTCCCCACCTCTCTCCTCTCCTCTACCCACCATATACCCCCCCTCCCCCTTGTAGCGCTGCCAGCCTGCCAGTGCGCTGCATGATCCGTGCGTGGGGCCAAGGTGCCACGTGCATCATTACTGTTTGCTTTGCCGTAGGATCTCTCACCTGCGCTACACATTTCTTGTCTCCTCTACCCACCTTGTACCTCCCCTGTACAACCCCCCTGCAGTGCTGCCAACCTGCCAGTGCGCTGTGTGATCCATGCGGTGGGGCCTACGTATCATTCAGATCTTGTGTCAGCGCCCCTGCTGAGGAGCGCCTACAGGTGAGTTGAGGGAGATTCCATTTCAAGTGGTGAGGTCAGAGATACCATTCCAAATCTTCTATCAGCACCCCCTCCCCTTCCCCCCCTTCACCTTCCTCCGCCCCTTTTCCCTCCCCTTCCCCCCCGCCTCCTCCTCGTTCCTCCTCTTTGAAGCAAGAGTTTTTCTTGACTCCTCTGTCCTTCCCCCCTCTCACCCTACCCATGCATCCGCCCTCACTTACTCTCACCCACTCTCACCCACCCTCACTCACTCCACCCACTCGACAACATGTTTTCTCTACCTTCGTTTTCTTTTGCAGGAGTATTCTGAGGGAGGCTAACAAGCATTCAATCAAGCACATCGCCATACCTGCTATATCATGCGGCATTTTGGGGTATGGCTATTCTTTCCCCTGAGTGTCCGTATGTGTGCAGTTCTCTAGCAGAGTAGTTATCCAAATTATTCAGCTTATTTTTGGATGTATGTGCGTTGTTTTTAATACTTTTTTTTCTTCAACTCGTATATAGAATAGTGTGTTCTCATTTCCTCTTTATCTCCATCAGTTCTCTCCTCATTATGTATGCTCTGTATGCTCCTTCCATTGCTGTGCTCTCCCCAGCTACCCCCCTACAAAGGCCGCCCAAGCAGCAATCGAGGTCTTGTGCAACGAACCATGGGGGTCTGTGCAAGAGGTACCTTTTTTTTCCTTCTCCTCTTCCTCTTCCGTGCAAGAGGTACCTTCAATTTCCAATCGCTGCATACCCCTCCTCTTCCAAAGCCTTATTCAGTCGTATTAGAGTCAAAGTAATCCCAGAAGTGAGAAAGCATGGGGGTTTGTGCGAGAGGAAACTCCTTTTCCTTCCCCTCTCCTAGCTTCTCCCATTGCACTCTTCCCTTCTCCCTTGTCCTTGCTCTCTTTGTCCTCTCTTTGCTGCCATCCAAGGGAATGGTTTGCAGGGTGTCTGCCGTGACGATATGGAAAACGGCAGTGTGGCACGTAAGCGTTAACAAGCATTTGCAGGGTTTGTTTTTAGCCCTGCCTGTCGATGACAGGGTGGACGCTCAGCCAAACCCAATTCTGGCAGTGCGGATCCAAAATTTCACCCTGAAATGCAGGGCAAACAGGGTAAAACGCCCTGCAATCCTGAGGCCTGCTGCCATCCATGCCGCCAACCTGCCAAAGCTGCTGCTGCGGCTACCACATTAAGTTCTGCGCTCTGTGTTCCGTTGCTACTCGCCCTCCTCCACAGGTGCTTTTTGTCCTGTTCGTCAGTAAGATACTGAACGTCTGGCTTGCTGCCATCCATGCTGCCAACCTGCCACAGCTGCTGGTTGCCCTGTCCCTTGTGCTCCCATGCATACCTACCCTGCCCACAGGTGCAGTTTGTGCTTTTTGACAGTAAGATACTGAACATCTGGCTGTCCGCTATCCATGCTGCCAACCTGCCACAGCTGGCGCTGCATCGACTACCATCGCAACAGCCACAATCACCAGTCCTGCCGCAGCAACTGCGGCCTCAGCAGCGGGCGTAGGAGCTGGCATAGCGGGCTTTATGCGCTGGCACAGTAGGCGTTATGAGCTGGCAGCGCGGGCATATGAGCTGGCATAGCAGCCGTTAAAGCAAGCTTTGAAAGAGGTGATTGGAAAAAGCAAAGGAACAATCGTCGGTAACTTCAGTCGGTGTAGCGTACTTGCTGAAGATACAAGAGGAGGTGAAGGAGGAGGAGGACGGGGATGCATGGGGTAATGGTGTCTCTGACCATGATGCTGGTTTTACTTCTCTTGCTGCGGAAGAGGAGGCGGAGAGGGATGGAATGGGTCTGGAGGGGAGAAGAGCGGTGAGAAGGAACATCTCAATCATCAGTTAAGACAATGAACAGTCAAACGTTGCACATTACTTGTCAATAAAGCTGGAAACACAAGCACCTGTCTCATCTGACAAATAACAGAACTCACTCATATTTAACATGTTACTTCCCCTCACCTCTGAAGGCCTCCTGCCACGTCCTACCGGTACTTGTTTTGCAGTACCGGTATCTAAAAACACTATTTATGTCAAGGGAATGCGAGTATGGGAGAAGGGACAGCAAGGTGCAGTAAATGTTGGCAAGACAGTAAACTGAACTACGGAGCATAAACAATCGGAGATGTGTGGACCATGAAACGAGCGAACACTACACTTGCGCATCCCCTAGCAAGGCTGAAATCCGCCCAACAGAAGCAGCATCATCATCAGCAGCAGCATCCTCAAGACACCACTTTCCAGCTCCCGGTGACCCTACCCAAGCCCAGCAGCACCAGGACAACGCAGCGGTAGCATCAGATCCAAGCAACAGCAACAGAAGCAGCGAACTCCGGGACTCGCTTACGCTTGCCCCGCAGCAGCCGCCACCTCCGCAGCGAAATCCGAAACCTTCTTCTCAATCCCCTCCCCGAGCGTAAACCTCTCAAACCGTCTCACGCGGATATTCTCCCCGAGAGCCGCCACCACCTCCTTAACCACCTCCTTCACCGTCACCTTATCATTCTTAATAAACGGCTGCTCCAGCAGAGCCAGCTCCGAGACACGCTTCGCCAGCCGCCCGTCCACAATCTTCCCGCGCACGGCCTCGGGCTTGCTCGCCAGATCCTCCTTGCCCATCTCAATCTCCCTCTCCTTTGCCAGCCAGGCAGGATCCACATCCTCCTCACTCACCACCTGGACTCCCGGGCACGCCACGACCTGCATCGCTAGGTCGTCGACTAACTCCCGGAACTTCTCCCCCCGCGCGACAAAGTCCGTCTCGCAGTTGATCTCGATCAGCGCGCCGATGCGCCCGTCGTGAATGTAGCTTCCCACGATGCCCTCCGCTGCGATGCGCGACGCCTTCTTGTCTGCGCTAGCCAGCCCCTTCTTGCGGAGGAGCTCCCGGGCTGAGTCCACGTCTCCCCCGGTGGACTCGAGGGCCTTTTTGCAGTCCATCATGCCGGCGCCGGTGGCGTCCCGAAGCTGCTTCACCGCAGCCATAGACACGGCGACCTTGGGCTTGTCGGCCGCAGGCTCGGGCGCAGCTTCGGCGGCAGGAGCGGCGGCAGGGGCGGGGGCAGCGGGAGCAGCAGGAGCCTGCACCTGGCTGGCCGCGGCAACCTCCGCTGCGAAATCAGCCGATTTCTTCTCAATCCCTTCCCCGAGGTTGAACCGCACGAAGCGGCGGATGCGAATGTTCTCCCCGAGAGAAGCAATCGCCTGCTTCACCACATCCTTAACCAGCACCTTATCATTCTTAATATACGGCTGCTCCAGCAGCGCGAGCTCATTCAACCTCTTCGCCATCCGCCCGTCCACAATCTTCCCGCGCACGGCCTCGGGCTTGCTCGCCAGATCTTCCTTCCCCAGCTCCACCTCCCTCTCCTTCGCCACCTGCTCTGCAGGAACATCCTCCACAGATACCACCTCCACCTGCGGACACGCCGCCACCTGCATGCCCAGATCTTCTACCAGCTCCTGGAAAGCACTCCCTCGGGCGACGAAATCCGTCTCGCAATTCACCTCGATGAGAACTCCGATGCGGTCCGAGTGAACGTAGCTGCTGACGAGCCCTTCGGACGCGATGCGGGAGGCCTTCTTGTCAGCGGAAGCGAGGCCCTTCTTGCGGAGGATCTCGCGGGCGGTCTCGAGGTCCCCGTTGGCGTCGGCGAGGGCCTTCTTGCATGCCATCATGCCGGCCCCCGTCTCCTCCCTCAGCTGCTTCACCACTGCTGCTGAAATGCCACCTGTTGGTGCAACCAAAGGTGGAATTGGGGGAAAGGAGTGGGAAAAGAAGCAGGGTAAGGGAGATAGTGAGAGGCCCTTGTGTCTGCAGCACTAGAAAGCCCCTAGGCCCTTGTGGCGAGGCCCTTCTTGCGGAGGATCTCGCGGGCGGTCTCGAGGTCCCCGTTGGCGTCGGCGAGGGCCTTCTTGCACGCCATCATGCCCGCGCCAGTCTCCTCCCTCAGCTGCTTCACCACCGCTGCTGAAATGCCACCTGCTGCTGAAATACCTGCAATGGACGGGGTGGCACGGGGGAATGGGGGAAGATGGGGAGTTCTGAGGGCCTTCTTGCACGCCATCATGCCGGCCCCGGTCTCCTCCCTCAGCTGCTTCACCATTGCTGCTGAAAAGCCTGTAGCAGGGTTCGGAAGGGGTCGGCGTAGGTGAGTGGGGGAGTGGGGGAGTGGGCGTAGGTGGGTAGGGTGAAATGCGAGTGAAAAAGGAACTCTGGAAGAATGAGAAAGTCCAAGGAAGGGGGGATGAGCGGAGGTCTGGGAACGGCAAATCTGGATGTTGTCATCCCTGTGGACCCATGCCTGTGCCCTCGTGCATGTGCCCTCATGCATGTGCCCTCATACATGTGCCCTCATACATGTGCCCTCATACATGTGCCCTCATACATGTGCCCTCATGCATGTGCCCTCGTGCATGTCCCTCATGCATGTGCCCTCGTGCATGTGCCCTCGTGCATGTGCCCTCATGCATGTGCTTTCACTCAAAATCGTGGGCATGTGAAATAGTGTAAACCAAATGGGAGAATAGGGCAGGAGAAGAATAAGAGAGGACAAATCAAGGATGGAGAGGTGGCGAAGGAAAGGAAGAGGAAGTGAGCACTGAAGGAGGAGAAAAGGGGAGAGAGGGGACATGCAGGGGACAGTTCAGGGAGGCGGGTGAAGATATCAACTGTTAGCCCGCCTCCTTGGAGGAGGAAGGCACATATCAACCAGAGAAACGATGTGCTTGTTAGCTTAGTGACCTGCTGGCTAAGGGACGTCTACTGTGGAGCCTGACGGGAGTGGCCAGGGAGCACAGGCGAGAAGCACCCATCTGCGGATGAACTGAAGAAACGTTTAGTTAGTGTACAGGTGAGAATAGGCTGCTGGCTGGGGGGAGAGCTGGGTGACTGCTACAGGTGAAAGGGAGTGAAAGAGAAGATAGGAGTAGAAGAGTAGATAGGTGGTTTTGGCCAAATGGGTGGTACGTGGGTGAGCGGATGCTTTGGGGGGGAAGAGGGATGGAAGGAAAGGCGATGGGAGGAGGGCTGGGACAGAGGTGTAAGGAACGGGCGTGGGGAGACCTTCGCTTGGTGGTTAAGTGAAATCAGGTGTAGACGAAAATACGTTTTCTGCATTATCAAGGTAAAATGTTACACAAAAGGGTCAAAGCAGACAGTCAAGTAGCCTGAAACCCTGAGCCCTAGACAGCAACCCGGCAGCGTGCGAACAGACGCGTCATGCAACTAGCTCCGCTCGCCCTTCTGCACCCTACCCCTTTCCCATCTATTCTCCCCCCTCCCCCCCAACTCGCTACGCTCCCTCCGCTAAAACTACTCACTGCTACCTGCTGCGGGGGTGGCGGCAGGAGCAGGAGCAGGAGCAGCCTCCGCCTCCTTCTTCTCTTCCACAGCCGGGATATCCGCAACCACCACACCCTCCGCCGCTTCCGCAACAGCCTCAGTTGCAGCAGGCTCCGCAGCAGCAACAGCCTCAACAGGAACCGCAGCCGCCTCCTCCTCCACCTTCTCCTCCTCCTTCGCTGCCTCCTCCTCCACAGCAGCCGCCACTGCCTCTGCGGCCTTCTCATCAGCCTCCTCTACTGCCTCCGCCACTGTCTCTACCGTCTCCGCCTCCTCCCCTGACTTGTCCTTCTTCTCCAGCAGCAGAATCTCCTCCTCGGCTTCAGCAGCAGCCGAGGCGCGGCGGGGGGCGTCAGTGACGAGGTTGGCGCGGCGGAAGGCCGCCTCAAAGGGGTTGAGCGCGCGCAGCTCCTCGTCCTGCGGGCTGGTCTCGTTGAAGAGCGTCACCTGATGGGGGGAGAAGGGCAAATGCGATGGTAAGAGCAAGACAGAGAGGGGAAGGCCGCCTCAAAGGGGTTGAGCGCGCGCAGCGCCTCGTCCTGCGGGCTGGTCTCGTTAAAGAGGGTCACCTGATGATGGGGGAAGAAGAGGAATGGGGGAGATACAGAGGTTAGGGCAGGCGGAAGGGGGCAGGAGAGGGGGGAAGCTACAGCAGACCGGCAAAACGACTTGCACCAGGGATACTCGGTAAAAAAATGTAATCAGGCGGGTAGAAAGCCTTGCACAGGCATCACAGGCAAAACAACTCGCACGAGGGGTAGAAGGTTATGGAGGAAGTGGAAGACCAAGAGACTACTTACATCGACCTCTTCCTTCATTGTGAGGCTGATGCGGTTCTTCTGCTCACGGCAATTCCAAGGCAAAAAAAGAGAAAAAGCAAGAGAAGGCATTAAGTGAATAAATCACCATTTGAAATATCTCTTGTCCAAAGAACAAACTCCATAAAGTTGTCTAATATACTCGTTATGTCAATGGCGTTAAGGCGTGAGGGCTGAGGAAAACAGTAGCCGTGTGCAAATGTGCTGACATGTTTACAATACATCTCAACAACTTTTTTTACAAAAGTAAATCCATTGGAAAACCGTCCAAATAGAAGCAAGTATCCATAACAATGCATGTTAGGGGTTTCGCTCCATTTGCTAAACCCTAAACTGTGGTTGAGGACTCACCTCAACCTTGGCGATTGTGACCTCAAGCTCCTGTCCCACCGACACCAGCGACTCCACTGGCACCATGTCGCCTGGAAGGGGGAAGTGGAGGGGGGGAAAGGACGGGAGGAGGCAACGGGTTCATTCATTCATTGCATAGCCTGATTTGAGTTGCATGCTTAATGCAAGACGAGCAGGGGTAGTCCAGACGCGTGTTGGCAGCAACATTCCACCACACGTGGGTTCATTAAAACCCTTAAACGAACTTACCTCCAGGGGCGATCTCGGACGCGTGGAGGAGCCCCTTCACTTTCCCCTCAAGCTCCACGAAGCATTCGTACGACGTGAGATTCTTCACCACGCACATCACCTTTTGCCCCTTCTACCAAAACCTTTCAACTCAACTCAACCACTGACAGAAACAAAACCCTGAAGCGAGCTTACCACCAGGAGCAATCTCGGAGGCGTGAAGGAGCCCCTCGACCTTGCCCTCGAGCTCCACGAAGCACCCGTACGAGGTCAGGTTCTTCACCACGCCCTTCACCTTCTGCCCCTTCTATCAAAACCCCTCAAATTAACGACTGCCAGCCAGACACACAACCTATGCGGGAGCTTTGCTTACCACCAGGGGCGATCTCGGAGGCGTGGAGGAGCCCCTCCACCTTGCCCTCGAGCTCCACGAAGCATCCGTACGACGTCAGGTTCTTCACCACGCCCTTCACCTTCTGCCCCTTCTTGTAGTTATGCGTCGGCTTCTGATCCTCCCGCTGCTGCCTGCGGCCTCTGCCCGCCACCTTGCGCTCGGGAGCGTCCCCCTCCGCCCCGCCCGCGGCCTGGCGGCGCTGCTGCGCCGACGCCTTTCGCTCCGCATCCACCGCCGCCGTCTCCTCCGCCGCCACGCGCTCCGCCTCCGGGTCGCGCATGGTCAGCGCGATGCGGCCAGACTCCTTGCTGGCCTCGATCACTCGGACTGTAACCTCCTGCCCGACGGTTACCACATCCTCCACCTTGTTCACGAAACCCGTCTGCGGCGAAAGAAGCGTGCGAAAGAGGGGGCATTGAGGGTGTCACGATTAACGCAACTTCTAACGACATGTCTCGCCCCCCATTCTTACATCCATTCGTCTCGGTTTCTACGCGCCTCGCAACCTGCGCTATTGATGACGTACAGATGGCGCATGCGCTACGCCTTATTCGAGCTGAATGTGCACGAGGCCATATGTGGAAACAGAGAAAAATAAACTACGTACACAAACTAGCTCCATGTGAATACCGTAGTCATGGCCAGATATGACGTGCAAGACCCGTAATTCTGTACCGCGAACTGGGATACGCGGACGAGGCCGCGGGTGAAAACCAGAAAAATATGAATCTTACTCTGGTGACCGCGAGTCCGTGATTCCGTACCCCATTTTGCAAGCCCCGTAAAAAATCGTACCGCGAGCTGGGAGATGTGGACGAGACCGTCAGTGAACGCGCCAATGTCGACGAAGGCTCCGTACGGCTTCACCGAGCGCTGCAAACAGCACGGAGAACAGAACGAGCACGGAAGAGAAGAACGGTCAGATTCGCACGGATAAACTCTAGCACCGCGCAATCCTAAACATTCAGTAAAACCACGAAAAGCTGGACAGCCATCTCCTAATCGGACCCAAACACGGGAAATGGAAACATTAAGCCTTTTTAACCAACATTTATAAAGCCTACACTAAGGATGGACCAAGAGACAGAAAACCCCGAAACAATGAGCCGAGGAACGGAGGGACACTCACAACTTTGCCGGTGAGCTCTTGGCCGGGCTGCAGATCCTCAACGTTGACTGTAACCTTTCTCCTCCTGGTAGCCCCAGGCCGCGCCTTCCTCTCCTCCTTCTTCTCCTCGGCAGCAGCAGCGGGAGCTTGCTCGGCGGCGGCATCGGTGCTCTCGGGAACAGTCTCAACCGTCTCCTCCACTACGGTCTCTCCCTCCACGCTCACAGCCCTCACACAGGGGAACGACCTGCTGGAGACGGGAAGATGAAGGCTCTTCTGGAAGGAGGCTCTGCGGGGGTGGAGGGAAGAGGGGATGATAAACAAATGATGTTTAATGCCGAATCACGCGAGAGTTAAAAATCTTCTGGAGCTGGACATGAGGAATTAGAATAGCATTGTAGGACTTCCATGCACCATATGTAGCTGCACTGGATTCAAGAATTGTGAAATCTGTGACATTCATTGACCTTGAACTTACAGTGTTGACGTGGAATGACAATTAAACAAACTAAGGCTCCATTTTCCTAAGTGGCGCAAATGAGAACAAAGACAAATCCAAATTCATATCGCAGCAAGAGTATCCGAAATGCACGCCAAATGGCGACTGCGACATACCTAAGGCGGTTATGGTGAAGGCGGAGCTGACCCTGCGGAAATCCAGCCGCTGGAAGAGCAGCGCGAGCCTGAAAAAGGGTTTTGTTCACAAATATACTGAGCGCTCCCCTACGATGAATCGAGAGGAACATAAGTGATCGTAAATGAAGGAACAAGGCGAAGACGGAAATAAGACATCGTCACAAAACACACCAAGCCCCCTTACATTGCATGTCTTGGGCAGCGCCGGGAGGACAGTGCTCGAAAGCACTGACGTCGTCAATTTCGTGACTGACGCCATTTTGGTGATTCTATGCGAGCTCAGAAACTAGACCGTCGACAATTGGCTAGTCGAGCAACGAGAAGCTGCTAAAGAAAGGCGGCGCGCAAGCTTTCGGTGATCGAAGCTCGGTAGCCGTCAACGGCCTAACGATAGGGATGGAAAAAAGAGGGACAACGTTGGATGGGTATGACAGTTTGTAGGTTGTAGAGCAGGCTGCTGTCTGGTGAGGGGGCTGGAGCGGAGAGGAGAGGAACCAAGGAAACGCAATGAAGTTCCCAAGTCTCAAGGCTGGAGGATGGATTTCCCGTGGCACGAGAGACAATCCCAAGGAGTAAGGGATGTGGCTCTGATGTGTCGTCAAAGTGGTCAAACACGTGGCTGTGAACCCAGGCTGGGTCTGCTGACGTGGTGTTATGGATGGGGCTGGGGGAGTTCGTTTGACGAGAAGTGGCTAGGGCGGGTGGCGTGGTCTGCTGCGCAGCCAGAAGAGGTTTGCACACTCTGGAAAACGGACCTCTCGTGTCCCGCCAAGTGGAATTTCTGTTCAGCCAAGGTTTCGACTGGGATTGCTGGAGGGACTTGACTTTAAGCCAGTGTATCAATTCTTACAGAGAAGCCTCGCGCTGTAAACGGTACTGCATGTATATCGCATCAGTACAGTAACGCGTTTAACGTAAGGCTGCACCTTTGAATTGACGCGGCAAGCTCTGTGTTTCCCGCCAAGCCTCCCTGACAACAATAGCAGGTTGCGCGTCTCGGTTTAATCAGGCTCAACCCTCCTCCATTGCGGGGTGCGGTTCTCAGCGTGCAGAGCTTTACTGAACGGTTCTGTAAGGTGCGCTTTGCTACTGTGCGGCAGGCAACCCTTCTCCCCCCTCTGAATCCAGAACAGTGGAATCTGCCGCATAACGCCCTCTGGGCTTCAGCCTGAGACGGAATAACCAAGGTTGCTTCTAGGTGCACTGGAAACGCTCACCAGCATCTACTGGCTGAGTCTTCTAGTGGACAATCATTCTTCACGGCCTTGGAGTTTCCTCCGTCTACTTCGCCCTAGATTCTAGTTCGTTTGGTTTGTGGTAGGCATTATCGAGCGTTTCACGTTCAAGCCCAGGGCTTGCCGAGACTCTTCTCCTTCCAACATTTTTTTTATTATAGAGGAATTAGAGAGCAGTTGCAAAAATGGATGTTCGATCTCCTGTACAGCGTGAGGGTGCCCCGATTATGTTCAAGTCCCCTAGTCTCTATCCCAAATCGCCTGCCTTCATTCCGTTTGGCGCCAATGACGACGAGCTGGAGAAGCGAAAGATTAGGGAGGAACGACAAGCAGCTCAGCGAAGGTTATTCGCAGACCGAATGAAAGAAGCGAATAAGAAACGCTCTAGCTGTGACCCTCAAGAGATGTCTGGAGATCGGCTCCTTGCGTTGTACCAGAACTGCACTAAGCTGGCAGCTGAGAATGTAAGGCCTCTGAAAATGAAGCCATGCTGACCACGGCTGCTTAATTAGGACGACGAGTAACGACCAGAGTAGTTACAAATTTGCCTGAACGAAGCTGACATCCCGTACCGATGTTGATCTGTGCAGAAAATCAATCAGAAGAACACATGGGATCTTGATCTTATCGATCACATGTCGGAAATCGTCAAGGCCGACTGCGAAAACGACGCGCAGACCAACTTTCAGAAGGTTCGATTTCGCTTGATTGCGCCAAATGGTGGTTATTTCGTCCTATCCTGGCATCATCCTTTTCTGAGAGTCGACTCCCTTCGTACGGCAGGTTAGCTGCGTCCTGAAGCTGATGTAAAGGTGTATTCTTGGATGTAGTATACTAATCAATTTCTTGCCATCGTCCATCGTGCTTCAGGCTAGCTGCACGCTGGAGGCTGGCGTAAAGATATATTCGTACCGAGTCGACTCCATCCATTCCGAGACGTACAAAGTGCTCAGCGGTCTGACGCGGGCAGGCGATACACGTACGTGTACCGACCGTTAGAATGTTTAAGCGAGAGACATGCAGTCGTCGTTCTTCTGTCCGTCTCGGTAGGCTGCTGCTGCTCGTCACTGACTCCTTGGCCCTCCGCTTGTGCAGGAGAAGATGAAGAAGGAGTTGACCAGGAAGAAGGCAACGGCAGCCGACGAGAGTCTCAGAAGAAGGTAACACGGACTTCCCTATTCTTTGATGTTTGAAATGACATGATGGGTGGATGTTGAGATGGCCTTTTCCATGTCCCCTTGATCAACTCGTCTTGTGCTTCCTTCAGTAGATTTTTAAGTCTCCTTTCCTTATGTTTCCTTCTGCCCGCAGTTGCCTGCGACATCAAGCACATTGGAGGATAATCTTGACCAGATCAACGTCAAGAAGCTTGAACGTGAGTCAAGTGCACGTCGCCATTTGCTTGCATCTTTGTTTTTTTCTTTCCGTAATTACCTAATAGATTGTTCGTGGACCTTCAGGTGCCATTGTCACGGATCCCCTTTTCACGAAAACATCTGGCCAATTCGACGAGGGCGGTGCAAGCGGCTTGCTCCTGTACAATCTCCCAGTGTTCAACGGGTGCGAGATCATGTTCGATTCAGAGGCCATCATCGTGGACCCTTCACGCACGCAGCCGGAGGAGCAGGGGAAGGAATACGTGGATATCTCCTTTGCATCTCGTGAGTACAAAATCCCCTGCAACCCAATGTGGCTCTTACCATGGATGTTTTGTTTCCGCTCGCCCTTATATCCAGAAAAAATTGCTATGACCACACTGTCGGTGTCCCTTGGGATTCGTGTTTCGCCCCTGGTTTCACTTCATGACCATCGAAGTGATCCAAGTGAAAGGCCACTGACGACGAACACTGTTGTGTTGACGTGCTTGCCACATAGTCCGTTTCACATGCGTGGACAGACAGCGTTTTCATCAAATTGATAGCCGAACATCATGGGTAGACAAATCAATCATTCATCCGACACCTTTATGCTGCTGCCTGGCAGGCGAAGTGGAGCTCTTTCTGAGCGCGGATGACCCAGAGAGCTGGGAAATCACTCCGTCCATCTCTGCTCTCTACGAGCTAGCTGAAGATCACCGCTGGAAGGCAGCTGTTGGCGCCAGTGCCAAGGATTCCTCTCATGACATGGATGGGAATGCTGTTAGAAGCGCGGAAGGATTCAAGGCGTTTGACGCAGGAGATGAGCCAGTGGGTGGGGTGGGGGGAGGATATCCATTTGGAGATGATAATGACGATGGCTCTGTCGTCGATTTTGGTGGTGGTGGAGATGATGGGTGGAATGATGATGGGTGTGGGTTCGCTGGGCCACCGTTTGCAGGTGATGGTGCTCCTGGGATGATCCCAGTGGGCGATTCTGATGGGGAGAACGGGTATTCGGATGTTGATGATGGTATGGACACTGCTGATTGGCTGGCAGCAGGCATGGGTATGACGAGGCTCAAGGGGAGCAACGCATGGGCTGGCCCTAAGCACTGGCACTTTGTTAAGTCGAAGGAGGAGCCGCCTGCAGCAGCTGCTGAGACGAAGGGGAGGAAGAAGAGAGCAGCAAAGTCGGAGCTGATTGATTTCTCAGACCCTCGGATCGATGAGTCCTTGTTTCAGGCCCCTAAAGCATTGAAGGAGATTCAGTTAACCAAGGCTGGTCGCAAGGTGGTTAATACCTTGCTTCCGAAGGACTACCATTATGACGGTCGCAAGTTGGCAACGGTTTTTATCAGCTCGGATTGGAGCTTCTTGGCTCGGAAGGCCAGGAGCCGTGGTGGGGCGAAGCAAGGGTTTGAGGATGGAGGCGGAGGAGATGGGTTTGCAGCGGTTGGTGGCGGTGAAGACGTTTTTGAGGACGCGTGGGGAGGGGACGAGTGTGCTGATCCGTTTGATTATGGGGACGATTTTGATGGGCAAGGGGATTCTGCAGAGGTCAAGCCAGTAGATAATTTCATGGAGGATCTGGTTCCCATGCCAAAGAAGGTAAGAAACTCTTCAGCACCATCCTTCCTTCTCTTTGTTGCCCATGGTAGCGTTTCAGTATCTTGTTTTGTAAGCTTTCTCTGTAGCTACTCCTGATTGGCATGCTGCCAAGGTTGCAGTATGTGAGTGGGTTTTGCCTCCCTTTTCTCCACTAATTCCATCCACTCCTTCTATCTTTTGTTATCCTTCTGTGTGCACCTCCACCTTCTCATCTTGGTCACTGTGTGTGCAATTTACTTGGCAGGCACAAAAGATTGACGTCAACTATGCGAGACAGTCAAAGCAGGTGGATGTGAAGATTCTGAAAGACACTATTTGGGTGGAGCTACAACGGCGTCATGCCTATGAGAGGGAGAAGCAGCAGGATGAGGACGAATCCTCCTCCGGCCCGATCAGTTTCGATCGAGTGCTCCATAACTTCCCGGCCAACTGCAGGGCTGCCGCACTGAGTGACATTTCAGTGCACCTGTGCTTCATCTGCGTGCTGCATTTGGCAAATGAGCATGATTTGCGCCTGCATGCGTCAGAGGATATGAACGAGCTCAACGTTCATCTTCCATGTGAGGTGTAGAGTGTAGGCAAACTCTTATTGCTCGTTCTGTTTTATTAGCATTATCTGTGTGCAGATCTATACATTTGTTACATAAGTGTGAATGCTTAGTTCATTCCAGCGATTCTTCTCAACAACAGTCCTGCTTGATTGCTGTATATGCTAGTCCAGTTCCGCATATGATCCATGCCTTTGGTGTAATTCTCATCTCATGTTGAGTTATCAGCAATGCTGCTTGGATGGTAAAACATTTTCAGGTGTACTTCTGGAAGCAACGTCGTACCCGTACGAGTCAACCTGCATCGCGGATCTTCAAACCTTTGCTTCGGGCAAATTCCGTGTGCCCCTAATTTCACTGTCGAAGGTTCCCAGACTTATCATCCTCGCTACGATCCTCCTCAATAAGATCGTCCGTAGTTTCATATCGCGTCACGAGGCCCAGCTTTTAGCTTGCTCGTCTCGATATTTTTTCCCGTTGATCGTCAAGAGTCGAAGGTCAGCCAGAAAGACACAGGAGCAGGAAGGGAAGAAAAAACTGCAGGAGGCTTTTTTGCTGGCCATTCTTCACGCGGATCTTGGAGAAATCGGTTGGTTAGTCGGCTATTTAGGCAATTAGTCGGTGTGCGAGTTAGCCGGCAAGTTAGTCGGCGTACGATGGCGGATCCGCAGGGCGGCAGCACTCCTGGCCGTCTGAAGCTGTTCACGCGACGGCCGAAGAAGGCGCGAGAAACGTCAGGAGGTGAGGAGGGGTCTAATAAGGTGAGGAGGGTTCGAACGAGGTGTGGAGCCGCCACGCGAGGTGAGAAGGGATCGAAGGAGGTGGGGAGAGGTCCATCGAGGCGAGGGACGGTCCAAGGAGGTGAAGAGGGGTCTAAGAGCTTATTAGCTCAAGCTTACGGCAGTGCATGGAAGAGAATCGAAGTGCGCGGCGCGGCAGTGTAGTAGCCTTGACTTTGCGAGGCGAGGGGCAGTCTTGCCGTTGCGCAAGCCAGAGAAGCACACTTGTTCTCTCGAAATCCCTCTGCTCCTCTCATTCTCCCATCTCCGTTCCCTCGCCACACACAAAACCCCTCTCCTTTCTTCCTTACTCCCCGCTCTCTCCCTTCTTCCCCCTTTCCCCCGCTCCCCCCCGCCCTCCGCGGCTGCAGCCAGAGCTCCCCCGGACCTCCCCGCGCGCTCGTCCCCCTGGGGCATCTTCTCCTTCTTCTCCTCCCCCGCATCTCCGCCAACGCCCCTATCCGCGCAAGGACCCAGATCCGCGGGAGTTCCCCCCGGGTCTGGGTCATCAGCTGTGCCTCCTCGGCCGCCCCTTCTGTACCGCATGCGGGGGACGTTCAGTTTCTTGCTCGCCCTCAACCTCGTGCTGGGAGGTACTTGCTGGGTTGGGTTGGGTTGGGTTGGGTTGATTGGGTTTCCCCTCCTTCTTCTCTTCCCCCCCTGCCCCCCTCCCCCTCGCCCTCAACCTCGTGCTGGGAGGTACGTGCTGGGTTGGGTTGGGCTGGGTTGGGTTGGGTTGGGTTGGGTTCCCCATTCCCCCTTCTCTTCCCCCCCTGCCTCCCTCCCCCTCGCCCTCCTCCTTGCTGTTCCACGTGCGAGGAGCGTTTGGGTTTCCTGCTTGCCCTCAACCTCGTGTTGGGGAGTACGTGCTAAGTTGGGTTGGGTTGAATTCCCCTTCTCTTCCCCTGTCTACCCCCCTCCACCTCTCTCTCCTCTTTGCTGTACCGCATGCGGGGGGCGTTCACTTTCCTGCTCGCTCTCAGCCTCGTGCTGGGAGGTACTTGCTGGGTTGGGTTGGATTCCCTCCTCTCTTCCCCCCACTGCCCCCGCCCCCCTGTGCTGTGCGACATGCGGGGGGCGTTCACTTTCCTGCTCGCTCTCAGCCTCGTGCTGGGAGGTACTTGCTGGGTTGGGTTGATTGGGTTCCCCCTTTTCTCCCCCCCCCCCCTGCCACCGCCCCCCACTGCTGTATCGCGTGCGGGGAGCGTTCACTTTCCTGCTCGCTCTGAGCCTCGTGCTGGTAGGTACGTCCTCAGTTGGGATCCTTGCTCCCTTCCCTCTTCACCTCTCCCCCGTCATCACCAACACCCCTATCCGGCCATCACCAACACCCCTTGACCCAAATCTGGAGTTTTTCCCGGGTCAGGAGCTGCGGGTCAGGAGCTGCGGGGAGTTTGGGTCTCTGCTTGCTTTACCGCATGCAGCATGGAACGGACGCCGTCATGCTGTGTGTAAAGGTAGGCACTTCTCTCATGCCTCCCTCCCTCCCTCCCTCCCTCCCTCCCTCCCTCCCTCCCTCCCTCCCTCCCTCCCTCCCTCCCTCCCTCCCTCCCTCCCTCCCTCCCTCCCTCCCTCCATGTCCCTTTTCCTGCCCTTCCCCGGCAGGCTACATGCTCTTTAGAGGAAAAGCACTGCTGAAAGACGCGGCACGAATGCCAGACACAGCCGAATTAGACGACGAGAAAAAACGCAAAAAGGAGGAGAAAGCAGGAGGAGAGTCTGCTACAGCTGCTGCTGCTGCCACTGGTGCTGCTGGCACTACAGCCGCTACAGATCCTGCCACCTCCACCACTGTCGCTCCTGGTACTGGTTCGGAGGAAGCTTCCCATGCAGCTTCGTCCTCAGGCCCCAAACGAACGTCCGAGATGCAATCGTGGGATATGGAGGCGATGGTTGGGCCGGCAGGTGTGACTGTAACGGGGGATGGTGCTGACGGTGGTGCAGGGGGAGGGTCTGGGGTGCCCGGGGTGGCTTATACGGGCGGGCAGGTGTCGAAAATTGACCTGGACGGGCAGATGGAAATTTTGAAGTGGATATTGGAAGCGAAGAGGCGGGAGCAGGTGGGGGCGAGTAGGGAGGAGAGGAGGAGGATAGACGAGGAGAAAAGGTTACTTAAGGATTATATAAAGGCAAAGAAGCATTTGCCTTTTAAAATTTTGTAGAGGATTTTGGCTGGGGGCTGACACATCAATCAACCTACTGTAGGTGTAGGTAGGTACCTTGTGTAATCGGTACTAGGTAGGTAGCCTGTTTTGACAGTGTTTAGTAATAGAGCGTTTGACCTTTTGAATGCTATCTGACTGTATCGAGTAGAGAGTAGGAGGATAGATGGGCAGAAGCCGTTGCTGAAAGGTTGAAGTCAACTACGGTAGGAAGCACTAGCCTCTGTCCTTATGGTAGGTGTTGTACAGGATGGGATAATAACCAAGTAGCCCTTTATTTAGGGGTACCGTAAACTATCGCTGAGTTATGGATGTGAGGGAGATGCAATGCAAGCGACCAGCAAGAGATTCATTTGAGATTATAGCAACTTCATGAAGCATCTGCCCTTCAAAAATATCCAAACATGTTCCAGTCCAGGAGTACAGTATGCTGAGAGAAGGCTTTCGCAATGCAAGGGGAGGATACTGGTATGATGTCATGGTTGTTTAGAAGCGTCCATTATGAATAACGAAACGTGCAATTGAAATGTTTGCATTTTTTGCAACACGGACAGTACTTTATTTCAGGTATTTTTGTATGTACCACACGAGGAAATGAAGGCAGGCACATGGCTGCTTAAAGGAGAACGAGTAGCGTCTAGAGCCTAGGAGACCAAGCATCCCCGCCCAACCCAGCGCACTAGTGCACCAGTTCCCCTTGCTTCTCCGGCAACCAGCTTACCGTATTTTTTAGGCGCCTTGCAGGAGAAGGAGTAGCGTCTAGAGCCTAGGAGGCCAAGCATCCCCTCCCCGCCCCACCCAGTGCACCAGTTCCCCTTGCTTCTCCTGCAACCAGCTTATTTTTGAGGCGCCTCGAAACTAGAGGCACCTAAGAGAACAAGCAACCCCGCCCAGTGTGCACCAGTGCCCCTTGCTTCTCCAGCAACCAGCTTCATCCACAACATGTGATAGTTCCTCCGAACTCTCGTGGGAAAGTCTTATAGCACGTCAGACCGAGCGTCTGGAATGCCCCTCACATCACACGCCCCTACCCTCATGTCCCTTCTCCTCCTCCCCATCGTTCACATCCTATGCCCCACACCCAAACACCCCACCCCACACCCCCCAGATCCGTCCTCCTGTTCTGCCTCATTTGAAATTCCTCCGCACGCCCATCAGGATGTTATACAGCACGTCGGACCAGGCATCAGGCACACCCGGCTGGCACCAGTGGCTGCAGTCGCTCCTCCTTTCATGTCCCATCTCACGCCCTACGTGCCACACCTCTCCCTCCTGCTCTGCCTCACGTGAAGTTCCTCCTGACTCCCATGAGGATATTGTATAGCACATCGGACCAAGCGTCAGGAACTCCCGGCAGGCACCAGTGACTGCAGTCGCGCCCATTCAGATACAGGTGGGCGTCAGGGCGCATGGCACTCATATAGGTGATTTCGGCTACTTTCATAGTCGATCGTTTCATGACTGTCACCTGGAGGGGTTGGGGGCACGGAGTGGAGAGGGACGGAGGGGAAAGGGTGAGGTGAGCCTTAGTTGGGCATCTATCTGGGCGCATGGCGCTCATGTAGGTAATTTCCGCTACCTTCAAAGTCGATCCTTTCATGACTGTCACCTGGAGGGATTCAGGCAGCGAGAGGCACAAGGAAAGGGGACAGGAAGGGACGTGAGGCACACCAGGCAGGCACCAGTGGCTGCAGTCGCGGCCATTCAGATACAGGTGGGCGTCAGGGCGCATGGTGCTCATGTAGGTTATCTCCGCTACCTTCATGGTTGATCGTTTCATGGCAGTCACCTGCGGGAGGATTGTCATGGGCCAGAGAAGCAAGAGAAGGGTCAGGAGGGGGGAAGGTGAGGAAGAGAAAGGCCGTTGAGTCCCAGGTGGGCGTCAAGGCGCATGGCGCTCATGTAGGTGGATTTCGGCTACCTTCATGGTTGATCGCTTCACTACTGTGACCTGCAGTGGGGAGGAGAGGGTGGGACAGGGAGGGACACAGAGGGAAGAGCTCGGCATGCAGGGCCCCATCGTCCCCCTTAGTGAGGGACAGCTGCACCAGCTGATTGAGCCCCCGTTCGGCCAGTAGGGTCGGACAGAGGGGGGGGCGGAGTAGGTTTAGAGGTGTGGTTGTTTGTTTGGTTGCTGGTGTGGTTGTTTGTTTGGTATGTGTTTTGCATCTTCCTTTGCACCACCCCTTATTAATACGAGGACCGTTCGAGGGAAGAAGGTGGGCGTCAGGGCGCATGGCGCTCATGTAGGTGATTTCGGCGACCTTGTAGGTGGATTCGACCACAGCAGTGCCTTTGACAGTGCCCTGCCCACCAGCTACCAGCTCTCCAGTCAGACAACACCGTGGGGTAACCATGCACCTGCTTTTTCATGGCTGGGAGCATGAAGCTCACTACCCGTTGACCTCACAATCTCGTGTACGGGAGAGAAGGTGAAGAACACGGCAGGGCCTTTGACAGTGCCCTGCCCACCAGCTACCAGCTCTCCAGTCAGACAACACCGTGGGGTAACCATGCACCTGCTTTTTCATGGCTGGGAGAATGAAGCTCATCAGCGTATTGTCCGCTTGCACGTTCCCAGCATTGCCCTTTGATTACACAAGCACCACTTACAAAGTGGTAACCACTTGCCTGTTTCTTCATGGCAGGCAGGATGAAGCTCATCAGGGTGTTATCCGCTTGCACGTTCGGCGGGAACGGCTGAGCGGCGTTGCAAAAAGCCTTTTCGTGCACGGGAGAGAAGGTGAAGAACACAGCTGCTCCCTTGTAGTTCGCCTGGGCGAAATAATCCCGGACGGTTACCAGCGCCTTGCTCATGACTGGGATGGGGTACCAGGGCTCTGAACTGTTCTGGGGCTGTGGGTGGGGAGAAGGAAGCGCAGGTGGGGAGGAGAACGGAGAAGGCGGGAGAGAGGGTGGAGAAAGAGGAGGGGGAAAGGGGATGAGAGAGGGAGGAGGGGGCAGAAAGCCTTCTCGTGCACGGGGGAGAAGGTGAAGAACACAGCTGCGCCCTTGTAGTTCGCCTGGGCGAAATAGTCCTGCACGGTTACCAGCGCCTTGCTCATGACTGGTATGGGGTACCAGGGGGCTGAACTGTTCTGGGGCTGTGGGTGGGAGGGGAGGTTGGCATTGCGGAACGTGGGAGGAAAAGGGAAGAGAGAAGCAGAGAAGCGGAGAGTGAGACGGGAGGGAGGATAGAAGGTGCGCTGGGGAGAAGGCGAAGGACACGGCTGCTCCCTTGTAGTTCGCCTTGGCGAAGTAATCTCGCACGGTTACCAGCGCCTTGCTCATCACTGGAATGGGGTACCAGGGGGCTGAACTGTTCTGGGGCTGCGGGGGAAAAGGAAGGAAGGAGAGGGGAGAGAAGGGGGAGAGAGAGAGGAGAGAGAGGGGATGAGAGAGGGGATGAGAGTGGGGGGAGGGGGCAGAAAGCCTTCTCATGCACGGGGGAGAAGGTGAAGAACACGGCTGCGCCCTTGTATGATGACTTGGCGAAGTAGTCCCGCATGGTTACCAGCGCCTTGCTCATGACTGGGATGGGGTACCATGGGGCTGAGCTGTTCTGGGGCTGTTGGATGAGTTGTGGGGAAGCAGGTGGGGGAGTAAGAGGAAAGGGGAACAAGACAGCAACTTATTATCCCGCACGGTTACCAGCACGTTGCTCATCACTGGGATGGGGTACCAGGGGGCTGAACTGTTCTGGGGCTGTGGTTGGGGTGAGGGGTGGGGTGGATAGGGAGTGCAAGGGGACAGAGCGAGAAGGTGAAGAACACAGCTGCTCCCTTGTAGTTCGCCTGGGCGAAATAGTCCCGCATGGTTACCAGCGCCTTGCTCATCACTGGAATGGGGTACCAGGGGGATGAACTGTTCTGGGGCTGCGGGGGAAAAGGAAGGAAGGAGAGAGAGGGGAGAGAGGGGGGAGAGAGAGAGGAGAGAGAGGGGATGAGAGAGGGGATGAGAGAGGGGATGAGAGAAGGAGGAGGGGGCAGAAAGCCTTCTCGTGCACGGGGGAGAAGGTGAAGAACACAGCAGCCCCCTTGTAGTTCGCCTGGGCGAAATAATCTCTGACCGTGACCAGCGCCTTGCTCATCACTGGAATGGGGTACCAGGGGGCTGAACTGTTCTGGGGCTGTGGGAGGGTGGGAGGGGTGCAACAGGGTTGGGAGGGGTGCAACAGGGGGTTGGGAGGAAAAGGAAAGGAAGGGTGGACAAGTCAGTAGCTTGAGGTCCCGCACTGTGACCAGCGCCTTGCTCATGATCGGAATGGGGTACCAGGAAGGGCTCTGGTTCTGGGGCTGTGGATGGGTGCGGGGAGGCAGCGGGGAAAGGGAAGAGGGAAGAGGGAGAAGGTGAAGAACACGGCAGCTCCCTTGTATGATGACAACGGCGACTGTGTGGATGCAGCACTGCAGCACGGGACGAGCGTGGCCCACTTATGCAGCACTGCAGCACGGGACGAGCGTGGCCCACTTATGCAGCACTGCAGCACGGGACGAGCGTGGACCACTTATGCAGCACTGCAGCACGGGACGAGCGTGGCCCACTTATGCAGCACTGCTGTTACAGCAGCACACACCAACAATGTAGTGTCATGCATCAATACAGGGACACGCGCATGCACTCACCGGGTGGAAGAACCAGTGGCCCGCGTTGAAGACAATGGCGTCCGTGTATGGGAGGGCAGTGGCAGGGTGTGATGCACTACTGCTGTGAGCCTGTAACACTGTAACACAGCAGGAGGCACTCGCTCATTCGCACACTCACTGGGTGGAAGAACCAGTGGTCCGCGTTGAACACAATGGCGTCCGTGTAAGGGAGGAGAGTGGCAAGTGTAGTGCAGTAATGTCTCATACACTCACTCACTCACTCACTCACTCACTCACTCACTCAGGCACTCACCGGGTGGAAGAACCAGTGGCCTGCATTGAACACAATGGCGTCCGTGTAAGGGAGGAGAGTGGCCCACTTGGGGTTCATTGTGTAGACGGCCGTCTTGTGGTTGGCGGTCTGTTGTGGAAGAGGGGCAAGGGACAGACGGGTGGTGGGGCATGAGGGACGGGAGGATGGGGGTGGGGAAGGATGGGGGTGGGGAAGGATGGGGGAGGGAGGAGCTGAACACAACGGCGTCCGCGTAAGGCAGGAGCCGTTGTGTTCAACTCCTCCCTTACACGGACGGCTGTCTTGTGGTTGGCGGTCCGTGGAGAAGGGAATGGTGGGGGTAAGATGGGAAAGGATGTGAAGAATGAAGGGGGAATTGGGGAGGACAGATATCATAAGCTCTTGGAGCCACTGTTGACGGTGAGAGGGGTGAGGTTGTGATTCGGCTTGACACGTGAGGTTGTGATTCGGCTTGACACGTGAGGTTGTGATTCGGCTTGACATGTGAGGTTGTGATTCGGCTTGACACGTGAGGTTCATTCACGATCACATCTTATACACTCATACATGGACTACACTCACATATCGCAGGCTCTGAACGAGGTAACCGCTGTTGACTGTTTGCGTAACAAGGTTGTAACCCGGCATGGAACATGATGTACACTATGTATGCACTTGATGCTTCCTCGTTAAACTCACATATCGTGGGCTTTGAACCAGGTAGCCGCTGTTGATGGTGAGAGTAGTGAGGTTGTATGATCTACAGTACACTATCTACCCAATAAAAGCACCCTCGATAAACTTACATATCGTGGGCTCTGAACCAGGTAGCCGCTGTTGACTGTGAGAGTGGTGAGGTTGTAATTCGGTACAAAGTAAGATCCAAGTCTTCGATTGCCCACCTTGACCTTCTTGAACTGGTGTGTGGATGGAGGAGGGGGGAGCGGGACGAGGGGAGAACAGGGAAAGGGAATGCAAGGGAGTGGTGAGGTTGTAATTCGGCACAAAGTAAGACCCAAGTCTTCGATTGCCCACCTTGACCTTCTTGAACTGGTTGAGGGGGAAGAGTGGGAGGGCGCGGGGAGAGGTGGGGGAGAGGGGTTGCGGAGAGGGAAAGAGGAGCGTAGGGAGGAAAGGGAGAGGAAAGGAAGGGGGTAGAGAGGTTGCATACCTTGACTTTCTTGAATTGTTGGGGGGGTAAGAGGAAGCGGGTGGGGAAACATGGCTGATTTACTCATTTGGATGCTGCTGCGCACGTCTCATCATTTGAAACGATACTGGATTTTCAGGTCAGTTGAGAGGAGCCGTTATTGAGCATTTTTTAGTGGAGTCAAACGTCACATGGATCGTTTATAACGGCTACTTAAAAATGCTCAATACAGCTACTCTGAGACAGCAGGCCAGTTTATAACGAGGGCATACACAACTCACAACTACTCGTGTCGTTGCTTGCAGGAGGCACACGATACCCTCGTACAAGTTATCGTACCACCAACTCAATATCATAAGATGAATAAAACAAAGCTTGTAGTTGCAACTCACCACTACCCGTGTCGTTGCCTGCAGGAGGGACAAGATGCCCTCGTACAGGTTGTCGTTTAACGAGTCACAAACAAGTCGTTATAATGCATGAAATAGAGTTATAGTTGCAACTTACCACTACCCGTGTTGTTGCTTGCAGGAGGCACACGATGCCCTCGTACAAGTTGTCGTTTAACGAGTCACCCACAAACGCCATCACAGTGTTCCGCATCTTCTTCAGAAACCGCTTGCCATTGAACCTGGGGGGGCAGACGCAGCGGAGAAAGAGTGATGTGCGCGAGTGTGATTACAACGAATATTTGAAAAAAGGGATGAAGGCGATCGAAAAGGCAGTGCCATCACAGTGTTCCGCATCTTCTTTAGAAATCGCTTGCCATTGAACCTGGGGTGCAGGGGTGGGGGTGAGAGGGGCACGCGTGCAGTCTTGGTTATAACGATCATATGCTTCATTTGCAATGCTACACTGCTCTCCAATAAGAGCTCACTCTATCACATCATGTGCTTCAACTGCGTACTAGCTTTTCCACCCCTAACACACTCCACCGCGAACCCCCGTTCCCCCCCTCGTCAAATTCGTCCAATCACGCACTTCCACGTGTAGTAGTTGCAGGGCGGCGCGGGCACCCAGACGTAGTTGGAGGGGTGCTGCTTTCCGGGAGGCACGTTGGTGCAGCTGAAATGCTTCGAGCAGTTTAGGGGATATGGCACTTTGTATCCGGGTATTTTGGAAATGTGGACCCAGCTGCGCAGGGTGGTTTGGAAGGCGAAATCCAAAGGGGGAAAGACGGGGAAGGGGGAGGGGGAGGGGAAGCCGGAGGGGGAGAGGGAAGGGGAGGGGAAGGGATGGGAGGGGAGGGGATGAGAGGGATTGGGGGAGGGGTGTTTAGGTGGAAAGAGGCAGAGACGAGGGGGAAGGGGGATGAAGTTGGGAGTAGGAAAGGTGGCGTGGGGAAAAAAGCGGGAGATATAAGGAGGGGTTGGAGGGCGTGAGGAGACGGTAAGAAGGGGAGGGAAGTGGAGAGAGGAGGTGCATAGGCTAGACAGGAGTAGGGAAACGGTTATTGATAAGAATTCGAAGAATAATACAAGAGAGAGGAGGTAAATGGAGAGGGAGTACGGGAGAGTTACAGGGAGAGGGATAAGAAGGACGCATGGGATGTCATTAGGAAGATAAGGGAGAGTGTTTAGGGCACGGAAGAAGGTAAATAACCAGATTAATATCAAGCACCAGATGATAATAGGCAGCAGAAAAAAGAATTCCAGAATTCTCAAAATTCTTAGCAGCTGATTCGAAGCGAGATCATTGGCGATTTGGCCGAGATACTGGTTACCTTCGCGTACCTGCCCTTGCGATAATCGCAGCCGGCCGCTTTCGATGTCTTCTTCGCCTGCAGCCGTCGCGGATTCGAGCCACTGTCGCCAGTCATCAGATACGCGGTGAACATCGATTCCGGCGAAAACGTCGCAACAGGCGACGGCGACGACGGCGAAAGGTCTGTGAGGGAGTCAACGTGCGACCAAATCTGACCGTGCGACTCTGCTGCTGCTCCCGCTGCGATGCTGTCGCACAGCAGCGACGCGGCTATTTGCATGGCGAGAGTAATTTGAGCTAGCGCAACTAGAAAGGAACCCAGATTGCGCCGTCGCAGGGCCTGCGCGCCTCTGCTTCGCTCATCGCGGCGAAGATTGCGGAGGACGCCAGGATGCCGTCTTGTCAGCTGATTCTCAGTTAATTGTACTGATGTCGACACTTCTATCCCCGGTACAAACAGCTTCGATAGTGGTTGAGCCATCTTGTGAAAAATCCTAGTGTTTTGCGAAGAACGAACTGATCAGCAGCTCCTACCTGCTAATCCCAATCCAGCAGACTAAAGCCAGCCTCTGGTCTTCTAACTAACAGATTCTCCCACGCGATTCGAGAGAGACGCGTGCAAGCTCCTCACTAGACGAGCTTCATCGGAGCGTCTTACCCGAAACGAATCGTTCGAACGTCTAGCACCAACGCGCTCAGACGGAAACGCGCAAGTATGGGCACTGCGTGTGAGGCTTGGGGCTACGGGAACGGCGCCAGAGCGCCGTCGCCGGCGGCATGATCGTGACTTTACGGAGCTTCACGGAATCTGATTGTTCTCAAGGGTACGCGTCCCGAGCGTTTGAGGCGCTTTTAGAATACGAGATCCACGGCGAACTGGCGGTAACCAGTTTGAGAACCAGAACTGGACTTGCGTGAAAGTCGGAGGTTCAGGAGGAATCGGTGCTAAGTGTTTTCGGTACTGACTTGGCGCTAAGAGCTTCGGGAGGAGCTGGACTTGCTCGCAGCTACAGAAACTCCTGCGCTTATCCTACAAAATCAGCACTAAGCAATATAAGAGGAGGTAAAACAAGGTCGGCACAGAAACGCAAGTAATCTGAGAAGCAGACTGATGAAATGAGCGCGCTACCCGAACTGGGACAGCAAGCGGGTTGAACCCGAAGGTGGGGTGAAAGCAAAACGCTTATCGTCACCGCGACACACGTGAAACCGATCACCGTCGGCGTGAATCGCAAGAACCAGAGCACTGGAATGTGGTACCGCCACACAAAGCTGCAAAGGGGAAAGAGCGGAAATTGTTACGGAAAGCGGGTCCAGTCAAGCTGGTTGTTTGGCTGGGATGGGAATGTTGGAGCTAGACCGACTGCGGTGGGGGTCGCTATGCTGTCTTGTGCCTGGCTATCTGTTTCTCGCTAGAGTTTCTGGGGAAGTGCGGTTTGGAAAGACGGGTGAGAGATGAGATGAGGGGAAAAGCGGCTGTTGGGTGAAAATTGCTGGTGCGAAAAAAGCGAGGGAAATGGCGAAAAATGTTGTCTCGCGTCGCGGATTCCCCAGCCGCTTGAAGTGGTGGACGTCCGCGCGGTGCGGAATGTCCAGCCAGCAGGTTGTGCTGCAGGGTGGAGTTCGGCAGACGGGTGGCTTCTTTCTTGCAATCAGAAAATGCTTCGTGATTAGGTACCTCGCTTGTGTGAAGAGAAGTAGGAAAACACTTCCGTATCACGTGTTACTCCACGTAGTTGTGAAATCATATGTTCGGCCTATCAACCTGAACTGCACCCCACTTCCACCAATGGCTGCACAGTGGAGATTCCTCTAACCCAACTGGCTTGTTCGGTACACCGTTCCAAAGGTTTCGGGCTTCCCACCACTTTGGTTGGGCAGATCCAACGTGCCCAGCGACCACGCTGGAGAAACTAGGCTGTGCTGGTGCCATGCTGGAAGAAAAAGTCGCATTGGCAGGGCAGTGCCTCGCCAGCTCCCCGCCAACAGCGCCGCTGCCACGTGTACAAGCGGTTTGTTTTGGGCGAAGGGGCACGTCATCGTCAGCACGAAGAAAAGATCTTCCTCCCGCATTCCCGGGTTTGCCTGAAACAATGGGCCCAGCTCAGATTCCGTGATGGCGATTGGCATGGCAATGGCATGTGAAAGAAATGTCAGGTTTCAGGCATCTTGGTCATCCATAAAGCATTTCAGAAACGTCTTTTTACCAACTTCTGCTTCTGTACGTGAAGCTTACATTGCTATACTTTCAGCCAGCTTCCACCCTCGTCTCAGGTAAAGCTAGTTCTAGAAACCTCCGTTAGTGTGTCGTTGTTCTGCAAGCATATAGAATCTCACCCGCTCGTTCTCTCTGCCCTTCTTTTGCGTCCTCTTTGCCAGATCCCAGTATTTTCTGTCATCTAGCCATGGGTAAGCATAGATCTAGTTTCACTTTCCAGCCTTTGTGGTTCATCGTCAATGTGACTCTGATTGACGGTCTATTTTGTTGTTTCTGTGTGCTTTCTGGTACCCTCACTGCGATTCAGCCCCCGTCAAGATCGGCATTAACGGTGCGTTTTTTTCTGAGCTCTTTTGATTTTGTATTTATTCGTCAAGCTTTCACGGATCTCACCATGTTTGAATTTTTAATGTTTCAGGATTCGGCCGCATTGGCCGTCTCGTCGCCAGGGCTATCCTCAAGCGCGATGATGTGGAGCTGGTTGCTATCAACGACCCCTTCATTGACACCACCGTACGTCCTGAACCTGAAGATTCCATGATCTAGACGCTGATGTGCTCACCTTTCGTATTATTCGGGTCTCAACACTCTCGAGAATGATGCCACAAATTGCGATGTGTTGTATCTCTGCAGTACATGGTGTACATGTTCAAGTACGATACCGTCCACGGCCAATGGAAGGGCGATGTCTCCGTGAAGGACGAGTCCACCCTGCTCTTCGGCGGCAAGGAGGTCAAGGTCTTCGCCAAGAGGTGCGCTCTTAGTTTTCCCGTAGAACTTGTCCTTGGACTTGGTTTTCTCAGCCGTTGTCAGTTTCATTGACTGTTTTACGCAACCCTTGGACTTGGTTTTCTCACAGGGACCCTGCTGAGATTGCCTGGGGCTCGGCTGGTGCCGAGTACGTTGTGGAGTCCACCGGAGTCTTCACCACCAAGGACAAGGCTGCCGCTCATCTCACCGGTGGCGCTAAGCGCGTCGTCATCTCCGCTCCCAGCGCTGACGCTCCGTACGTGCATCTCAAGCGAACATAGATCTTGCATTCTTATTTAAGATTCGCTTCACGAGGCGAGCACTAAAATCTCGATCTTGGGATCGTTTTGTGCAGGATGTATGTCGTCGGTGTGAACCACACCGAGTACACCGCCGACCAGAACATCATTTCCAACGCCTCCTGCACCACCAACTGCCTTGCGCCTCTCGCCAAGGTCATCAACGACAAGTTCGGCATTGTCGAGGGTCTCATGACCACCGTCCACGCCGTGACTGCCACGCAGAAGACCGTCGACGGTCCTTCCAACAAGGACTGGCGCGGTGGCCGTGGTGCTGGCTTCAACATCATTCCCAGCGGCACTGGTGCTGCCAAGGTACGCTTTTGGCCACCTCTTTCATGGTAACCTTGATGCTGGTTCCACGATCGCATTAGTCTGACCTTGTGTTGCGATCACTGTCCTCCAGGCCGTCGGCAAGGTCCTGCCCGCCCTCAACGGCAAGCTCACCGGCATGGCCTTCCGCGTCCCCACCGCTGACGTGTCCGTGGTCGACCTCACTGTGCGGTTGGAGAAGGGTGCCAGCTACGATGAGATCAAGGCTGCCCTCAAGTAAGCCTACTCACATTTCATCGCGAACAAACGAACATCTGAACATGCATGTGAACGAAACTAAACATCCTGTTCTGTCTTCTCAGGGCCGAGTCTGAGGGTGCCCTGAAGGGCATTCTCGGCTATGTGGATGAGGATCTGGTGTCTGCCGACTTCATCGGTGATGACAGGTATGCGTTGCAATCCGCGGTTGAAAATCTTTAGTTTTGCATCCGCGGTTGTATTGCGGAGAGTGATGAATGTGTTTCTCTTGTTTTCAGGTCGAGCATCTTCGATGCCAAGGCAGGTATTGCTTTGAACAACAACTTCGTGAAGCTGGTGTCGTGGTACGACAACGAGTGGGGATACAGGTACGTGCTGCCGCAACCAGAATTCACCTGACGATTTCCATTGTTAGATCAGACACCTAACATACGTGGTTTCCTTGTTTTGTTATCTTGCAGCAACCGCGTCGTGGACCTCATCGTCTCCACCTCCAAGGTTGTCTAAACGAAGCGCGTGCTGTGCTTCTGATAGATAAAGCGTCTGTTAGGTTACTACGTTTGCCATGGAATGTCGCCATTCTTAGTGAAATTTCTTTGGCATCCAAATATGGTCACCGCGTCCTTTTTTGAGCAACGCCGCACTTCTGCGTTCTGCCTTCAGGTCACCGGATCCTCCAAGGTAAAGGCTGACACAGACAGCGAGCGCAACGTGAGGATGAAGATGCCTGACGAGAAGTCATGGTACTAAACTAGGGAGCTACCACCGAAGTTAGTCAAGCCTCACAGCTGAGTAGCTACCACCACCAGACACCATGAAAGATGGCAGCCATAAACTAGGGACCGTCTTGGCCAATGCTCTGCCTAACCGTTTTCTAGATTACCCTCTGAAGATTCCAGGAAGCACAGTGACATAATTTATGGTTCTAAAACTTCAATCTATCTTACTCAGTATGAGGCAGCCCGTGGGCAGATCCGTGGCAAGTACCGTAGTAGTACACTCAGGTTCATTATGTCAAGATGCTAGCCCAACAGGATCTGGAAACACGTCCACAGCTACATATGCTGTATGAGATGGAGATGCGGTAATATTAACCTCAACATATATGAGTTAGCTAAAATTCATCATTCCACAGCGACTCGACCAATGAAATTGTTCAGCAGGCTGCCAAACACCAGCTCCTTCCCGCCATCAACCTCCCGTGCACTTGTAAACCCCCCCACATGTTTCGCTGTCGGGTCACTAAGAAATTTCACAACCTGCCCATCTTCATTCACCGCCAGCACAGCGCCAGCATGGCGCATCATGGGAGCGAGGAAAGGCGGCTGGAGGTACTTGAGAGGCAACAGGCCAATCAGGGCCTTCAGGAGAGGGAAGGGATGGATCAGGTCCATGATTGGCTGCCTTGGCTGTGTGGTGGTGCGGGAGAGAGGGAACGAGGGGAGGGGGAAAGGGAGGTGGAAGGGGAGAGGGAAAGGACAGGAAGAACAGAAGGTGAAGGTAGGAATGAGGTGAAGGGCATATGAGAAGAAGCAGGGAGTCACGAGCAACCAACAAAACAAAAAGGCAGTGGGAGGAACTTGAGAGGCAAGAGGCCAGTGACGGCCTTTAATTCGGTGAAAAGCAAACATTTTTGATTGCTCGTCAATTGCCAAGGCCGAAAAGCACCGGTGTGAGCTGATTTTTCCTACCATGGCAAGGCACGGCTAGAAGCAGACCTTAAAAAATGCTGCTTGCGTGTTAGGAGCGGAGCCATCATGGCAACTTACAATCACAAGGCACACCCAGAAGAGACCCTTTCTGTTGCTGTTGACATTGTCCGGCGACCCCGGCAAGTTGTCCAGAAACATTTCGGATGTGCCCGCTTTCGGCCCTTTCAGCCAATAGCGGGTCAGGCGATACCTGCAAAAGGGGAGGCGACAAACGAGAATGGTTGAACGCCATTCCACGTAAACTTCAAACACTGGAACAAACCATATATCGCACTTCAGAGGAAAATTCCAGGAGAGCGACATAGTCGGCCCATAATAAGCCGACACAGATAATACTTGCAGAGGGTTCTTCCTTTTTCCTTTGCGTACCTGCTAGTTTCAGCCACCACAACGAAGTCCTCATTTTGCGACAGCGCCACTCCATTCGCAAAGTACAGCCCATCCAGGAGCGTCTCAGCCTCGACAGGCCCCGCCTCGCTGGCAATCCCTGTTGACGCGGCAGGTGCTGACGTGGCATGCTCATCCTCTTCATGACGTGGCACATCTGCCAGCTGCTCGTCTGGGTTGATTCTCAGCAGGCGCCCATAAGGCCTCTGTTCCAGAATGTCGAGGAAGAAATGTGAGATGGGAAAGTGCGAGGAAGCATCCGAAAAGTAGATGGTTCCGTCACTTGCCACGTCAGCATTGTCGGTTATTCTGACGAACGGTCAGGAAACAGGGAGAAGGCACGTATCGAAATGTCAGATTCTTGAAGGCGTGGGAGAGGGGGGTTGCAAAAAATGTAGGATTAAAATAGATAAATAAGACAGAAGAGGACAGCCATGGATAGGGCAGGGGAATAGACTAGACAATCAGTGCTAGAAACGATCCTTGAAGAAAGGTAAGTCAGGAATTCAAAGACGTGGGAATGAGTGGCTTGAATGGGTGATAGGATCGTGAGACCTGACTGAGCTGACTTCTGTGTAAACTGAAAACAAAAGCAAAAGGTAAGGCAGGAAATTGGAGAGGAACGAGTGAGTGTGCAGGTGAAGGGAGCTTGCAGGTGAGACCCGAAGGAATGGGTTGACTATTGTATCGTTCTTTAACACATAAGGGAAAGGAAGGAACCTGGAGAGGATGGAATGAACATGTAGTGCAAAGGAGCGTCAGACCTGAATGGAATTCCATTGGAGGAATTGGAGATGAGACGAACGGAGCGAGTCGCCACATCCACTAGGAGGAGACCCTGGGGAGCAGAGTGACAACAAAGAAAGTGCGTTCAAGAGGTCTCAAAAGGAATGACCACGTCCACTAGGCGGAGACCCTGGGTAGCAGAGTGGCAATAAAGAATGTTTCAGGATTCACAAAAGTACTCTACAGGTCCACTAGGAGGAGACCCTGAGGAGCAGAGTGACAATAAAGAATGTTTTATGATTCTCAAAGTACTCTCCATGTCCACTAGGAGGAGACCCTGGGGTCCTCAGAAAGGGAGAGACGACAGAGAGGCCAAAAACTTTCGTCAGCTGCTATTCCCTCTGCCTTGAGTGCAAAGAGCACTTAGTGTGAGATCCTTCTGTTCGCCGAATCCTGTCACCTTGAGGAAACCCTTGAATCTCTCTGCCCAATCATACCTTCGTCGCCTCGCAAACCACCAATTCCCGCCCATCGTTCCGCCACGCAAGCCCCAGCGGATGGGCGCCGACGTGCACCCAATCGCGAGGCTCCATGTCGCCTTTCTTCAGAATCTTAATCCATCCATTCGCGTCGCTCGAGTATAGGTTCCCCTCAGCGTCAGGAAGAACGTCCTCCGGACCGCGAACCTTTCCCAGAGCGAGTTTTTTAACGGCAAGCAGCCGGTCGTTAGCAGCAAACGGTCCGACAGGAGCGGGAGGCGGAGGAGGGTGGAAGGGAAGCGGACGGAAATCGCTGGAGTTTAAGCGCGACTGCAAGCCGACAAAAACGGCTACTAGGACGGCGGCCAGTGTCCCGAGAAATGGGATGACAGACATGGTGTCGCGCGTAAGCAACGTGCAAAATTTCTGAATTGCTGATTATTCCCTATGGCTGGTTATAAGAAACCAGCTACCGTGATGCGCTGCTACCCGTAAGAGATAGGATTCACTGATATAAATTCACTGATCTCTAAATTCACTGATCTATTCACTGATCTGCACATGTGCTTGTGTTGAAATGGCGGACTTATAATTTGATTCTAATTCTACGGTCGGCCAACACACGGCATGCTGGTAACATTCAAATGACTGAATGGAATGCTGGTAACATTCAATTTACCACGGTTTGATACGGTAAAGCAGTGGCGCGGGAGAAAGCTGACCCAACTGAGCGGTGTGCGATGCCAGACCGGATAAGTGCACGAAATTTTGGCGATGACGGAGACCCCTTCGCAATGCAGTCTGCTGAATGTGTCAGAATGAAAGTGTAGTTCGGCATTTTAGGTATGGATGAAACATATTCTGCACTATGGCACACATTTGCTATTGAAGTTTTTCTAGCAAAATTTAGGCGTACCAAATACTATTGGGCTGCTGAGGAATTATTACGGGACCCCATAGCATAGCAATTGCATGTGTATACATCCGAAATGAGAAGTGGTTGTCACCCCGCATATGGCAGTACATTTTGGTGTAGCACAAAGGCGGATGAGACCAACTCTTCAATTCAATCTCATCAATGCAAAAGCTGCTTATGAGGTGATCCACATCTCCTTGTAAAGACACTAGCCACCTTGTACGAGCCCATCAGCTGATGGCAGAGCTGCAAAATGCAGCTGTTGATCCCCTTGCTTGACTCATGACTCGGCAGGAGGTGGCAGTGGCTCTGTGCATAAGGCAACAGGCCAAGAGGCATCACATGTTCACAACAAATATGGACACACGTCCACGCACAATGCAACACACTTCGACACACCCACCGATACACACCCCATACCCAATGTAGATGCACTACGTAACATACAAACAGACCACCATAATATAGCTGGTACTTGCACCAACTGCGAAGGCTGTCATATAAGTGAACGCACCTGCTTGTATTTTCCTGTATAAGTTGAGCACTGGATAGATGTTCTCAAACGCCTGGTAGATCTCATCTCGCACCTGCAGCACAAACGTGACACAAAAAAAGACGTTCAGAGAAAAAAAATGCGAAGAAAAGAGGGACAACGGTAAATATCCGGCAGTAGGACACACGCGGGAGACTTGCACACAGACGGTCACTACAACGCACCTTGGCACCAGTAAGAACGATCTTCCCTGACACGAAAATGAGGAGCACAATCTTGGGTTGCTTCATGCGGTATATCAAGCCAGGAAAAAGCTCTGGCTCGTACTGCAGCATAATCAGAAAAAGAGGTAAACGAAAACGGAGAAACCGTCAAGGAAAATACGCACATGAGGTGAAAGGTATCACCACAAGCTGACGCAAGGCGATATTGCAACCATAAGATACAAGGTACTATTACAAGAACACAAGATGATGCATAGCTGGGCTTGTTCACGGGAAGACTTACGCTGCAAAATTGTTGATGGGCGATTTGAAGACCTTCTAACCGGATTGGAAAGCGAACATCACAGGAGCCGACAATATTTTGAATCTTGAAATCCTGGAGACGTGAGTGCGTCAGATATCAGGCACCGGTGCATGTCAGCTCAGCACCAACAAAATGGGAACGTGAGCAACGGTTAAACGCGTAATTAAGCTATAGCGCCGCCCATTTTGCGATATGAATGCAGAAAAAAAATCTACAGAGTTATCAAGGCAAAACACGACAATACTTACTTTGAACTTTACTTGGTCGTTGCCAAGCTTTTGAATAATGCGAGCATACTGCCATGAAAGGGAAAAACACGGAGGAGAAACAAGGACGAACATTATCAGGCTTCATACTGTGCCTTACGGAAAGGGAGTCAAGAAAGGTGAGATTGTGGTGGAGAAGAGGAGGGGGAAACAGGCGAAAGTGAGAAAGCCACAACAATGACACAAGGCCAGCGCTACAAGTGGGGGTTACCTTGCGTGCAGCTAGCCGCGATTGCTCTTCACTCTTCGCGCCTGTGCACACCTGATACATCCGGGCAGCGGAGGAATATAGAGTTTTTGATGCTATCTACGGGTATATATGCGAGCAACTCAATGCTCAAGAAGCAAAGACACCCACGAACAGAAGTCAGAAACTCGCGAAGATACCAAATTCACAACAAGAAGGCTCCTCACCATTTTCCCAGAGGCGAACACGAGAGCTGTTGTCTTGGGTTCGCGTATCCGAATGATGACAGCTGCGAAACGCTGTAGGCACAGAGAGGAGAAACCGGAGACCAGAAACATAAGCTTGAACATTCTTCAAGGCTTCAACACAACACTCAGCGAGTACGCCTAGCTAAGAGCATGACTACGGACAAATTCACACAAGCTCCTAAAAGGCTCAACGGTGGCCATCCCTATATCAGAGGCGGAAGCTTAATAACCGACCCACGATTTAGGCTTGACCTCTATACCTTCTCACTTAGACGTCGAACTAGGAGCATGGATGTGCACCAGTCCGTACCTTAGGGTTGTACTCGGCGTTTCGGGCTCGGAGTGCAATCTCTTTCAAATCCAGCCGACAGTCCATGTTGACTGTAGAAACTATGTTTCTGCACGAACGAAGGAAAGAGAAAACACCCACTCGCCGACGGGTATGTCGAATTTGAATCCACGTAATCAACAGCAGAAACAAAGCTTTACTCGGCCTTGTATCAATATAGGGCCATCATTTATGACGGGAAAGGAACATACTGTAGTACAGGCACGATCCCCGAGGGGTGCTTGACTAGATCGACTGGTTGGCTCCCCTCGTCAAGCACCATGGCCGTTTGGCTCGGCAGTGCGGGCGAGGGTTCCGCCATGGCGATAGTGCCACTAAAAAGAAATAAAACAATTTCACTTTTATAAAGCACGGACAACTATTGACCGCTTTAAAGATCAACCCGTCGTCCTTGACATTAGGATAAGCTGTGCACGGCTATGCCGAGTTCTGCTCGAGAAGAGCACAGAGCCTAACTCTCAAGGCGGTGAAAGGGAAACTGAAGAAAAAGAAGCCCATCAGCGATATATGAAGGGTTCTGATGGCCCAGGCTCGTTCTGCACTCCCAAGCCGACCGCTGACGTGGTTGCTTGGGCCAGACGTGATCTGCCCGGTCGGTTTGGAAGGCCCATTCATCTGGCCGTTCGCTTTGCTTGCAGGGGTTCGGTAGAAACACGAACCTATCCCGGTTCGGATGATGTGGCTTGTGCGTGTAGTACAGTGCGCTGGGCCGTGGCCACACTTGGGGTTCTTGGCAAAATCTTTGGGATGCTGTGGCGTGGAACGTGGTTGGTGGGGCAAGTGCGCATGTGATGTGAAGCAGGAAATTTCAAGACGTCAAAATCGAACGTATTCGTTTTAGAATGACCTCAATAGGAGTTATCTACAAGAATATCGAGGGCATGTGCACTTAGAATGTCAATGCATTCAAGCCTTAAGCATCTTTACGCTTTGCTGCTATGTAGGTTTAGATTCTATGTGTCAACTGGATCGAGGCTACTTTACATTTCCAGGCGCCATTGCTCTTTTTTTAGCAACATTTTCATGTCACCACCACCACCTAGCACCCAGCTATTGATTCAAATAATGCCAATATGGTATCGTAAATAACACCCACACAATGGGACATTGCAGCATATGCATGCAACCAATGTGGATAACAACAATCATAATCAGATATATCTCGTTATCTCCACTGCGAACCGTCCTTTTTTGGTGGTTGTAACCTCTCCAATCTGTGTGTTGGGCATACACACGGGGAACAGCCTAGCACATTTGCTGCATATTTGAGAGCGCAATGCTGCTATCGAGTCATATTTCCATGTTCCTACCACAAAGATGACCTCCCAACCCAACCAAGCCTCTTTTCCCCAGCCTTTTCCCTCTCTCTGCCCCTTTCCCCTCTCTCTCTGCCCCTTTTCCATCTCTCTGCCCACCTTTCACTCTTCAGCAGCATTTCTGGCTTGGCCCACTCTCTTCCGCCCTCACTGATTGTCTTCCTCAGCCCCTTGCCGGTTCAGTAAACCACACCCCGCCTCCCCCTCTCCCTTCCATTCTCACATTGCATCTCACCACACCTCCTTCCACCATACTGACACCTCATCACCACTCTCAACACCACTCCGACCCGACCTAGCGGCCTCATTCCATCTTTAGAAGGAAAATCGAGCTCCCTACAGCAGAGACCTAATCGACATCCCTTTTCCCTTTCCCTCCTACTCACCTTGCATCTCCCTTTCCCTCGCACTGACACCACATCACCACTCTTGAGCACCACTCCTGCCTTGGCCCATGCTCTTCCCTTCCATTCCTGATCGAATACATTCCTCAGCAGAAATGTATCTATTCCCCCGCTTCTCACCTTGCATCTCCCTTTCCCTCGCACTGACACCACATCACCAGTCTTGAGCACTACTCCTGACTTAGCCGCCTCTCTCCAGTTCACTCGCACGTCCCCTTTGCTGGAAGAACAAGGTTGGGGTTGCAGAAAGGGGGTTTGAGTCGACTCAAAACACACAGGAATGAGCTCAACCCAAGATGGGAGGTGAGTGAACAGCTAGAGGTCCGCGTGGAGAGACGGAATGCATGGTGCTGCTGATGAGAGCAGTACGTGAGCCGATTAGTGCTGATGAGTGTTGAAAGCTCGCTACCAGACAAACAAAGCGAGCTCACGCTATGAGGTCGGTGAACTTGGAGCGGGAGAGGCGGAATGCAGCACTGGCGAGAGCTCTGGAGACAGGAGGCTGAACTAGTAATCGAATCACAAGCAGGCAGACAATGTGAGCTCACGCTATCAGTTCGGTGAACTTGGAGCGCGAGAGGCGGAATGCAGCACTGGCGACGGCATCAAGACGCAAGGAAGCTTCCACCGTGCGAAGCGTGTCGATTCTGTGGGAAAGAAAACAGGGTATGCAGGAATTGAAATCTGGAGGGTCTGAATGGAGAAGATAGCAAGAGAGGATAGCAAGACGGGACAGGGGAGAGATGGAATGGAAGGCAAGGCAGCACTGGCAACGGCGCGCAGTCGTAAGGAAGCTTCCACCGTAAGAGAGATCGCAGAACCACTTGGATAAGAGGGTGGAAGAGAGAGAGCTCACCTGGGAGGGGAAACTGAGAGGTCGGAGAGAGCCATGGGGTGCACGGCCACTGGCATGCGGTGCACGGCAGTGCGATGAGCGATGAGTGATGAGCGATGAGTGATGAGCGATGAGTGATGAGCGATGAGTGATGAGCGATGAGTGATGAGCGATGAGTGGTACTAATGTGCGAAGCACAGCACATTCCCTCACTGAGCTCACCTGGTAGGGGACACACTGAGGTCGGAGAGAGCCATGGGGTGCACGGCCACTGGCATGCGGTGCACGGCAGTGCGAGATGAGAGCAGGGTGGCGGTATAGCAGAGGGAACACACTTGAAGGACCCACTCACCTGGGAGGGGAAACACTGAGGTCGGAGAGTGCAATGGGTTGCACGGTGACTGGCACGCGGTGCACTGCGGTGAGTGCTGAGAGCAGGAAGTCTTGCAGGTCTGGCATGAGCGACGAAGAGCATGCTAGAATCTATCTTCTCTTGTAACCTGCATAGATGTTATAGGATAGGCTAGAGATAAGCACCCAAACTTAGTTTGGGTGTACAAGCAGGGGTTACCCAATTTGTAGGTTGGAAACCCAACCTTGGTCCAATTATTGGACCCCAAAGGTTGGGTTGGGTAGAATTATTGGTTCACACCAATAATGTTGGCCCAACCCCAACTTGGCCAACATTATTGGACCCCACCAATAATCCCCCAACCCAACTTCATGGGTGGGGTCCAATAATGGTCACCTAGGCTAGGATCCAACCCATTCCCTATGTAAACCCCCATTCTCCTCAATCCAACATCAACTTCTCTTCTAACTTTTCTTCTCACAGAGCATTGGGGAGAAGACTCACCCTGAGAACGACCCACCTGGGGGGTGACACACTGAGGTCGGAGAGTGCAATGGGTTGCACGGTCACTGGCACGCGGTGAACGGCAGTGAGTGCTGAGAGCAGGAAGTCTTGCAGGTCTGGAGAGATTATGACCTGTGCTCCCTCACCCTCCTGAGGGACGTGAATTGGAGGCAGAGAAAGAGAGGAAGGCTTGCGGGAGCACCAGATAAGAATGATGTGAAATGCTCTTGCAGGTCTGGTGGGTGCAATGAAAGGGGTTTTGAACATTGAGTAATACTCGCGTCTGGTTGGTGGGTGTGTCTGGTATCCGAGTAGACGTAGCGTGGGCTCACCAAAAGAATTACGTCACCAACTTTGTCTCTTGTTATCCCTGTCCCCAGCACTGCTCCCAGAAAGTCACCATGTGACACTGATGTTTGCTTGAACGCGCCTGATACCCTGTTGCGTAGCGGGGGGGATGGAGAAGGAAGGGGGGGGGAAGGGGAAGGCAGATGAACAAGGCGCTTTCCCGTCCCCAGCAATTCTCCCAGGAAGTCACTGTGTGACAGTGATGCCTGCTTGAACGCACCTAATAACCCGTGAAAGGGGAAGGATGGAAAAGGAAGGGAGATGAGGAATAGGAGGGGAAGGAGGTTCAGATATTTGAGGTTTATTTTTCTTCACGGCACTACTGTTGCAACTGCGCAAAGGTTAACGGCTGCAACAGCACTCCCTCCCTCCCTCTCACAGATGGCAAAAGCACATTGGTTAACCGCATGTAAAAGCATCACCTCACTGCTGCAACAGCGCCTGGGTATCCGGCTGCAAGTGATGGTATCTCATCAATTGTCCCATCAGCAGCAGCAGCACCAACATCTGCACCCACTCCCTCTGCTGCCATCAGCTCTGGAGGTCCCACTGATATTCTGCACCGCTCTGCCTGTGATGGAGGGAGGTAGGCAGGAGGGAAGGAGCACAGAGAGAAGAGGCTGGAGCAAGGGTTGCTTGTGCATGGTACCCCCGTGGCACCATCATCAGCTGCAGCATCTGCACCCACTCCCTCTGCTGCCATCAGCTCTGCAGGTCCCACCGTTACCCTGCACCGCTCTGCCTGTTGTAATTGATGGAAGAGTTGGGGGTAAGGGAGGAGAAATAGGTGGCTTGTGCACCAGAGTAAAACAGCTGAAGGAAGGGAAGGGACGGGCACCCATACGCCTGGACTTTTTGAGTCCATTCAAAAGTCACTGCATATCATACCTGGAAGTAACCGCCAGAGAGAATAGCAGTGACGTCAGCCATGTTGGAGAGGATGGGCATGATGGCAGCTTGAGAAGCAGGAGAGAGGAAGGCGGAGTGCAGCACTGAGTAGGAGGCGAGGGAACGATCGGCCTGGGGAATGGGGAAGGAGTGTGAAGAGGGTGAGGAAGGGCAGTGGCAGACAGGTGAGGTATATGAGAGGGGATTGGCATGATGTTGGGTTGGGAGGCGGGGGAGAGTAACGCAGAGTGCAGCACTGAGTAGGAGGCGAGGGAGCGATCGGCCTGGTAGGTCCCTGGGTGGGTGGGTGTGAAGAGGGAAGGAAAGAGCAGAGAGCATTGGAAGATGCCAAGCCCCCACTCACTCCCGCCAGCAAGGGGGTCCCGCCAGCATTGGGAGATGCCAAGGGGTGTGTTCCGCCCCTCGTCCTTACCCCTTGATTGGTGTTAGTCCCCAGGTTCTGCTGCTTTTCCCCCCCACACACCACGTGCCCCCCCCCATCACCTACCAGCTCCAGCACTCGGCGGGCGGTCTCCTGCTCTTCCCCACTCACTCCCTCATCTTCCTCCCCTTTCCCTTCCCCCTCTCCAGTCTCGACCTACCAGCTCCAGCACTCGGCGGGCTGTCTCCTGCTGCTCACCACTCACTCCCGCCAGAAGGGGGTTCCGTCCTTCCCCTTTCCCCACCCCATTCCCCCCACTCCCGCCACCCACCAGCTCCAGCACTCGGCGAGCGGTCTCCTGCTCTTCACCACTCACTCCTGCCAGCGAGGGGTGCCGCCCCTCCCCTTTCCCCCATCGCCTTATTATTAGCACGTCCCCCCCCACCACCCCCCCCCATGACCTACCAGCTCCAGCACTCGGCGGGCTGTCTCCTGCTCCTCACCACTCACTCCCGCCAGCAGGGGGTGCCGCCCCTCCCCTTTCCCCCGCGCGCCACCAAGCGCAATCCCAGCCTCGCGCCTCCCCGCGCGCGCCTGCACTGCGCAAAGGGACATAGAAGGCGCGGTAGGTGAAATGTGTGAGTGGCGCACACGGAGGTCGCACACATGGGGAGTCGCACACACGGAGGTCGCGCACACGGGGAGTCGCACACATGCGGACGGAGTGCTAAAGCCGTTCGACAGCCTGAGCTTAACCCTAAAGCTCCTTCGCGTACCTGTCAACCGAACGCTTGAAAAGCGCTGCTCTCTATGACCACGTGGGACAGCCTTAATCAGCCCCGGAGCCGCGTGCCACGGGCCGCCACGCTGCAGTAATTGGCGGGTTGAAAGGAGGGTTCTGATTGGTGCTAGCGAGCTAAGAGCCATTCTTATGGCTCAACTTTTGTACGCTCCCTGCAGTAAACTTTTTATTAGTACCGCTGAAAATTAGAGAAGCTGCTTGCGATTCGTCACTAACAGTATCGCCTTTCGCTAGGAATGGACCTACGTTGGGCAAGCCACCTCTCTGCTATTAGTGCCAGCGGCGCGACGCGCGCGACGCAAGTTTCGGAATCGCGCGTTCTGATAACGCCGTTCACCGCTGGTTGCCTCTCGAGATAGCAGGCACGAGGGGAGTGAGAGGTGATTTCAAGCTGATGGTGTGCAACGCGTGAATGGAGAACCGTGAGATGCGAAGCAGAGGTCGATTCTGGGACCGGTCGCACCCGTCGTCTTTAACGTTCGCAAACGTTTCCGTGCGGATTGCGCAGACGCCAGAGTGAGGATCAGAGTAAGGAACCCCGTCTATTCCCCCCCTCTCCGTCTACGCTTCCGCCTCCGTCTACGTTGACGCCTCCGTCTCCGTCTACGTCTACGTTTCCGTCGGACGTCCGGACATCCGGGTCGGGGTCAGCAACTCGGTTGTGGAAATCGGGTTCGTGAGTCCTCAAGTTGAGACGGATAAATGTCGAGCTAATCAGAATATCCTAGCAGTCTCGCACCCCCGCATCTCGCGGAACGTATATATTATTGCGTAGCGTGTTACCGAGCGTGTCGTTATGGCTTGTTATCGCGTGTTACCGTGACGCGATCATTGCGTCCTTAGAGCCATGGCTGTCGCGGGGCGAGTGTACACGGTGCGTGCGTCTAACGAGCCATTGCTTCATACAGAGTTACGGGCAACGATTAATTTCAGCTCAGTTTTAATAAGCACGTCGGCAAGAAGCCGATACTAACCTCAGGTAATCCGAATCAACAAGGACAGTCCTTTATATGGTCGCCATTACAAGAGTTCGTGAAAGATAACCTTACTAAAATCATAATCATACATACTAGTATCATGCTGCAACTACCGCAAGTATCGGTAAGCAACATGCATGCAGCAGTAGCATTTCCGGACATCTCGGGTTGAGACTACCCATTTCTCTCGCGCCGCGAGCTCCAATACGCCATTATCGAAACCGACGCGCGTTGACAGCGGATCGCCAGGGAGCTTCTCTGGCACTGCCCGATCGCAGCAGCAGCACGAACACAAGCCTGCCCGAATCTGCCCGAACCTGCCCGAACCTGCACGAACCTTCGCAAGCCTGGACGAGCTTTCGCTAGCTTGCTTAGGCCCACGCAGGCTTGTATCTCCCCAGTGAACTCTTAATCTGCCATCATCGGGACCGATGCGCCCATCGCCGCGCGCCGCGAGTTCTGCCGGCACTGCTCGATCATGGCGGCGCGCGCCTGCATGAGCCCGTCGGGCCGGAACGCGCAATCCACGTTCGACCAATCCACCCACTCCGCCGCGCCCTGCTCCCCTCCGAACGCCCCCGGAAGCGTCGCGCTGTTCGCGCGGACCCGCCGGCTGGCCGCCGGCGGCACCGGCGGCGCAAACGCCTTCGTGTCCGCTCTCGCAGCGGCGGGAGCAGCGGCGGGAGCAGCGGCGCCAAAATTCCAGGGGGAGGTCGCCCCGAAGCGCGCAGGTTCGTCGACGTTCATGTAATCCGCGGCGCCGCGGTCCCTCGCCGGGAAATACGCCGCTCCTGGCGGAAAAGGGTCTTTCATGATGCCAGCCGCCGTTTGCGGCCGTTGAAGACCGGTCGTAGCAGTAGCAGTAGCAGCACCAAGAGTACTCTGAATAGTAGTCTTCGTAGCGAGGCTCTGTCCCGAGCAAACCTCGTCGCCGCTGTCGGAGCTGTGTTGCGAGACCTCCGCGTCGGGATGCGCGTGGACGCTGCTCTCGCGACAAGGCACGTAGATCGGACGACCCAGATTCTCCTGCTGATGCTGCTGCGGCTGTTGCTGCTGCTGCTAGTTGAGGGTGAGCGGAGTGAATCGTCGCGTCGAGCGAGCGCCGGCGACGGGAGATCTGTGCCGCGTATGGTGAATATAACGAGTTTTGTAGTATCGGGTTGTGGGACGGGCGCTCGAGTTGGTCGAGCTGAAGGGACCGGCGGGGACGGCGGTGATCCTCCATGGCGTAATCCATGGCTCCTGGACGGCGGTACACGTAAAAATAATAATATAATTTAAAATCACGGAGTCGCCTTGGCAGTGGCTGCTGGAGGAAGCGTAAGGTCGAAGCGGATGGCTGCTCCAAACCTAACAGCTTCAAAACAGGTGCTTCAGCAGGTGATGTTGAGGCTCCCTGATGTGATTTACGGAAAGAAAAGCAGACCGCAAATATCTATCGAAACCTGGCAGAGCCGTGAAAGATAAGCAGTAAAGCAGGGTGGACGCAGATTTAGTGCCTGGCCTAACCAACAGCCTAAGACTGATCAAGACGAGCGGCTAGCAGCGGAACAGGAAGGATACGGATCAAGGAACCTGGCTATGCTTCCCTAACAGGAGTAGGAAGGCCAGTGCTGTGGCTTTTGATTCAAAGACAGCTTTGATTGAAGGTCATGCGGTTTCCCCTGCCCACGCAAGCAGCAGTGAGGGATTCACAGGCATCAGGCGTGGGATGCACACAGAGATGTTGCGCAGCCTACAGTTTATGGGAGGGGGAGTGAGTGAGTGAGTAAGTCAGTGAGGGAGGGAATTGGGGATGGAATGCACGCGGAATTTTGAACGGCCTGCAGTACGAGTGACTGAGTGAGGGAGGGAGGGAATGAGAAGGAAACAGACTGTTCCACAGTTTTGTACAGTACGTGTATGAGTGAGTGTGTGAGCGAGGGAGTGAGGAAGCAAGTGAGGGAGGGACGACGAGAAAAGCAAGCGTGGGAATTGGGATCAGAAGCTGAAAGGGTATTGGACGAGGGTTAACTGGTGCACTACGGCAAGCGGAAGTGGAGCAGCGCGACGGGGAGAGTCAGCGCAAGGGGGCAGGGACTGGTGAACCGAACCAAACCAGCCAAACCATTCTCATGCGGGACAAAGCTCGCTTTCCTGATTTACTGGGGGGTTTTACAGTGGTCTAATTCGGACTAGGCTCGGACTTAGGCTTGGAATCCTCTGCCCAAACTTTTGATGGTTCCGCGGCACTGACCAATCCCGTTTGGGAATACCGAAGCGAGAGTCTTTCAGGTGGCGGAAGACGGTTTCTGTGGGGCGGGGAACATGGCTCCGCCTGAAGCGCAAAAAAATGGAATGCAAGTCGCCCACCAATCACACAACGACCTGAAGGCAGTCCTTCTGTTCCCACCTGGAACAAGATTCAAAAGTGTGTGCTTCACAGCAGCTGCCAGGGTGTGTGGCCACGCTGGCAAAGTCATTCAACGGCCGACAGATGCTAATGAACCAGGAACCAATTAAATTGACGAAAACTATACCACTGCCGATTCTCTCTGCCACAGAAAAGACGACGTGGCGTTTTCTGTGGAAAAGGGCCAAACGGCAAAAAAATTGTCGAAATGTAAAAACCAGATGCTGCCCACGGTTTGTGGCAACCTCACTGCGCTTGAGCCAACCACAGCGCCGCATTTGGTGCACCAAATGCAACAGAGATCTGTACAACCTGTCGCTGGATCCCACCACCAATTGCCACGAAATGCATTGAGCCGGTTTTGTCCTTTACTAGATACGTGTACGTACAACGCGGTTGTTGGATGGAGAAGGGTCACGCACGCGGTGCTCTTCTACTGTACCCTACCGCACAAGAGATCAGGGTGGCAGGTCCGACAATTGGCGATTTTTACAAAAAGTAACACTAACATACAATAAAAACCAAGGAAATTTACAATAAAAACCTCACATACTCCTAGTGTCCAGTCGACTCATAGACAGAGCCGACTAGCAAAGTGTCAACTCATAGAGAGTGTCGAGCACTAATTCATACTTCTCTGCCATTAAACAACTCTACCTGACTCATGATACAAATGGCGAGTCCTATATCACGTGTTACTTGCTGATGCTTCCTATACGCCTCTTTGTAGTCTTACGAAGAAGAGTGCACCTGCATCATTCTCACTCCCTCCTCTTTTTCCTCACAGGTTTTCTGAGTCAGAGAGTAAACCACTTGAGGCTGCCAGACCTGGGACCAGCACCAAAGCAGTATCCGAGGTTCGTCCCAAGCCTACAAGGCCCAAATTTGCAGCAGCCAGGATACTGTCAGCCTGAGAACTGGCTTGGAATCCAGCAGAGCTGGGGAGTGGAAGGGGGTTTGAAGGAGTGAAGAGTGGTGCTGGCGTAGCAGGTGTGAGAGGACTAGCAGCAGCCGGTGTAGCCGGGTCAGCAGACGCTGCAGTTGATCCAGCTGATATAGCAAGAACAGCATTAGCAGCGGCAACAGCATCAGCAGCAGCAGTGCTGGCAGCAGCAGCAGTGCTGGCAGCAGCAGCAGCGTCTACCCCAGCCCTCAAGCTAGCAACATACTCCGTGAGGTCTGAGGTTAGGGAAACCCCACAGGTCCGGGACCGCCGAGCCAGAACTTCAGGTGCGGAACTGCAGGCCTCTGCAAAGCCTAGCGGGTTAGAGCGAGAGGCGGAGAGGAGGGGAGCACAGGTGGAAGAAGGAAGAATGGAGTGTGAGGTCCAGGTGTTGAGAAAGGGGGCATCTAGTCCTGCTGCTGAAGACAAAGGAGGATATGCGAGGTGGTTGAATGAAGACTGCTGCTGCTGTTGGTTCTGCTGGTCTTGCTGGCTTTGCTGCATCCGCTGCTGCCGCTGCTGAAGCAACTCCTGCAAAAGCATCTCCCGCTGCCTATCCTGCTCCTTCTGCTGCTGCCGACTCCGCTGCTGCTCCTCCTCCTGCTGCTGCTGCTGCTGCTGCCGCCGCTGCCGCCTCCTGCTCTCTCTGGTACTGCACGCGCATGTGGTGCGACCACCGCTCCCGCTGCGACCACCGGCCCCGCTTCACCTGCCACGCAGGCCGGTCAGACAACCCACGGGCCCTCCCCATTGCACCAGCACCACCAGAAGCAGCAGCAGAAGCAGGAGAAGTAGGAACAACAGGGGCAGAACCAGCAGCGGCACCACCACAGGCACCACCACCACCGGCAGCACCACCTGCAGCAGAAGCACCAAGGAAGGGTCTGCCAATGCCGCTGCTGCTGCACACAGTGCTTCCAACGCTGCTCCCTCTGCCCCGCCCCTGCCACCCGCCGAACCTCTTCTCCCCAGCCATCCGCTCCAAAGCAAACTCGTTGGCTCGGATGCTTGCTTCGATCATGCTCTCCATGTCTCGCCCACTTCCCTCCCCTGCTCCTCCGGCTGCTGCTCCTCCTGTTCCTTCCATCCCCACTGCAGCAGTGGCAGCAGCAGGAGCAGGAATAGCAGCACTGGGGAGGTTGCTGCTGGCTGCAGTAAAGCCAGAACGGTTCCCAGTGGTGCTGGTGTTGCAGGTGGCACCTAGAAACGAATCTAGGTGCATCTGGGGAAGGTCAGACCTCCTCCTCCTGCTGCTGCTGACGGTGGTGCTTCGGCTGAAGCTGCTGCCGCAGCCGAGAGTGTTGCTGCCAGTCCTGGGGGCGCTTGCGATGGTGCCCGAAGCAACAGCTGTGGCAACTGCAGATGCAAGGTCACCACTGCTTGTCTGCTGAAGCTGCTGTTGCTGTTGTTGTTGTTGCTGTTGCTGCTGCTGCTGCTGCTGCAGGAGCAGCAATTGCTGTTCCAACCCTTGTTTCCAAAGCGGAAGCAACACCTCCCTTTCCACACTCCTCATCCTTTCCAGCTCCTTATGCTGAACCTGCTCCTTCTGTAGAGGTTCGGCAACTGCCGAGCCTGCCAACGAGGTCTGGAGGCTGGGCTCCGCCATAGCCTCGGCGGCGATAGCCTCGGCAAAGACAGCCTCGGCGAAGACAGGCTCGGCGAAGGCAGATTCGTTGAAGGCCAGGCATGTAGAGCAGGCAAGTCCCATCATCCCTAGCACCACCTTCACATCAACCCCTTGCACCCCACACACCATGCACCCTTCTGAAGGTGCTTTCCCTAGGCCCACTCCTGGCATCACTGCAGGATTGCGCTGGGAAAGATTGGAGACCTGGAGGGTAGGATTTAAAATGGAGGGCTGTAGGGAAGGGTTCAGAGAGGAGGGCTGGAGCGCGGGAAGGGCACCGAGAATTGCGGTGGAAGAAGGTGAGAGTGATGAGGCGGCGACAAAGGAGGCGGAGAGGGTGGAGGGGGAGGAGGAGGAGGGGGAGAAGGCGGTTGATAGGCTTGCAGGGATGATGATCGCACGCCCGCCGCTGCCGTTGCTGCTGTCGCCACCGCCGCCACTGCCGCTGCCGCCGCTGCCGCCACGGGCGCGGGGAAAGGTCGCATGCTTTCTCGCCACCGCAGGGGCGGAAACCGCCGCGTGCGTGCGGGAACCGTCGCCGTTCCGCGCGCGCGGCGCAGCGCTTCCTGCCGCCGCGCGCCGAGCGTCGGCGCCGCCGAAACTCGCGGGGAAGGGGGTGCCCCACGCGGAAGTGCGTTGCGCGGGGAAGGCGCTGGGCTGCAGCAGCGGAATGGCGAGGGGCGCGCCTGGGGGGGAGGCGGACGCGGCGAGCGCGACCATTGCCTCTTGATTCGGGTCAACCGCGGAGGGCATCTGGCGGAGCGGACGCGCGCCGACCGCCGTTTCCGCGGCTTCCGCCGCTTCCGCGGGCTGCGCAGTTTCCGCCGCATCCCCGCGCGCGTTGTCACCGTCGCCGGCGGCGGCGGCGCCGTCAGCCGCCGCAAAAGCGGCGCAATGCGCGTCGTCGGCCCATGCTGCGGCGGAAGGAGGAGGCTCGGGGTCGAAATTTCCGCCTTCCGACGGCGGGTGAGAACTACTAGTCTTAGTAAAACGGGGGTTCTCATTTTGCCAATTCGTTCCCCCCACAACAGCGGGAAACTCGACAAGCGTGGTTTTCCGCTCCGACGTTAGGGTTTGGCGGATCTGCTCCGCTCCGCCCTTTTGTTCCGCTCTTTCGCTCCCCTCGCCGTCAGCTTGCGCGGAAAACCTTTCTCCGCTCGCCGTCGCCTTGTCGTCCCGCTCGAGTCGCTCTTGCTGCGGCTGCGCCAGTTGTTCCTTCTGCTGCGGCAGGTGTTGCTGTTGCTGTAGCAGAGATGCCTGTAGCGCGGATATCGACGCTTCTAGCTCCGCTAATGAAACTTCCATCAGCCCGCCCCTTCCCCCCAGCGCGTTTCCCGCCACCCTCACCCCTTGCTTCTCCGCCGCGCCGCCGCTAGTAATAGTAACTGCACTTCCGCCTCGTTCCTGCGGTTCCGCCGTTCCGCGCGCCGGTCGTGCGCGGATCACAGCTTCCAGTAGGCCTTCATATAATCCGCTTTCCGCGCCCTCCGCGCTCTCCGCGCCGAAATTCCCGCGAACCTCCGCCTCCTCCGCAACTGCTGGCGTCGCGACTTCCTCTCCGCGAGCAGCCGCCAATTGTAGGAGCCGCGGCGCGTCCGTCGCTAGCTGGCTCGCCCCGAATCGCGCCGTGATTCGCGCAAGCGTCTCTGCGGGAGTTCCGCCGTTCCGCCCGCCCTCCCCCGCAGCAGGCGCGCTAAGCATCTCGCCCAGCACCGCCTGCTCTGGCGGAACGTGCGGCTCCGCAGATCCGGCTACAAAGGCTTCGCGCGGATAACCCTCCGCGCGCTCGTCGTTCCGCCCCCCCGCGCCGAGCAGCGGAGTTCCCGCTGCAGGGGAAACGCTCTGAGCGCCATGAGCGGTATGCGCGCTCGGGCTTCGACTCCGGCGGGCGCCGCCGCCGGAAGCTGCGCCCACGTGGCGCGGTAATACGGCGGACAAGGGTGAGTTTTCCGCAAGTTGGTTGAACGAAGTTTCTTGCGAAGCATTGACGGATGGAGAATCCATGGCGGACGGCAGTCGGCGTAGATTGTTGTGCGGCCTTGCCGATCGCGCTAATGTGCGATCTTCGTTCGCGCTAATGTGCCGAACGAAGTATCTTGCGTCGTCAGGAACTGCAGCTTAACGTGAATTCGGAGCCAGTCACGTCTCTAGCGTGTTTCTAATCAGCCAACTCCTGAAATTTCGATGGCGAAAAATCCCCAACAACTTCAACGACGTCGGCAATTTCAACTGCGAAAGCATCGAGTGTCGCTTCGACTTGTGATTGCGGTACTAAGCCTGCAGAGTCAGCGCTGCATCAACGGGATTCACGCGCTGTCGCACTGCTGTCCCTGCAGCGCGCGACGCTCATTTCCTGCTGCGCCCCTGCTGCTATTGCGGCTGCTGTCGCTAGCACACTCGCCCGCGGCGCGCGATCGCCTGGATTGAGAGATGACAATATCGGCGTTGAAGTTCGAAGAAGAGTGGAGCCTATCAAGCTGTCTTCAGAAGAGAAATCCCAATATTGGCTTGTCGAGAGAAATCCGGTTAGTCGCAATAACCACCGGGAGTCGAGAGAAATCCGGAGAAAAGGACGAGAAACTCTCTCAGAGACAGGCTTGCGCCAGCTCCATTTGTCGTCGCGATCTGCGACGTCGCGAAACGCTCCCAGTCGACTCGACTGTCCTGTCGTCGCGAGTCTTGTGCGGGAAGATTAGTGGAGTGGGGAGTGCGACGTTGACAGCTCTCACGAACTCCACGCGTGCGGCGGTGACAACTTGTGGATGTGGGAACTTGTTGGATTGAGCGCGAGTGACAACTTTGTTGGCGCAAGCGGCGAGAGTGACAACTTGCTGAACCTCGGAACACCAGCGGAGCTCGGAACACCAGCGGAGCTCGGAACACCAGCGGAGCTCGGAACACTGGCGGAGAGTCGACTGGCGGAACTCGGAATCACAATGGCGGAAAATGCGAGTGGAGGGGGATCGGGATTCTAGAGTGGAAACTGCAGCTGAGCTGTTGTGCTGTCGTGACTACTATCTGTGCTGCGAAGATGCGTATGCTTGAAAAATGATCGGCGGCGCGAATAATGCCACAGCAAGGCGTTGAATCTTGTAGAGAAGAGCTACTTACAAGAACAGGCGGTGGGAAATGAGCTGCGATGCAGCTGTTGCTGCTATGAACTCGTCATGTTTCGTATCTGGCAGTCGCGGTGGTGGGAAGAACAGCTACTAAAAAAGACAATGCTGCGAGTCTCGAGATATCACGCACAGGCGGGTGACAGAGGCGATGAAGGGAACGATATAGCGGTTAGGACTGGCATTGGAATGGAAGGACGAGTTTGTGTTGCTGCCTTCGTGAACGCTTACTGAAGATAAGCTGGAGTGGCGGGGAGAGGTACTATTGTGAGTTAGTGCGATTCGAAAATGCGGAAGATCGGATGCGAACCAGCTTGCGCTGCGGAACGCCAGAAAGGAAATCTGCTGGGCTAGCGAAGCGCAGATGGATGTCGAGATCGCGAAATGTGCACGAAGTAAGCGACGAAGTGTGGCGAAAGGATATTAGCCAGGAGGTGAAGGGAGAACGAGTGAGAGCTTGGATTGTGGGGCTGATGGAGAAACGGATAGCGGTGGGGGGTGGGGGTAGCGGAGGGGGCATTTGCAAGTGTGGGCTGGCAAAAGCCTCGGAGAATCCTTATCATGAACTGTAGTGCACACGTTCACTGTAATTTCACGATTGAAGAAGCAAAGTCCCTTGCTAGCTGTCGGGCAACCTGGCAGGGAGTGGATGTGTTTGGGCAGTTCTAGGTCAAATTTGCTTGGTGGATAGCAAATGCAGGAAACGTGCATCCTGCCCAGAAATGCACACATCACATGGGGCAGTGAAGAGAACTGAAGGTTCTAGGAGCACAAACCGCACATAACGTCGAATCCAAGGCGTCCAATGTTCATCAGGTAAATGGAACGTGCGAGTGATTATGAACAACAGAAATAAAATCTGTGAGCAAGGGAAAGTTCCACCGAAGCCGCAACATAACCAAGGTCACCAGGGGCACAACTGGCTCGTGGAGGCAAAGTTTTCAAATCTATTCAAACTTAACAAAAGCCTCCCACCCAGTGAGCCTTTTTGTTCGGCGTGGACAAACAGATCACGACTTTAAACAAATGGGTGTGCTCTCCAGGGCATCGCATTTTTTTCTGCAGCGCTGGCCCCTCCTGTAAATTAATCTCCACTGTGGGCACAATCCTGAAACACTGAATCAACCAATCAATGAGTGTACCGCGTTTGACGTACAGTAGCAGCTAACTTTGACTAATCGCAGCTCGCGTCGGATTCGCCGTGTGCACGGTATTTTGAAGGAAAAACACACCCTTGATGTGAAGGTTTATTCACTCTGGTAAATAAGCTCCATTATCTCTAATGAGGCGTACGTCATTGATATACGCTAGGTGTTCTAGATGTTGGTTGGCCTATGACCAAACCCTTTTGAAAGGTACAAAATGTGAAGTTCAGAGAGCAATGGGTTGTGAAGTGATGGGAAAAAAACTCTTCAATGATCAGGTCTGGCAAAATGCATAACGTGGGCCCCACGTGCAAGTTTTGCCCTATCAATCGCCGCGTTCGAATCTGCACAGTGTAAAGACGTGATCCAATCATGGCTTGTAGCTGGCCATGAGCTGCGCAAAACAAAGGCCTCTGTTACCTACACTCGTCGTTTTTTCGACCCCTTTGTCCTATCCGAGTGTTACTCTTGACATGTGACGTGTCCCTCCGTGTGATTGCGAAGCACAACAACGTTTCGGCGAGGAGATCTGGCAGCCTGCACTTGGCAAATCTTTCAACGCGGAAAAAGATCACAGTACAATAGTGAAGTCTTGTTTGGGTTGAACTATGGATACATTTAGGTGGGCGGTGACAACGGTGGATTCGGGGTGTATGAGTAATATCATCAATACTTTGAAGTGTTCATCATCTGTACAGCCCATAAAAACTTGTCTCTAAAAGTAGTGTCCAGGACATTCACAGTTCCGCTTTGGGCTCAGGATTTGGTCACGCAACATGTGTCATCCCAATTATAGTCTGCATGAATACGGTTGGGTCAAATACTCTATCGAGCTAGTGAAACCTTATCAAATGCCCAATGCCCCAAAACAACACATGGAAATCAGGACAAGTATAATAGAAGCCAGAATCAACGGAAATCGAAGGCCTCGGGAGGAGCAGGCTCCTCGTCATCATCATCGTCATCAGCAGCAGGAGGTGGGGGGGGAGGGGGAGCACCTCCCCCTCTCCCGCCCCTCCCCCCTGCTCCTCCTCCCCCGCTCCTCCTGAATGCCCCCACAGGAGCAGTAGCAGCAGCAGGGGCGGCAGCAGCGGCAGTGCGGGCAGCTCCGGAATTTCCGGCCGCAGCCGCATTCGGCCCGTCAGTGAGCGCGAATTCTTCGGGCTGCCCGGGCTGGCGATCCTTGAGGAGCAGAAAACCAGACGTCGGCTTCCTGATTGGTGCGTAACGGCAGGTGTCCGGGAACTTGATGTATTTTTCTTGGGCGGGCAGCACTCGGGCAGGATTGTGGAGGATTTCAGACGTTGGCTCGGACGGCTTTTTGGCTTCAGCAGCAGCACCAGGGGTGGTCTCAGTCCCCTCAACCTGCAAGGATGGAAGGTAAGAGTCGGAGGAGTTGCAGAGAAGAAAAATGGTACGACAGGAGAAAGGTTTGGAGAGAGGGTGGGCGAGAGCAGTGGAGAGGGGTGAAGAAGGGTGGAACAGGTTAGAAATTGGTAGAAACCAGACAATGAAACAGGTTGCACACTACTGTTTGGTCAAATAGAAGGCCCCATAAATACGGGCTATGCATAGGGATCTAGGGTGCGAGGGCGAGGAAAGCAGGAGCATACATCGATGCAAGCGAAAGAAAGCCATGAGCGGGCGGGGAACGGGGGGTGGGAGTGGCGGGCGGAAGGGGTGACATGAGCACAAGAACAGTGGGAAAGTGTGGGGAAAGTGTGGGGAAATGTGGGAGGGCAGGTGCGGATCAACACTCACCTCCATAGCATCTCCTTCCTTCTTCTCCTCTCCCTTCTTCCCTCCCTCCTCCTCGGCCCCCTTCACCCCATCCATTGCAACCCCACCCTCCCCAGCCTTCCCCTCGCCCCCATCCTTCTTCTCCTCCTCCTTCTCCTTCTTCTCCTCCTTCTCCTTCGCCCTCCCTTTCGCCCTAGCAGCCGTCGACAGCACCGCAACCGGCGCCTTCACAGCCGTGCTGCTACTAGCCACCACCGCGGGTGGCGGGTACGCAAACAGCCCTGGGCGGCACTCCGAAATAAAATCAAATCTCGGCGCCTTCAGATCCTCCTGAAGCCCGACGAGTGCCGTTGCGGAGAAGGAGAGAGAGAGGAAGTGCAGCAGCGGGAACCAGTACCAGTACTGGGTGAAAAGAGCCATGCCAATGACAGCGGTTACGCGATCGTAACCGGAGCGCGAGCGCAGGGAGATGGTGACGTTGCGGCCGCCGGCGTCGAGGATTCCCGAGGCAAGAATGGCGCCCATCTTGCACATGGTGTCCTCGTGCTTGTCGTGAATGGCCTTCTCGAGTTGGCGCCTGGGATGGGAAGAACGGGGGGGGGGGAGAGCAGGAGCGCAGGGAGATGGTGACGTTGCGGCCGCCGGCGTCGAGGATTCCCGAGGCAAGAATGGCGCCCATCTTGCACATGGTGTCCTCGTGCTTGTCGTGGATTGCCTTCTCGAGTTGGCGCCTGGGGAAGGGAGGTAGTGTAAGCAAAGAGGAGTGAATGAGGGAGGGAAGGATGCCGGAAGCGAGAATGGCGCCCATCTTGCACATGGTGTCCTCGTGCTTATCGTGAATGGCCTTCTCAAGTTGGCGCCTGGTGAATGCAGGGGTAGTAACAACACATAGGAATGAGGGACAGGGGGGAAGGAAGTGGCGGGCAGCGAGAATGGCGCCCATCTTGCACATGGTGTCCTCGTGCTTGTCGTGAATGGCCTTCTCGAGCTGGCGCCTAGAGAACATGGCAGACAGAAAGGCAGGGGAGGGAAGCAGCTAGCAGGGAAGGGAGGCTGGGGTACAGCAGAGACCCAAGGCTCACCTGGATGTCACCACGCGCGGCTCGCGTTCTTGCGAACACTGCATGAGCACCAAAGCTGTGGCCATGAGGGCACCCTGCCTCACAAAGTCCACCCCGTCCGATGCGAGTGGCTCCAGCAGGTCCAGTGCACTCCTTGGCTCCCTCTCGTGAGGCAGCAAGACCCAAGGCTCACCTGGATGTCACCACGCGCGGCTCGCGTTCTTGGGAACACTGCATGAGCACCATCGCCGTGGCCATGAGTGCCCCCTGGCGCACAGCCCTCCCCCACATGAACAGATCTCGAGTAATAGGCCCACCCCTCACCTGAAGGTGACCACCCTTGGTTCTCTCTCCTGCGAGCATTGCATGAGCACCATAGCTGTGGCCATCAGCGCGCCCTGCCGCACAAAGTCCACCCCGTCTGACGTGAGCGGCTCCAGCAGGTCGAGAGCGCTGCGCTGCGCCGTGCCCGCGCATGCGATGCCGACTGCCATGGCTGCCCCGTAGCGAACGTGGGGGTTGAAGGACTCGGCCAGGAGCGACACCATACGAGGAATCTACAAGGCAAGTGGTGGAGGGCGGTGCAAGCGGAGTGAGAGCGGTGGGGGGTGGTGCACAAGGAGAGATAGGGGTTGAGGGTGGTACAACAAGGGTTAGAAGCGGTGAGGAGTGGCTCCAGCAGGTCGAGCGCACTCCGCTGGGCCGTGCCGGCGCATGCGATGCCGACTGCTATGGCTGCCCCGTAGCGCACGTGGGGTTTGAAGGACTCTGCCAGGAGAGAAACCATGTGGGGGACCTGATGGGAGAAGATGCAAGGGAAGGAGAGCGGTGGAGGGCGGTACAATGGGAGAACGAGGATGGAATAAGTGCGAGTGGCTGCCCCGTAGCGCACGTGGGGGTTGAAGGACTCGGCTAGGAGAGACACCATGCGAGGGACCTGGAGAGCAAGCATAAAGGGAGGGAGAGCGGTGGAGGGTGGTACAGGTGGAAAGAGAGCGGTACAAGGGTTAAAAAGGAGATTGAGGAGGAGTGGCTCCAGCAGGTCCAGTGCGCTGCGCTGGGCCGTGCCGGCACATGCGATGCCGACTGCCATGGCTGCCCCGTAGCGCACGTGGGGTTTGGAAGACTCTGCTAGCAAGGAGACCATGCAGGGAACCTGATACGAAGGGAAGGAGAGCGGTGCAGGGCGGTACAACGGGAGAACGAGGATGAAATAAGTGCGAGTGGCTGCCAGTGGCTGCCCCGTAGAGCACGTGGGGGTTGAAGGACTCGGCTAGGAGAGAGATCATGCGGGGGACCTGCAAATTATGAAGGCAGGGCACGCACGAAGGGGAGAGAGAGGGGTGGAGGGTGGTACACAGGGAGTGGTGGAGAGTGGTACAAGGTTCATAAGGGGAGAGCGGCGAGGGAGTGGCTCAAGCAGGTAGGCTCACTGTTATAACAATGAAACTAGTTTCCCCCTCACCTGATCGGGCTCAGCACAGAGCACGAAACCCAGGCGCAGGACAGCGATAGAGAGCAGGGCACGGGGAGTGGAAAGGAGGGAAAGGAGGGAACGGAGGGATATTAGGGACAGACCCAGCCCTCTCCCCCTCACCTGATCCGGCTCGGCACAGAGCACAAAGCACAGGACAGCAGAGAGAGAGGGCGAGACACAAACAGCAGGCTCCCTCACCATAACCTTTCTCTCCCCCTCACCTGATCCGGCTCAGCACAGCGAACGAAGCCAAGGCACAGCACCGCGGTAGAGAGCAAAGAGTAGATAGTAGAGAGTAGAGACAGAAGAGAGACAAACTCCCACTCTCGCGCACCTGATCAGGCTCGGCGCAGAGAACGAAGCCCAGGCACAGCACGGCAGCGCGCCTGACGTCATCGCTGACGTCACTGACGGCAAAGTGCAGAAGCTGCCGAATGGCGCCGTTGTTGGCGGTGCCGCGGTAGGCCATGGCGATGGCGTACATGCCGCCGTAGCGCAGGATCGGGTCAGCGTCCGTGGTCATCTGCTGGATGAGGATATCTGCCTCCTCTTCCCGGCCGTACACCACCAGGGAGATTCCTACAGCCAAACCCCTGGAGCATTCTCAAGGGGAGAAAGAGAGGAAGGTTGGGGGAGGGTGGGGGAAAGAGGAAGAGAGGGGGGGGGGGGGGGGGGGGGGGGGGGGGGGTATATAGAGAGTTGGGTGCCGCGGTAGGCCATGGCGATGGCGTACATGCCGCCGTAGCGCAGGATCGGGTCGGCGTCCGCGGTCATCTGCTGGATGAGGATATCTGCCTCTTCCTCCCGGCCATACACCACCAGGGAAATCCCGACCGCCAGGCCTCTGGAGTGGGAGGGAGGGATTGAGTGGTTGAGAACGGTGCATGAGTGTGGATGGATTTGCTGAATGAGGATATCTGCCTCCTCTTCCCGGCCGTACACCACCAGGGAAATCCCGACCGCCAGGCCTCTGGAGTGGGAGGGAGGGATTGAGTGGTTGAGAACGGTGCATGAGTGTGGATGGATTTGCTGAATGAGGATATCAGCCTCTTCTTCCCGGCCATACACGACAAGGGAAATCCCCACTGCCAGGCCTCTGTGGGAATAGGGTTGGAGAGTTGTCACGGAGGAAGAAAGAGACAGGGGAGGGCGGGGAAATAGACGGATGGTTGTTGGCGGTGCCGCGGTAGGCCATGGCAATGTCGTACATGCCCCCGTAGTGCAGGATTGGGTCGGGGTCGTCATCTGCTGGATGAGGATGTCCGCTTCCTCCTCCCCCCCGTACACCACTAAGGAGATTCCCACAGCCAGGCCTCTGGAGGAAGCAAGATGCGCGAGAGAGGGGGGGGGGGGTTGGGGGACAGGGGAGTGGGCGGTTAATGGAAGGTTAATTGGCCCGTTTTGGCACCCCGTGTTGGGCCAGCACCCCAGGTTGGTTGTTGGCGGTGCCGCGGTAGGCCATGGCGATGGCGTACATGCCGCCGTAGCACGAGGGGGGAAGAGGAGCGGGAGAGAGGGGGAGGGATTGAAAGGGTTGGGTTGACCCGTTAAGCCGTTGGTGCCGAGGTAGGCCATGGCGATGGTGTGCATGCCCATCTCACCGGCCCAGAGGTGTGCTACAGTACATTGTGTATACATAAGCATGTATTCATTCGAAAACCATCCCCCCATCTGATGATCTTCTCATGCTGGGTGTCATGGGCATAAGCCAGCATCTCCGCCGCCCGCTCAGAGTGTGTGTGTGTGTGTGTGTGTGTGTGTGCGTGCGTGCGTGTGTGTGTGTGTGTGTGCGGCCATTTGATAATCCCCTAACCCTCTAGGCAACCAGCCCCCGCACCTGATGATCTTCTCATGCTGCGTGTCATGGGCATAAGCCAGCATCTCCGCCGCCCGCTCAGAGTGTGTGTGTGTGTGTGTGTGTGTGTGTGTGTGTGTGTGTGTGTGTGTGTGTGTGTGCGTGCGTGTGTGTGTGTGTGTGTGCGGCCATTTGATAATCCCCTAACCCTCTAGGCAACCAGCCCCCGCACCTGATGATCTTCTCATGCTGCGTGTCATGCGCGTAAGCCAGCATCTCCGCCGCCCACTTGGTGCATGTGTGCGTGAGCAGCAAATTGATAGACCCCTAACCCTCTAGTGGACCCTCTCCTCACCTGATGATCTTCTCGTGCTGCGTGTCATGGGCAAAAGCCAGCATCTCTGCCGCCCGTTCGTACCACAGTGTATCACTGTTATCGCATAGCCATCTCCTTACTGATCAACATCCTCCGACTTACCTGATGATCTTCTCATGCTGCGTGTCATGGGCGTAAGCCAACATCTCTGCCGCCCGCTCAGTGTGTGTGCATGTGCGACCATTTGATAATCCCCTAACCCTCTAGGCAACCAGCCCCCGCACCTGATGATCTTCTCATGCTGCGTGTCATGGGCGTAAGCCAGCATCTCTGCCGCCCGCTCGCTCGCCGACCCAACCAGCAGCAGCCCCATCGCGATCCCCGCCGCCTCGCCCGCCACGGCACTATCGGTGTAGAGCACGCTCTTCACGTCCTCATACACCTCCTCCTCGCCCGTCCCCATGGCCGCCAGGCCCACTCCCAGGCACGCCCCATGCTGGATCGTCTGTACAGCTCAGGGTTCAGGGATGAAAGTGTGAAGTGCTCAAAGGGGTAACTTTTGAGTCGACTCATTAGTCACCACGCCCCATGCTGGATCGTCTGTACAGCTCAGGGTTCAAGGTTGAAGTGTGATGTGCTCAAAGGGGTCGTCTGTACAGCCCTAAACCCTAAAACCCTGCCTTACCTCGTTGCTGGTGTTGCGGAGGCTCTCAAGCAGGAAGCCCTTGATGCTCTCCCCGTGGTTCGCATGAATGAGCCCCAGAGCATACAGCGCCCCGCCCTCCGAATACGCACTCCCACTCAGCCCGCCTGCTGCTGCCCCAGCGCCCCCCCCAGCCCCGTGGGGCAGGTAGGGCGCCATGAGGGAGCGCCCCTGCTGCAGGTGCCCCCTGTGAATCACCCCCAGCCCGGCTGTAGCGCTGAACTTGGCCCAGTTGGTCGCTCGGCTCAACCAGTCCTGAGGGTTCAGGGTTTAAGGTTGGGGTTTGGGAGAAATGGTGGAAAAGAGAGGGAGCATAAGGGGAGGCAGGGAGCCATGAGGGAGCGCCTCTGCTGCAGGTGCCCCCTGTGGATCACCCCCAGGCCGGCTGTAGCGCTGAACTTGGCCCAGTTGGTCGCTCGGCTCAGCCAGTCTTGAGGGTTCAGGGTTTAAGGTCGGGGTTTGGGAGAAATAGTGCAAGGAGAGAGAGTGTAAGGGCAGGTAGGGAGCCATGAGGGAGAGTGCTCCTGTTGATCCCAGCGCTGCCCCCAGCCCCGTGGGGCAGGTAGGGCGCCATGAGGGAGCGCCCCTGCTGCAGGTGCCCCCTGTGGATCACCCCCAGGCCGGCTGTAGCGCTGAACTTGGCCCAGTTGGTCGCCCGGCTCAACCAGTCCTGGGGGTTCAGGGTTTGGGCGGGTTTAGGTCAGGTTTGGGGTTTGAAGGAAAGGTGGGGTGGGACAAGAAGAGAGAGTGTGAACGCAAGTAGGGAGCCACGAAAGAGTGCCTCTGCTGCAGATGAGAGAGCGCTCTGTGTGTGTGGATGGCTCCTACTGACCACATTCCCTCCGCACATGACCATGCCCACATGCACGCCTGTTCCTGCATGCATGAATGATGACTGTGCCTACATGCATGCATGATGCATGGGCACACTCACCAGATTGTCTCTGAGGAAGGTGTCGACTGTTGTGCCCGCATGCATGAACGCGTTGGCAACGATGGTGGCACTGTGGCACACGCTGTTGCGCGTCTCCACCACCTGCTTGATCGCCTTGAGCACTCCCAGGTCCGCCCTGCGAGGGATGAAGGGGAGCAGAGGAGAGATACGAACCGGATTTAAGGGGGACAATGGTGGCACTGAGGCACACGCTGTTCCTCATCTCGACCACGCACTCCCAGGTCCGCCCTGTGTGGTAATGAGGCAGGGACGGAAACAGGAGGGTTTTAATTGGGACGGGGAAGAGGGGTTCACAATCAATGGTAGCGCTGTGGCACACGCTGCTCCTTGTCTCCACCACATGCACTCCACCAATGTCAACGTTGTTGTGGCTGCACAGGAACTGCGGAGTGAAGGCCAGTACCTGAGAAACCACTTCTGAGGCGCGTCAAAAGGCGCTGTGACACACGCTGTTCCCCAGCTCCACCACATGAACTCACTCGTTGTGTGGCTATACAGGAACTGCGGGGTGAAGGCCGATTTGACTTTTGAGTCAACTACAGGAACTGCGGGGTGAAGGCCAATCCTTGCGAGACCAACGTTGACAGACAAACAAACATCTTCACATCGGTAGTAACACTAATACCACCTAAACCCCAAACCCAGCACTCACTTGTTATGGCTGTACAGGAACTGCAGAGTGAGGCCAATCGGCGTCTCCCCCGACAGAATCCCCTTCAGCTTCGCCAGCCGCTCCGCATACACCACCTCCTCGCTCGGCGCAGCCTCGGCAGCCGCCTCGCCCTCCCCCGAACCTGCAGCTTCGGCCGAACCAGTACCGCCTGCCTCGGTAGTATCCATGGTGCTTGTCCCGTCAGCCTCGGCGGCAGGCTTGGCTGCCCCATCTTCAGCAGCTGCTGTAGCCGCATCTGTCGCCTCTCCCCCCTCTGCCTTCACTGCTCCTTCTCCCTCCTTCCCTTCCTCCGTCTCCATCTCTGCAGCCCCATCAGTAGCACCAGCAGCATTGCCTCCCTCTGCTGCTGCTGCTGCGCCTGTTGCAGCAGCCTCACCACCAGCCGCCGCCGCCTCCGCATCCGCTGCTGCAGGAGCAGCCGCAGCAGCAGCAGCAGCAGCAGCATCCGCCTCCGGAGCAGCAGCAGCGGCATCAGCATCAGCATCAGCAGAGGCCGGAACAGCAGGGGCAGGAGCAAGCGGGGGCGGCGGATCAGGCAGAGCATCCCTCACGGACAGCAGGAACTGCTGAAACTCATTCTCGAACAGGTCAAAGGCGACCTGGTAGGCCAATAGAGCATCAGACTCGGTCTGCCCCTTGATGAGTCGGTCCAGTGTTGCCGCCACCCCTGCTGCATCGCTGAGGAACATGAGCATCTGGCATATGCTGCCGTAGTCGGGGGTCTCCGCCTGCTGGTATAGGCGCACCAGCGTTGAGAGCACCTGGGGCAATGAACAAGGGGGAGGGGCAAGCGAAAAGGCCAAGGGGTAAGGGAAGGGGGTCGCTGAGGAACATGAGCATCTGGAATATGCTGCCGTAGTCGGGGGTCTCTGCCTGCTGGTACAGCCTCACCAGCGTGGATAAGACCGGAGCAACAACATGAATGAGAGGGAACGAGAGAGGGGAGTCGTTGGGGAACATGAGCATCTGGCATATGCTGCCGTAGTCGGGGGTTTGCACCTGCTGGTACAGGCGCACCAGCGTTGAGAGCACCTGGAGGTGGGGGTGGAGCCAGTGGAAGGGAAGTATGAGTCACAGCAAGGTGCAATGGGGAAGGGCATGCGGGAAGGGCGACAGAAAAAGGAAAAGAAGAAGGGCAAGGGAAGAGCAAGGGGGAGGGCAAGGGGGAAGGGGGAACGGGGAAGGCCAAGGGGGAAGGCCAAGGGGGAAGGGCAAGGGGAACGGGCAAGGGGTAAGCGCAAACGGAGTCATGGAGGGAGAGAGTTTGACACATGAAGAGAGGGCGAGTGAGAGGGCGAGGGTGAGCAATAGAACGAGAAAAAGCGGGTTCAGTACCTGCTGCCGGAACTGTCTGCGGTTGACAAGGGAGTGAGAGACCTGCACGGGAGGAAGCACCAGCAAGGCAGGCAGGCAGGAAGGAGGTACAGCACATAGTGGGGAGAAACGAGTTGAAACAAGTGGAGGAATAACTTAGTTAGAAAGGTTCAGTGCAGCACGGAGGGTTATGTGCAGTGCAGCACAAAGCGGAGAGAGAAAGGTTCAGGCACTGGGATCTATAACTTGTTTGGAAGATAAGACAAATGAATGTGAAGCAGCTGAAGTGTGAAAATGTTGAGCAGCGAGTGGGGTTTAATTCAAGCATGCGGTTGGGTAATTATGAGCCTACCTGGAGGCAATAAGCAAGCAGGGAGCGCGAGTTGCCACTCCTGGCAACGGCAGCCTCGAGCTTGTCAAGTCGGCGGCACTCCAGCGCCACTCCAATGGCCTGCTGGAACTGACGCTCCTCAATGCAGCTGTGGGGGAAGAGGAGGGAGGGGAGAGGAGGGAGAGGGGAGAGGGGGAGCTATTAGTGAGTGCAGCACTCCAGCGCCACTCCAATGGCCTGCTGGAACTGACGCTCCTCAATGCAGCTGTGGGGGAAGAGGAGGGAGGGGAGAGGAGGGAGAGGGGAGAGGGGGAGCTATTAGTGAGTGCAGCACTCCAGCGCCACTCCAATGGCCTGCTGGAACTGACGCTCCTCAATGCAGCTGTGGGGGAAGAGGAGGGAGGGGAGAGGAGGGAGAGGGGAGAGGGGGAGCTATTAGTGAGTGCAGCACTCCAGCGCCACTCCAATGGCCTGCTGGAACTGACGCTCCTCAATGCAGCTGGAGTGGAAGGGGAGATGGGAGGGTGAGGAGGGTGAGCAGGCAGGAAAAGGGTCAAACGCGGAAAGAGTGGGTTTCAATAGGTGAGCGTGGCACTCCAGCGCCACAATGTCATGAGGCGCGGGTCCAGAGGATAGTCGGCGTCAGGGTCATGGGAGTTTCACTCCGCACAAATAGGTTAGCCATCCTCTCGCACATGCATGCAAAGAGCAGCAAGAGTAGCAAGAGCACCACTCACTTGTCGAGCATCCTCTCTACGATGGCCACGAGGCACGGGTCCAGAGGATAATCGGCGTCGGGATCATGGGAATCAACACACCAGGTTCGCTATCCTCTCGCACATGCATGTATATCATCCCCACAAAAAGATCAACACTCACTTGTCGAGCATCCGCTCCACGATGGCCACGAGGCGCGGGTCCAGCGGATAGTCAACGTCGGGGTCATGAAAGTCCACACACCAGATTTGCTATTCTCTCGCACATGCATGTGAATCAAGAAAGTCCCAACACCATGGAAATCATCCCAGCAACAGCAATACTCACTTGTCGAGCATCCGCTCCACGATGGCCACCAGGCGCGGGTCCAGAGGATAGTCGGCGTCGGGGTCATGGAAGTGAATCAACACACCAGGTTAGCCACCCTCTCGCACATGCATGCAGCGGAAGCAGCAGAAGCACCACTCACTTGTCGAGCATCCGCTCTACGATGGCAATGAGGCGCGGGTCCAGGGGATAGTCGGCGTCGGGGTCATGGGATGGGAGTCCACTCCGCACAAATAGGTTAGCCATCCTCTTGCACATGAATGAAAATCAACCCAACGGCAGCAACAGTATCACTCACTTGTCGAGCATCCACTCTACGATGGCCACGAGGCGAGGGTCCAGAGGATGGTCGGCGTCCGGGTCATGGGAATTGTCACAGTGGGTTAGCCATCCTCTTCCAGATCCATGCAATTCATCCCAGCAAGAGCAGCGAGAGCAGCAAGAGCAGCAAAGGTAACAATTGCACCACTCACTTGTCGAGCATCCGCTCCACGATGGCCACGAGGCGCGGGTCCAGAGGATAGTCGGCGTCAGGGTCGTGGGAGTCGGCGCGCTTGACACTCAAATCCATGTACTCGTCAATGCACTTGGCTGCACGGAGTGGTGCGCAGGGCAGTAAGGGACACACGGAGAACACACGGGGTTGAGGCAGAGGGTCATGGGAATCCGCACGCTTGACACAGAGATCCATGTACTCGTCAAGGGATCGGTGCAGGGGGCACACACACAAATCAGAGATGGGAAAGTGATTAACAGGGCAGTGAGTCACAGGATAGACGGCGTCGGGGTCATGGGAGTCGGCGCGCTTGACACTCAAGTCCATGTACTCGTCAATGCACTTGGCTGCACGGGGGGGGGAGTGGTGCATGAGGCAATGGGAGACACAAGGAAAACACAGAGAGTACTGAGACAGGGGAATGATGCATGGGGTCGTGGGAGTCAGTGCACTTGACACTCAGATCCATGTACTTGTGACTCGTCAATGCGTTTGGCTGCAGGCAGACACGGATATATCACACACGGGACTTTTGAGACGTCTCAAAAATGGGGTCGTCATGGGAGTCGGCGCGCTTGACACTCAGGTCCATGTACTCGTGACTCGTCAATGCATTTGGTTGCAGGCAGACACGGGAATAACACACCCAGGACACCTGAGACGTCTCAAAAATGGGGTTACGGGAGTCGGCGCGCTTGACACTAAAGTCCATGTACTCGTGACTCGTCAATGCATTGGCTGCAAGCAGACACGGGTATATCACACACGGGACACTTAGACGGACATGGCGCACACAGGGTCGTGTGAAGTTGCGCGTTTGGTTGGCAATGTGATGCATGTACTCGTCAATGCTCCATGCCCCCATGATCCGATGCACCCATGCACCAACCAACCAGCACACCCATGCACGCACCAATGAGCGTCTGCACGTATTCCGAGTCCTCCGAGACGTCGTCAAGGGCGTATGTGAGCGGGTCGGTGAGCCCCTTCACTCAACCATGACACCCCTATCCCTGCACCCATGCACCGACGCAACCATGCACCATCCATCCCGCCAACCAGCCCACCCACGCACGCACCAATGAGCGTCTGCACGTATTCCGAGTCCTCCGAGACGTCAAAGAGCGACCTTTGCAAGCACGCTCAAACACCCACGCTCAAACACCGACGCACCATGCACCCCCCAACGGACACCGCCCACCCACGCACGCACCAATGAGCGTCTGCACGTAATCCGAGTCCTCCGAGACGTCAAACAGGGACCCCACACGTGAGCCAGACCATTAGCTCACTGCCTTTGCAACCATTCACCCACGCACGCACCAATGAGAGTCTGCACGTATTCCGAGTCCTCCGAGACGTCAAAGAGCGACCCCGCGCCAAGGGCGTAAGTTAGAGAATTGGTGAGATTCTTCACTCAACCATGCACCCCTGCCCCCATGCATCCATGCACCCACGCACGCACCAATGAGCGTCTGCACGTATTCAGAGTCCTCCGAGACGTCAAACAGGGGCCCCGCGCCAAGCGCGTACGTGAGCGAGTCGGTGAGCTCGCCAAGGTAGTAGAACACCTGCATAGGCGCATGCACGAACAAGAGAAAAAAGTGTTGAACTACTTAAACTACTTCACGCTGCGTTGAGCAATGAGCACACTACAGGAGCAATCCAATGTCAGTGAGCTCTCTCAGGAAATACAACACATGCTGGGTTTACTTTTCACAATCTGACAAAAGGATTTCAGAATAACAGACAAAAACTACCTTGGACGCCAGCAAAGCTGCCAGCTCGCGATGGTCGAACGTCTCATCCTCGTACAAGCTCTCACTGAGGGGATTCAAACGGAGAGAGGGAAATGGAGAGAAGTGACGTAACAGATAGGCTTATATTTTGAGTCGACTCAGGAGTCAGCTCGCGATGGTTGTACGTCTCATCCTCGTACAAGCTCTCTCTAAGGGGAATCAACCGAAGGACAAATGGGTGGATGTGATGCGACAGACAGGCAGACTTAGACGAATTTGGATGTAAAACGAATTGATGTAAAAAAGAAACTAGCGACGAGGCAGAACGTGGAGAAATATGCCATGGCCCGGTAATAAACAGATTAAATAAACAGAAGGTGATTATAATGTGATACTTTTCGTCAATCAACCGAGTCACGACCGAGCGTCCGCAACGGTTCCCCAAATTCCGTCTGACATTACTAAACTACCTACGAATTTCGGTCTGATAACTCCGATCTAACAGATCCTGACAGATTTCGTCAACCGGGAATGATCCAAACAGATGACGAGGGAACAATATACTAAGATTCGCCACCGAGAGGCTTCCTAGCTTCCCCATCAAAACTGAGCATACTAGTGAGGAAAAAAAAAAAAATTACCTTAGGACCACTGGAAAGAAGCATGAATTCTTGTAAAAAGGTAGCTGTACCAGGAATTTTAGCAGGCTGCTACATCCTATTCGCCTCACCCCAAATGTTGAAGATATAACTTCTAGATTGTACAGGCCAGCCTATGTGAAACGAAGAAACGGGTACGAGGGAAAGCGACACGACACGGCTAGACGGCCGTAAGCTCGAAGTCAGGCCACCCGCGATCTCGATCTGAATGACCGAACCGCTTCGCATGTCATATGTCATGGTCGACTGATTTTATCCATGAGTTAGCCGAATAATCTCCTACATCCACCGTCGCGGCCGGCTGGCGAGAGTTGGCTGCTAGCGTGCCGACTCACCTGAAATCCCACACTGACTAGTTATCGCGATGGTTATCACGATGGCTGGCAGTCACAATAAGAGATGCGCCGGCCTCCAGAAAAGGTTAACGACATGACTGAACGAACTCCATGCTATAATGATCGGTATGTCAGCCTAACTAGCCAGGCTATCAAGCCAATCCGATGTGTCAGACTACGAAGCCGATCGTCTGGTAGCAGCTGGCATCTAGATCGGAGATTTAATATACAGATCTAGAATCTCCAACTTCTTTTGGAGTGTAGTATGCTAAAATCGCAGGCTGAAGCTCGAGCTCCAAACTAGAGACTGGCTACGACCGCGAGTTCAACGCACTCATGCGATTGAAGAGATTAACGGCGTCCTTACATGGTGGAGATGTTCGCGGAGATCTCGGCCCAGAACTGGCCGACGAGCAGATTCAGATTCTTAAGAGCGTACACACGGAGAGCAGGTTCCTCCTCGTCGAGCATGGCCAGCAGGCCGCTCGCGCTGGTAATTACCGTCATGGCTGCGACTAGAACCGCGAATCAACTCCGATCAACGATAGACAATTCTAGTTTTAGTCTGGATCGGGAATTAGAGCCGTTGCAGGCTCCGCACACCTGAACCTCGGAATGAATTGTTCTCGGCTCGCTGCTGGTGTAGTTGAGCTCAGTTGCGAATGAAAACAGTTTCGCGACGCTATTAACGAAAAAGCATAACTGGCGAACATTGCCGCTGTTTCGTTAGTGTTACCCGATAAATGTGTTGTGTACTTTGAATAGAAAGAGCACCAATGACACAATGTTTTAACGGGTGATCTTGTGACGAACACAGAATCAGGTAGCGGGCGTGGGGAACTGATTTTGAGTTCAGTGTGCGCTGCTCGAAATGCTACCAGATTGTACCACGACAACTCGCTATTGCACCCGACCAAAACACACATAACCAGTTTTACCTTCTCGAAAGAGACTTCCGGATTTTGATCTTTGGGGATTGTGCTCCACACACCCATTTCTAGGAGCTGTCTTTCTGAGTCCCACTTCTGACACGTAATTCGTGCAGCAAGATAAACCGTGCCAGCAGCGCCAGCTTAGTTTCAACGGCTGTATCGATCTGCGTGTTGATCGGCTTTTGCAACTATCATACTGCTCTCGTGCGGAATCTCCGCTGGTTTGAAACAGTCGACGGTCTGCTGACGGCCTGCTGATCCTCGATCTAACTTCCGCCGTTGGATTCCCGATTGCCGTGTCCTGATCGGAGATCATGGACCGTCGTCAGCAGGTACGGCGGAACAACTGTTAAGAGGTCCTATAGGTACGGGCAGTACCTTGTAACGAGTTACCCTAAGACTGGCTAATACCTTGTGACGAGTTACCTTAGGAATTGCCAGGGCATTGTAAGAGTTACCTTAAGAATGGCTAGTACGTTGTAACGAGTTACCCTAAGAATGGCAGGGTGCACCGAATCCAGACCAGATTCACCTCCGTCACCAGGTAAGGTAGGCACACTGCTATGCTTACCCTAGGGAGCTCGAGTCCACGCCAATGCCACCGCCGCAGCAGGTACGGCAGGTGTTAGGTACACTGTATCAAGTTGCGAGGCAGCTATTGTAGTGCAGGCACTGCGGGTACACTGTATCGACTAGTGAAGTATTTCCGACCGTATGCAGTCAATGATCTTCCAGTAGGGTAATTCCGACCTCGCACCTCCATTCTCAGAAGGTTGCTGGCTTCAGAAATTTTACCAGCCTGAGAAGTGTTACCAGCCTGAGGAAGGTTACCAGCATAAGACATGTTACCAGCATGAGAAATGCTATGAGCCTGAAAAATGCTAGCAGCATGAGAAATGCTGCCAGCATGAGAAGTGTTACCAGCCTGACAAATGATGCCGGCCTGAGAAATGTTACACCCCCCAAACAGGAGGTGCTGTTGCGGCTGGCTGCTACCCCTGCCAGGGCCCTCCCGTTAGAAGCCAGGGCGGAGCGGTGCCGAGCCATGCGCGAGCTGAGGCCGTGTGGGCGCACCGTGCACCACTGCCTGCTGCCCTCATTCCCCCCATCTCCCCCTTGCCCCCGAAACAGGAGGTGCTGTTGCGCCTGGCTGCTACCCCAGCAAGAGCCCTCCCCTTGGAAGCCAGAGCGGAGCGGTGCCGAGCCATGCGCGAGCTGAGGAGGCCGTGTGGGCGCACCGTGCACCACTGCCTGCTGCCCTGGACTCAACCCAACCATCCCCTTTCCCAAACAGGAGGTGCTGTTGCGCCTGGCTGCTACCCCAGCAAGAGCCCTCCCCTTGGAAGCCAGAGCGGAGCGGTGCCGAGCCATGCGCGAGCTGAGGCCGTGTGGGCGCACCGTGCACCACTGCCTGCTGCCGTGCCGCCACGCCTGCCTCTGCGGGGAGTGCGCCCAGCGCTGCTCCGCCTGCCCCGTCTGCCGCTGCCCCATCGGGGCCCCTGCTGCTGCTGCGGCAGGAGGAGCAGCAGGGGGAGGGGGAGGGGGAGGGGCAGGGGGAGTAGCAGGGGGAGGGGGAGCAGCAGGGGAAGGGGGTTCTGCGCGGCAATCCGGAGAGCGGATTCATATCCGACTGTACGACGCGTGTGTGGACGCAGGCCTTGTCAGCCCACTCAAAGACGTGGTTAAAGACTCCGGGTGGGGAGGCGGAGCAGGGGGAGGGGGAGGAGGAGTGGGGGGAGGCGGAGGGGGGATTGGGGGGCTGGGGGTGGACGCTCAGGGGTATCCCATGGACGTGCGGCGTCTGTTCGCCCTGTTTGACATTGCTCTGGACCGCGGACTCGTGACTCTTATCTGTCACTCTGAGTTGGGTTGGTGAGGGTGGGGGAGGAGGGGGGGGGGGGGGGCGGAACAGCAGGGGCCTGCCTGGGGGTGGATGCGCAGGGGTATCCCATGGACGTGCGGCGGCTGTTCGCCCTGTTTGACATTGCTCTGGACCGCGGGCTCGTCACCCTCATCTGCCACTGTGAGTTGGGCTGGTGGGGGAGGGGGTAGGAGGAAGGGAAGGGGGATGGGTGATAAGGGCCTGGGGGCAGACGCGCAGGGGTATCCCATGGACGTGTGGCGGCTGTTGGCCCTGTTTGACATTGCCCTGGACCGCGGACTCGTCACTCTCATCTGCCACTGTGAGTGGGGCTGTTATGTTAAGGGAGGGGTATAATGGGCCGGAGCAGCAGGGGCCTGGGGGTGGATGCGCAGGGGTATCCCATGGACGTGCGGCGGCTGTTCGCGCTGTTTGACATTGCTCTGGACCGAGGGCTCGTCACTCTCATCTGCCACTGTGAGTGGGGCTGCTGGGGGAGGGGGTAGGAGGAAGGGGAGGGGGATGGGTGATAAGGGGCTGGGGGTGGATGCGCAGGGGTATCCCATGGACGTGCGGCGGCTGTTCGCCCTGTTTGATATTGCTCTGGACCGCGGGCTTGTCACTCTCATCTGCCACTGTGAGTTGCTTCTAAGAATCTGCAAGAGTGGCTCATTGCCCTATCCCTCCCTCCCTACTTCCGCTGTTCGCCCCCTTTGACATTGCTCTGGACCGCGGGCTCGTCACCCTCATCTGCCACTGTGAGTTTCCAGTAAGCCTTTCAGTCGTTGACCCAACCGGCACCCCTTCGGCTGTTTGCGCTGTTTGACATTGCGTTGGACCGCGGGCTCGTTACGCTCATCTGCCATTGTGAGCTATGCTATTAGACCTTCCAGGCCTTGCCCCATCCTGCCCCCCTTTGGCTATTGATATCAATAGCCAAAAGGGGGCAGGATGGGGCAAGGCCTGCCTGCCTGCCTGCCTGCCTGCCTGCCTGCCTGCCTGCCTGCCTGCCTGCCCGCCTGCCTGCCTGCCTGCCTGCCTGCCTGCCTGCCTGACTTCCTCTCCCCCCCCCCCCAAACCCTCACCACCATCAGACGTGGAGGAGGAGGTATGCATGGACGAGGCAGCAGTCTCCAGTGACCCGGTGCTGGCGCTCCTGCCTCTTCACATGCCCCCCATTCCTGTTCCCCATTCCTGTTCCCATATTCTCAACCCCCCCACAAAACCTCAACTGCAACAGACGTGGAGGAGGAGGTGTGCATGGACGAGGCAGCAGTCTCTTCAGTGCTCTTTCTCCTGCCTCTCTCATTCCCTCCTCTTGATGCAAGGTCTCGCTACTCCTGTTCTGCCCACCCCTCCTTCCCCTCCTCCACTGTGCGTGAAACAGACGTGGAGGAGGTGTGCATGGACGAGGCAGCAGTCTCTTCAGTGCTCTTTCTCCTGCCTCTCTCATTCCCTCCTCTTGATGCAAGGTCTCGCTACTCCTGTTCTGCCCACCCCTCCTTCCCCTCCTCCACTGTGCGTGAAACAGACGTGGAGGAGGTGTGCATGGACGAGGCAGCAGTCTCTTCAGTGCTCTTTCTCCTGCCTCTCTCATTCCCTCCTCTTGATGCAAGGTCTCGCTACTCCTGTTCTGCCCACCCCTCCTTCCCCTCCTCCACTGTGCGTGAAACAGACGTGGACGAGGTGTGCATGGACGAGGCAGCAGTCTCTTCAGTGCTCTTTCTCCTGCCTCTCTCATTCCCTCCTCTTGATGCAAGGTCTCGCTACTCCTGTTCTGCCCACCCCTCCTTCCCCTCCTCCACTGTGCGTGAAACAGACGTGGAGGAGGAGGTGTGCATGGACGAGGCAGCAGTCTCTTCAGTGCTCTTTCTCCTGCCTCTCTCATTCCCTCCTCTTGATGCAAGGTCTCGCTACTCCTGTTCTGCCCCCCCTCCTTCCCCTCCTCCACTGTGCGTGAAACAGACGTGGACGAGGTGTGCATGGACGAGGCAGCAGTCTCTTCAGTGCTCTTTCTCCTGCCTCTCTCATTCCCTCCTCTTGATGCAAGGTCTCGCTACTCCTGTTCTGCCCACCCCTCCTTCCCCTCCTCCACTGTGCGTGAAACAGACGTGGAGGAGGTGTGCATGGACGAGGCAGCAGTCTCTTCAGTGCTCTTTCTCCTGCCTCTCTCATTCCCTCCTCTTGATGCAAGGTCTCGCTACTCCTGTTCTGCCCACCCCTCCTTCCCCTCCTCCACTGTGCGTGAAACAGACGAGGAGGAGGTGTGCATGGACGAGGCAGCAGTCTCTTCAGTGCTCTTTCTCCTGCCTCTCTCATTCCCTCCTCTTGATGCAAGGTCTCGCTACTCCTGTTCTGCCCACCCCTCCTTCCCCTCCTCCACTGTGCGTGAAACAGACGTGGAGGAGGAGGTGTGCATGGACGAGGCAGCAGTCTCTTCAGTGCTCTTTCTCCTGCCTCTCTCATTCCCTCCTCTTGATGCAAGGTCTCGCTACTCCTGTTCTGCCCACCCCTCCTTCCCCTCCTCCACTGTGCGTGAAACAGACGTGGACGAGGTGTGCATGGACGAGGCAGCAGTCTCTTCAGTGCTCTTTCTCCTGCCTCTCTCATTCCCTCCTCTTGATGCAAGGTCTCGCTACTCCTGTTCTGCCCACCCCTCCTTCCCCTCCTCCACTGTGCGTGAAACAGACGTGGACGAGGTGTGCATGGACGAGGCAGCAGTCTCTTCAGTGCTCTTTCTCCTGCCTCTCTCATTCCCTCCTCTTGATGCAAGGTCTCGCTACTCCTGTTCTGCCCACCCCTCCTTCCCCTCCTCCACTGTGCGTGAAACAGACGTGGAGGAGGAGGTGTGCATGGACGAGGCAGCAGTCTCTTCAGTGCTCTTTCTCCTGCCTCTCTCATTCCCTCCTCTTGATGCAAGGTCTCGCTACTCCTGTTCTGCCCACCCCTCCTTCCCCTCCTCCACTGTGCGTGAAACAGACGTGGAGGAGGTGTGCATGGACGAGGCAGCAGTCTCTTCAGTGCTCTTTCTCCTGCCTCTCTCATTCCCTCCTCTTGATGCAAGGTCTCGCTACTCCTGTTCTGCCCACCCCTCCTTCCCCTCCTCCACTGTGCGTGAAACAGACGTGGACGAGGTGTGCATGGACGAGGCAGCAGTCTCTTCAGTGCTCTTTCTCCTGCCTCTCTCATTCCCTCCTCTTGATGCAAGGTCTCGCTACTCCTGTTCTGCCCACCCCTCCTTCCCCTCCTCCACTGTGCGTGAAACAGACGTGGAGGAGGTGTGCATGGACGAGGCAGCAGTCTCTTCAGTGCTCTTTCTCCTGCCTCTCTCATTCCCTCCTCTTGATGCAAGGTCTCGCTACTCCTGTTCTGCCCACCCCTCCTTCCCCTCCTCCACTGTGCGTGAAACAGACGTGGACGAGGTGTGCATGGACGAGGCAGCAGTCTCTTCAGTGCTCTTTCTCCTGCCTCTCTCATTCCCTCCTCTTGATGCAAGGTCTCGCTACTCCTGTTCTGCCCACCCCTCCTTCCCCTCCTCCACTGTGCGTGAAACAGACGTGGAGGAGGTGTGCATGGACGAGGCAGCAGTCTCTTCAGTGCTCTTTCTCCTGCCTCTCTCATTCCCTCCTCTTGATGCAAGGTCTCGCTACTCCTGTTCTGCCCACCCCTCCTTCCCCTCCTCCACTGTGCGTGAAACAGACGTGGAGGAGGTGTGCATGGACGAGGCAGCAGTCTCTTCAGTGCTCTTTCTCCTGCCTCTCTCATTCCCTCCTCTTGATGCAAGGTCTCGCTACTCCTGTTCTGCCCACCCCTCCTTCCCCTCCTCCACTGTGCGTGAAACAGACGAGGAGGAGGTGTGCATGGACGAGGCAGCAGTCTCTTCAGTGCTCTTTCTCCTGCCTCTCTCATTCCCTCCTCTTGATGCAAGGTCTCGCTACTCCTGTTCTGCCCACCCCTCCTTCCCCTCCTCCACTGTGCGTGAAACAGACGTGGAGGAGGAGGTGTGCATGGACGAGGCAGCAGTCTCTTCAGTGCTCTTTCTCCTGCCTCTCTCATTCCCTCCTCTTGATGCAAGGTCTCGCTACTCCTGTTCTGCCCACCCCTCCTTCCCCTCCTCCACTGTGCGTGAAACAGACGTGGACGAGGTGTGCATGGACGAGGCAGCAGTCTCTTCAGTGCTCTTTCTCCTGCCTCTCTCATTCCCTCCTCTTGATGCAAGGTCTCGCTACTCCTGTTCTGCCCACCCCTCCTTCCCCTCCTCCACTGTGCGTGAAACAGACGTGGAGGAGGTGTGCATGGACGAGGCAGCAGTCTCTTCAGTGCTCTTTCTCCTGCCTCTCTCATTCCCTCCTCTTGATGCAAGGTCTCGCTACTCCTGTTCTGCCCACCCCTCCTTCCCCTCCTCCACTGTGCGTGAAACAGACGTGGAGGAGGTGTGCATGGACGAGGCAGCAGTCTCTTCAGTGCTCTTTCTCCTGCCTCTCTCATTCCCTCCTCTTGATGCAAGGTCTCGCTACTCCTGTTCTGCCCACCCCTCCTTCCCCTCCTCCACTGTGCGTGAAACAGACGAGGAGGAGGTGTGCATGGACGAGGCAGCAGTCTCTTCAGTGCTCTTTCTCCTGCCTCTCTCATTCCCTCCTCTTGATGCAAGGTCTCGCTACTCCTGTTCTGCCCACCCCTCCTTCCCCTCCTCCACTGTGCGTGAAACAGACGTGGAGGAGGAGGTGTGCATGGACGAGGCAGCAGTCTCTTCAGTGCTCTTTCTCCTGCCTCTCTCATTCCCTCCTCTTGATGCAAGGTCTCGCTACTCCTGTTCTGCCCACCCCTCCTTCCCCTCCTCCACTGTGCGTGAAACAGACGTGGACGAGGTGTGCATGGACGAGGCAGCAGTCTCTTCAGTGCTCTTTCTCCTGCCTCTCTCATTCCCTCCTCTTGATGCAAGGTCTCGCTACTCCTGTTCTGCCCACCCCTCCTTCCCCTCCTCCACTGTGCGTGAAACAGACGTGGACGAGGTGTGCATGGACGAGGCAGCAGTCTCTTCAGTGCTCTTTCTCCTGCCTCTCTCATTCCCTCCTCTTGATGCAAGGTCTCGCTACTCCTGTTCTGCCCACCCCTCCTTCCCCTCCTCCACTGTGCGTGAAACAGACGTGGAGGAGGAGGTGTGCATGGACGAGGCAGCAGTCTCTTCAGTGCTCTTTCTCCTGCCTCTCTCATTCCCTCCTCTTGATGCAAGGTCTCGCTACTCCTGTTCTGCCCACCCCTCCTTCCCCTCCTCCACTGTGCGTGAAACAGACGTGGAGGAGGTGTGCATGGACGAGGCAGCAGTCTCTTCAGTGCTCTTTCTCCTGCCTCTCTCATTCCCTCCTCTTGATGCAAGGTCTCGCTACTCCTGTTCTGCCCACCCCTCCTTCCCCTCCTCCACTGTGCGTGAAACAGACGTGGACGAGGTGTGCATGGACGAGGCAGCAGTCTCTTCAGTGCTCTTTCTCCTGCCTCTCTCATTCCCTCCTCTTGATGCAAGGTCTCGCTACTCCTGTTCTGCCCACCCCTCCTTCCCCTCCTCCACTGTGCGTGAAACAGACGTGGAGGAGGTGTGCATGGACGAGGCAGCAGTCTCTTCAGTGCTCTTTCTCCTGCCTCTCTCATTCCCTCCTCTTGATGCAAGGTCTCGCTACTCCTGTTCTGCCCACCCCTCCTTCCCCTCCTCCACTGTGCGTGAAACAGACGTGGACGAGGTGTGCATGGACGAGGCAGCAGTCTCTTCAGTGCTCTTTCTCCTGCCTCTCTCATTCCCTCCTCTTGATGCAAGGTCTCGCTACTCCTGTTCTGCCCACCCCTCCTTCCCCTCCTCCACTGTGCGTGAAACAGACGTGGAGGAGGTGTGCATGGACGAGGCAGCAGTCTCTTCAGTGCTCTTTCTCCTGCCTCTCTCATTCCCTCCTCTTGATGCAAGGTCTCGCTACTCCTGTTCTGCCCACCCCTCCTTCCCCTCCTCCACTGTGCGTGAAACAGACGTGGAGGAGGTGTGCATGGACGAGGCAGCAGTCTCTTCAGTGCTCTTTCTCCTGCCTCTCTCATTCCCTCCTCTTGATGCAAGGTCTCGCTACTCCTGTTCTGCCCACCCCTCCTTCCCCTCCTCCACTGTGCGTGAAACAGACGAGGAGGAGGTGTGCATGGACGAGGCAGCAGTCTCTTCAGTGCTCTTTCTCCTGCCTCTCTCATTCCCTCCTCTTGATGCAAGGTCTCGCTACTCCTGTTCTGCCCACCCCTCCTTCCCCTCCTCCACTGTGCGTGAAACAGACGTGGAGGAGGAGGTGTGCATGGACGAGGCAGCAGTCTCTTCAGTGCTCTTTCTCCTGCCTCTCTCATTCCCTCCTCTTGATGCAAGGTCTCGCTACTCCTGTTCTGCCCACCCCTCCTTCCCCTCCTCCACTGTGCGTGAAACAGACGTGGACGAGGTGTGCATGGACGAGGCAGCAGTCTCTTCAGTGCTCTTTCTCCTGCCTCTCTCATTCCCTCCTCTTGATGCAAGGTCTCGCTACTCCTGTTCTGCCCACCCCTCCTTCCCCTCCTCCACTGTGCGTGAAACAGACGTGGAGGAGGTGTGCATGGACGAGGCAGCAGTCTCTTCAGTGCTCTTTCTCCTGCCTCTCTCATTCCCTCCTCTTGATGCAAGGTCTCGCTACTCCTGTTCTGCCCACCCCTCCTTCCCCTCCTCCACTGTGCGTGAAACAGACGTGGAGGAGGTGTGCATGGACGAGGCAGCAGTCTCTTCAGTGCTCTTTCTCCTGCCTCTCTCATTCCCTCCTCTTGATGCAAGGTCTCGCTACTCCTGTTCTGCCCACCCCTCCTTCCCCTCCTCCACTGTGCGTGAAACAGACGAGGAGGAGGTGTGCATGGACGAGGCAGCAGTCTCTTCAGTGCTCTTTCTCCTGCCTCTCTCATTCCCTCCTCTTGATGCAAGGTCTCGCTACTCCTGTTCTGCCCACCCCTCCTTCCCCTCCTCCACTGTGCGTGAAACAGACGTGGAGGAGGAGGTGTGCATGGACGAGGCAGCAGTCTCTTCAGTGCTCTTTCTCCTGCCTCTCTCATTCCCTCCTCTTGATGCAAGGTCTCGCTACTCCTGTTCTGCCCACCCCTCCTTCCCCTCCTCCACTGTGCGTGAAACAGACGTGGAGGAGGTGTGCATGGACGAGGCAGCAGTCTCTTCAGTGCTCTTTCTCCTGCCTCTCTCATTCCCTCCTCTTGATGCAAGGTCTCGCTACTCCTGTTCTGCCCACCCCTCCTTCCCCTCCTCCACTGTGCGTGAAACAGACGTGGAGGAGGTGTGCATGGACGAGGCAGCAGTCTCTTCAGTGCTCTTTCTCCTGCCTCTCTCATTCCCTCCTCTTGATGCAAGGTCTCGCTACTCCTGTTCTGCCCACCCCTCCTTCCCCTCCTCCACTGTGCGTGAAACAGACGTGGAGGAGGTGTGCATGGACGAGGCAGCAGTCTCTTCAGTGCTCTTTCTCCTGCCTCTCTCATTCCCTCCTCTTGATGCAAGGTCTCGCTACTCCTGTTCTGCCCACCCCTCCTTCCCCTCCTCCACTGTGCGTGAAACAGACGTGGACGAGGTGTGCATGGACGAGGCAGCAGTCTCTTCAGTGCTCTTTCTCCTGCCTCTCTCATTCCCTCCTCTTGATGCAAGGTCTCGCTACTCCTGTTCTGCCCACCCCTCCTTCCCCTCCTCCACTGTGCGTGAAACAGACGTGGAGGAGGTGTGCATGGACGAGGCAGCAGTCTCTTCAGTGCTCTTTCTCCTGCCTCTCTCATTCCCTCCTCTTGATGCAAGGTCTCGCTACTCCTGTTCTGCCCACCCCTCCTTCCCCTCCTCCACTGTGCGTGAAACAGACGTGGACGAGGTGTGCATGGACGAGGCAGCAGTCTCCAGTGACCCGGTGCTCTCTGATCCCCTTGGCCCTCTACTCACCCCAGTCTCTACCCCCTGAACCCTCACCACTCCCTTCCCAAACCACCATCAGACGTGGAAGAGGTGTGCATGGACGAGGCAGCAGTCTCCAGTGACCCGGTGCTCTCCCTCCTGTTGGATCCCAGGCTTGTGCTCGAGTGGGCACAGTTGACCTTCACCTGGATAAAAAGGACGCTCAGAGATCTATGTGAGTAGCTGTGTGGAGTTCTGGATGGTTCGTATCTGAGAGCAGCAGCGGTCTCCAGTGACCCGATGCTCTCCCTCCTGCTGGACCCGAAACTTGTGCTCGAGTGTGCTCAGAGGACATTCACCGGAATCAAGAGGACGCTCAGAGATCTATGTAAGTAGATCCGTATAACTCTGCGGTTCTGTGCGGCTCCATGCGGTTCTGGGTGGTTCGTATCTGAGAGCAGCAGCGGTCTCCAGTGACCCGATGCTCTCCCTCCTGCTGGACCCGAAACTTGTGCTCGAGTGTGCTCAGAGGACATTCACCGGAATCAAGAGGACGCTCAGAGATCTATGTAAGTAGATCCGTATAACTCTGCGGTTCTGTGCGGCTCCATGCGGTTCTGGGTGGTTCGTATCTGAGAGCAGCAGCGGTCTCCAGTGACCCGATGCTCTCCCTCCTGCTGGACCCGAAACTTGTGCTCGAGTGTGCTCAGAGGACATTCACCGGAATCAAGAGGACGCTCAGAGATCTATGTAAGTAGATCCGTATAACTCTGCGGTTCTGTGCGGCTCCATGCGGTTCTGGGTGGTTCGTATCTGAGAGCAGCAGCGGTCTCCAGTGACCCGATGCTCTCCCTCCTGCTGGACCCGAAACTTGTGCTCGAGTGTGCTCAGAGGACATTCACCGGAATCAAGAGGACGCTCAGAGATCTATGTAAGTAGATCCGTATAACTCTGCGGTTCTGTGCGGCTCCATGCGGTTCTGGGTGGTTCGTATCTGAGAGCAGCAGCGGTCTCCAGTGACCCGATGCTCTCCCTCCTGCTGGACCCGAAACTTGTGCTCGAGTGTGCTCAGAGGACATTCACCGGAATCAAGAGGACGCTCAGAGATCTATGTAAGTAGATCCGTATAACTCTGCGGTTCTGTGCGGCTCCATGCGGTTCTGGGTGGTTCGTATCTGAGAGCAGCAGCGGTCTCCAGTGACCCGATGCTCTCCCTCCTGCTGGACCCGAAACTTGTGCTCGAGTGTGCTCAGAGGACATTCACCGGAATCAAGAGGACGCTCAGAGATCTATGTAAGTAGATCCGTATAACTCTGCGGTTCTGTGCGGCTCCATGCGGTTCTGGGTGGTTCGTATCTGAGAGCAGCAGCGGTCTCCAGTGACCCGATGCTCTCCCTCCTGCTGGACCCGAAACTTGTGCTCGAGTGTGCTCAGAGGACATTCACCGGAATCAAGAGGACGCTCAGAGATCTATGTAAGTAGATCCGTATAACTCTGCGGTTCTGTGCGGCTCCATGCGGTTCTGGGTGGTTCGTATCTGAGAGCAGCAGCGGTCTCCAGTGACCCGATGCTCTCCCTCCTGCTGGACCCGAAACTTGTGCTCGAGTGTGCTCAGAGGACATTCACCGGAATCAAGAGGACGCTCAGAGATCTATGTAAGTAGATCCGTATAACTCTGCGGTTCTGTGCGGCTCCATGCGGTTCTGGGTGGTTCGTATCTGAGAGCAGCAGCGGTCTCCAGTGACCCGATGCTCTCCCTCCTGCTGGACCCGAAACTTGTGCTCGAGTGTGCTCAGAGGACATTCACCGGAATCAAGAGGACGCTCAGAGATCTATGTAAGTAGATCCGTATAACTCTGCGGTTCTGTGCGGCTCCATGCGGTTCTGGGTGGTTCGTATCTGAGAGCAGCAGCGGTCTCCAGTGACCCGATGCTCTCCCTCCTGCTGGACCCGAAACTTGTGCTCGAGTGTGCTCAGAGGACATTCACCGGAATCAAGAGGACGCTCAGAGATCTATGTAAGTAGATCCGTATAACTCTGCGGTTCTGTGCGGCTCCATGCGGTTCTGGGTGGTTCGTATCTGAGAGCAGCAGCGGTCTCCAGTGACCCGATGCTCTCCCTCCTGCTGGACCCGAAACTTGTGCTCGAGTGTGCTCAGAGGACATTCACCGGAATCAAGAGGACGCTCAGAGATCTATGTAAGTAGATCCGTATAACTCTGCGGTTCTGTGCGGCTCCATGCGGTTCTGGGTGGTTCGTATCTGAGAGCAGCAGCGGTCTCCAGTGACCCGATGCTCTCCCTCCTGCTGGACCCGAAACTTGTGCTCGAGTGTGCTCAGAGGACATTCACCGGAATCAAGAGGACGCTCAGAGATCTATGTAAGTAGATCCGTATAACTCTGCGGTTCTGTGCGGCTCCATGCGGTTCTGGGTGGTTCGTATCTGAGAGCAGCAGCGGTCTCCAGTGACCCGATGCTCTCCCTCCTGCTGGACCCGAAACTTGTGCTCGAGTGGGCGCAGAGGACATTCACCGGGATTAAGAGGACGCTCAGGGACCTCTGTGAGTGGTTCTGTGCAGTTCTGTATGGTTCGGTACGGTATTGTGCGGTTCTGTGGGGTTCTTTGCTTTGCATTACAGCGTATTCCTCTTCCTCTCCGCTTCCTCCACCTCCTCCCCCTCCTCCTCCTCCTCCTCCTCCTCCTCCTCCTCCTCCTCCTCCTCCTCCTCCTCCTCCTCCTCCTCCTCCTCCTCCTCCTCCTCCTCCTCCTCCTCCTCCTCCTCCTCCTCCTCTTCTTGCTCACAATCCACTCCTCCCATCCCCCACTTACTCCTTCCTTCCCCCCTCCCTCCAGACGCCTCTGGCATCACGGATCGCCGCATGGATGATGCCACCTGCCTGGCCATGCGCCTGCAGGGGATTTCTCTCCCTCCCCCCTTAACCACCCTCTATTCCGCCCTCCTCCCTCTCGCACCCTCCCTCCCTCCCGCACCCTCCCTCCCTCCCAATCCCCCTCCCTCCAGACGCCTCTGGCATCACTGATCGTCGTATGGATGATGCCACCTGCCTGGCCGTGCGCCTGCAGGGGATTTCTCAGGTGCTGGCAACACTGCAGGGGCCAGAGGACCCCCTGGCGCAGCAGCAAGCGCAGATGCAGCAGGGGGGGGCGGAGGGGGGGAGAGGGGGGGGCGGGGGAGCGGAGGGGCGCAAGGGGCACGAGTGGGAGGCTGGGAGACTTGCAGAAGCTGTTGCAAGAGCGTCCCAGGTGAGATCATTGGTGGGGGGGACAGTGGGAAGGGGTGGGAGAGAGCAGAGCGGAGGGGTGGGAGAGGGTGGGTGGGAGACAGTCAAGGGAGGGTTGGAAAGAGGGGAAAGGAGGGGCGCAAGGGGCATGAGTGGGAGGCTGGGTGGCTGGCGGCAGAAGCGGTTGCACGAGTATCCCAGGTGAGTGAGAGGGGTAGCATTTAGAATTATGTAGCATAGTAGGAGTTCATGAATGGGAGGTAAGGAGACTGGCGGAAGCAGTTGCACGAGCATCCCAGGTGAGTGAGAGCATTAGAAATGAGGGGGGAGAGGGGGAGGCGGAAGGGGGGAGAGAGGGGAGAGAGGGGAGAGGGGGGATTGTTGGGGGAACGGAGGGGCGCTAGGGAGGCTGGGAGGCTGGCGGAAGCGGTTGCACGAACATCCCAGGTGAGAATGTTGGAAGAGGGAAACTGGGGGAGAGTGGGGAAAGGTGGGAGAAGGGGAGGGGGTGGGGGTGGGGGTGGGGGAACGGAGGGGCGCTAGGGGCACGAGTGGGAGACTGGGCGGCTGGCAGAAGCGGTTGCAAGAGCATCCCAGGTGAGCGCACTGGTGTGGACGAGGGGGAAAGGAGGGGTTGGGGAATGGATGGGGAAGGAAGGGAGAGGTCGAAGAGGGGGGAAAGGGTGGGAGACTGGGGATGGGTGTGGGATTGGGGGAAGGAGGGGTGCAGGAGGTATGAGTGGGAGGCTGGCGGAACCAGCTGTAAGGGCTTCTGAGGTGAGAGGAATAACGGTTCAGGAACAACACTTAGCAGCTGTGAGGCAGCCGTTCTCACTTAGGAACAATAACGCATAGCTAGCAAGTGAGAGGAATAGCGGTTCAGAAACAACAACACTTAGGAACCTCTACTCTTCTCTCTTTGCAGCATGTGGGCATCATGCAATGTGCTGCCAAGAACCGTTTCTTTGAGGGCCTCCCTCGTTGTTTTCATCTCTCTCACTTCCCTTTTTTGACACTGTTGTTCATGGCTGTTTCTCTGCCTGCTTGTTTCTCTCCCCTTCGCCCCACAGCATCTAGATGTGATGCAATGGGCTGCCAAGAACCGTTTCTTCGAGGGCCTCCGTCCCTCATCTTCCTCCCTCTCACCTCCTCGCCCCACTCTCCCATCCCTCAAATCCCTTGTTCGCCTCTTGCCCGCGTGCCATATCTGCAGCATCTGGACGTCATGCAATGGGCTGCCAAGAACCGTTTTTTTGAGGGACTCCCTCCCCGCCACTCCTCGCACGCCACCTGGCGCACCGTGATTCGCCAGAGGAAGCAGGCAGCCAACGAGACCGCCTGGCCGGAGTTCCTTGGCGTATCTGCTGCTGCTGGCGCTGCTGGCTTGGTGCTTGGAGCAGGAGGAGGGGGAGGAGGCAAGGGAGGGGGAGGGGGAGGGGGAGCGGGAGGGGCAAAGGAACAGCAGCAGCAGAATGGGAAGCTTTTTATCGAGGAAGCAATAGAAAGCCTCAGGGAAAGCAGCCGAGAAGGCAGTAAGGAGAGTGCAAGTGTTGCATCTGATTCCCCCTCGCTGTTGAGTTGCGACCAGCTTGATTTGCTGTCTCTCAAGCAGCCGGTGCCCACCGCACCCCCTGCTGCTTCCGGGAAGTTTCGCCTGCAGGGAGGGAGTCCAGGGTTAGTGGGTGGAGCAGGAGGAGCAGCAGCAGCGGTGGGGTTTCAATACCCGCCGGAGAATTTTCGGGCAGCAGTTGATTTTTTGTTCCTGGAGGCGGGGGCTGATCTAGCTCTGGCCAAGAAAGCAATCGTGAGTATTTTTTGTTTGTTTGTTTGTTTGTTTGTTTTTTTTTTTTCCCTCATTGTTATCATCTTTTTTTTATTATTATTATCAATATTATTTGAATCCCCCCGTTTCCCTCCATCTTCCGTTTCTTCCGCCTCCTGCTCCAGTTCCTCTATTACCTCATTGACCGCTTCTACCAGGGAGGGCAGGGCGAGGGGCAGCAGTTTCCAGACTCATAGTATCCCCCTATGCTCGTATACCCTCGCCCTTGCTCCCTCTTCCATACCTTCCTCCCTTAGTTCCTGTATTACCTCATCGATCGCTTCTACCAGGGGGGACAGGGCGAGGGGCAGCAGCAGCGGTGGCGATGGCTGGTGGAGGACTTCGGGGCGAGCATGGACGTGGGGGATGGACACGTGGTGGCTGAGCCTTTTGCGCCCTCTCTTCCCCCTTTCCTTCGCCCCTCTTCTCTCCGTCTCCCCCACGACTTCCCCTCCCCCCCCCCCCCCCCGGTTTCTGTATTACGTCATCGATCGCTTTTATCAAGGGGGGCGGAGCGAGGGGCAGCAGCGGTGGCGGGGGCTGGTGGAGGACTTTGGGGCGAGCATGGACTGCAGACAACTAACCCCTTTCTCTCCCCCTCTTCCGCCCCCTCTTCCCCACGCTTCCCCTACTGTTCAACCCTCCTTCCCCACAGTTCCTGTATTACCTGATCGATCGCTTCTACCAGGGAGGGCAGGGCGAGGGGCAGCAGCAGTGGCGGAGGCTGGGGGAGGACTTTGGGGCGAGCATGGACGTGGGCGATGGGCACGTGGTTGAATCCTCCTCTTTAACCCTCGCTCTTGCTCCCTCTTCCATACCCTCCTCCCAGTTCCTATATTACCTGATTGATCGCTTCTATCAGGGAGGGCAGAGTGAGGGGCAGCAGCAGCGGTGGCGGGGGCTGGTGGAGGATTTTGGAGCGAGCATGGACGTGGGTGATGGGCACGTGGTGGAGACCGGTGGAGACCGGTGGAGGACTGACTCCTTCTGCTCCCTCTCTTCCACCCTTCCTCGGTTCCCTCCCCCACCCCTTCCCTGCCACAGCTGCTCTACTACCTCATCGATCGCTTCTACCAGCAGAGAGAGCAGCGGTGGCGGGGGCTAGGGGAGGACTTTGGAGCGAGCATGGACGTGGGTGATGGGCACGTGGTGGAGACCGGTGGAGACCGGTGGAGGACTGACTCCTTCTGCTCCCTCTCTTCCACCCTTCCTCGGTTCCCTCCCCCACCCCTTCCCTTCCCTGCCGCAGCTGCTCTACTACCTCATCGATCGCTTCTACCAGCAGAGAGAGGGGCGGTGGCGGGGGCTGGGGGAGGACTTTGGTGCGAGCATGGACGTGGGTGATGGGCATGTGGTGGAGACGATGGTGATGGTGATGCTGGATGAAAGCACAGAGGAGGGTTTAGAGGTATGTGTTTGTTGAGTGTGGTCCTTACATACCGTCTTGCATGCACGTGGGGGATGGGCACGTGGTGGAGACGATGGTGATGGTGATGCTGGATGAAAGCACAGAGGAGGGTTTAGAGGTATGTGTTTGTTGAGTGTGGTCCTTACATACCGTCTTGCATGCACGTGGGGGATGGGCACATGGTGGAGACGATGGTGATGGTGATGCTGGATGAACAGACAGAGGAGGGACTGAAGGTATGTGCTCAACATTCTGAGAAGGGCCAGAGGCATGTGCTTGCGGGTGGGGTGTGTGAGCAAGGATGCACCATGCAGGGCGACTTTTGAGTCGACTCAAAGGTTACTTTTGAGTCGACTCAAAGGTTTGTGCTTGTGGGTGGGGTGTGTGAGCAAGGATGCACCATGCAGGGCGACTTTTGAGTCGACTCAAAGGTTACTTTTGAGTCGACTCAAAGGTTTGTGCTTGTGGGTGGGGTGTGTGAGCAAGGATGCACCATACAGGGCGACTTTTGAGTCGACTCAGAGGTTACTTTTGAGTCGACTCAAAGGTTTGTGCTTGTGGGTGGGGTGTGTGAGCACGGATGCACCATACAGGGCGACTTTTGAGTCGACTCAGAGGTTACTTTTGAGTCGACTCAAAGGTTTGTGCTTGTGGGTGGGGTGTGTGAGCACGGATGCACCATACAGGGCGACTTTTGAGTCGACTCAGAGGTTACTTTTGAGTCGACTCAAAGGTTTGTGCTTGTGGGTGGGGTGTGTGAGCACGGATGCACCATACAGGGCGACTTTTGAGTCGACTCAGAGGTTACTTTTGAGTCGACTCAAAGGTTTGTGCTTGTGGGTGGGTTGTGTGAGCACGGATGCACCATACAGGGCTGGGGGAGGAGTTTGGTGCGAGCATGCACGTGGGGGATGGGCACGTGGTGGAGACGATGGTGATGGTGATGCTGGATGAACAGACGGCAGATGGGTTACAGGTATGTGTGTTATGGGGTGTGTGTGCGAGCAAGGGTGCACGCACTATACAGGGATGGTGGAGGATTTTGGGGCATGGACGTGGGGGATGAGCATGTGGTGGAGACGATGGTGATAGTGATGCTGGATGAGCAGACGGCAGATGGATTAGAGGTGAGAGGGTTAGAAGTGGGAGCAACTGTGCTTGCACGAGTGATGGGCACGTGGTGGAGACGATGGTGATGGTGATGCTGGATGAATGCACAGAAGAGGGACTGAAGGTATGTGTTTTACGGTGCTGCATGTGGGTGCAGCTGTGCTTGCTTGCTTGTGTGCATGGACGTGGGGGATGGGCACGTGGTGGAGGCGATGGTGATGGTGATGCTGGATGAATGCACGACAGAGGGATTAGAGGTGAGGGGTGATAGACTAGTGTAGCTGTGCTTAGTGCCTTCATGCGAGCATGGACGCGTGGTGGACTTGATGGTGATGGTGCTGCTGCTGGATGAGGTGACTTTTGAGTCGACTCAAAAGTCACCTCGTTACAATGGCACACAATGGTGATGGTGCTGCTGCTGGATGAGCAAACTGAGGAGGTATGAAAGGTGAGGGGTAGAAGAGAGTGCGTGATTGCTTGCTTGCGTGCCTCTTCATCTTATGTACACTTTCTTGTCTCATCTTCTCACTGTCTGCAAGAGGTGTGTTCCCTGATATTTTTAGTTTTTAGACATCTAAAAATATCACTGTATACACGTGGCTTCTCACTGGCTGCAGTAGGCGTGTTCTCTGATAGTGAGAAGCCACTCCAAGATACCTCACGTCGCCTTTCTTCCTCCCTTTTTCTTTCCACTCCATTCCTCTTAATCTCTCCCATTTCTTTCTCCTCTTGTCATCTCATTGTCTGCTCTGCAGGAGGCTTGCTCACTGATACCTCATCTCATCTCCCTCTCCTCTGCCTCCTCTTCCTCCTCCTCCGCAGCCCCTCCCATCCATCCCCGAATTGCTCGAGTCCTCATCAAACGAGGCAAGCCCGAGCCTGCTCTCCAGATTCTCCGAACCTGCAGCCCAGGCCCGGCAATCTTCCAAGCCTGCAGCGCCCCAGGCTCGGCAACCCCCGTTTTCCCGGACCTGGCTGTGCCTCTGGAGGAAGCAGTGACTGCGCTGCGAGTGCTTATAGAGAATCGGCTCTTAACAGAGGCATTTCTGTACCTTAGAGCCTACTGCAAGCAACTACACATCAACGACCCCTCCTCCCCTCACCCACACACTGACGCTGCTGATTCTGATGCTACTGATGCTGCCGCTGATGGTGCTGATGCTGCTGGTGGTGAGAGTACTTATAACGAAGCAGCCACGAGTGCTTATACAGAAGCAGTGGATGTGCTTGTATCGGAGCTATTCTGGCTGGCAGTGCGGCACCAGGCAGTTCCCGAGGTGCTGGCCTTCCCCTGGAGGGGCAGGGAGGGAGCGGTGCTGCAGCGCTGCCTGCTGGTCCGCACAGCGCAACAACCTGAGGGGGCATGCGGCACCCTTCTTGTTCTCTTCCATGTGGAGGTGAGTTGCTTATGTGAGGGAGCAGGCATTGAAGCACAAGGCAGTGAGGCACAACACAAGTCACTGAGGCACCAGGCAGTGCCCGAGGTGCTGGCCTTCCCATGGAGGGGCAGAGAGGGGGTGGTATTGCAGCGCTGTCTCCTGGTTAGAACGGCGCAGCAACCCGAGGGGGCGTGCGGCACTCTTCTCGTTCTTTTCCACGTGGAGGTAAGCTTCTGTGTGTGTCAGTGCGTGTCCCTCTCTTCTGGCTGGCAGTGAGGCACCAGGCAGTTCCCGAGGTGCTGGCCTTCCCCTGGAGGGGCAGGGAGGGAGCAGTGCTGCAGCGCTGCTTGTTAACCCGCACAGCACAGCAACCAGAAGGGGCATGCGGCACTCTGCTTGTTCTTTTTCACGTTGAGGTAAGTTCTTTATGAGTGTATGAAAGGCCACGTGTTTGAAGAAGTGTTTTGAGACGTCTCAAAACACTTCTTTATGAGTGTGTGAAAGGGAAAAAGCACCAGGCAGCAGGCAGGCAGGTCTCATCAGGCAGTGAGGCACCAGGCAGTGCTGCAGCGCTGCTTGTTAACCCGGACAGCACAGCAACCCGAGGGGGCGTGCGGCACTCTGCTCGTTCTCTTCCATGTGGAGGTAAGCTTGTGTGTGTGTCAGTGTGTGTCCCTCTCCGCACCAGGCAGTGAGGCACCAGGCAGTGAGGCACAAGGCAGTGAGGCACCAGGCAGTGAGGCACAAGGCAGTGCCGGAGGTGCTGGCCTTCCCCTGGAGAGGCAGTAAGGGAATAATTTGTTCTTCATGTCGTTTGTTTTACGCTTTCCAATCCCGCTTTACCTCTTTCCCTCTTTCCTTCCCTGTTCCTTGTTTTGCAGAGAACATGGTACAAGGCAGCACTATCAGGACACAAGCAGGTGTGGGCTAAAGTGTGGGTGTGTTTGTTACATTCCTTATCATGTTTGCCGCTCCCCTTCCCTTGCAGAGGGCTCGTTACAAGGCAGCACTATCGGCGCACAAGCAAGTGTGGGCCATAGAGGCAGCAGTAGAGGCAGAGCAGGACAGTGAAGAGGCCAATAACGAGGATGAGGAGGGGCAGCAGGAGGAAGGGAGTGGGGATAGAGAGGAGGAGGAAGGAGGAAGTCCCATGGATGCTACTGCTGGTTCTGCTGTTGGTGGTGGTGCTGCTGGTGCGAATGGAACAAGAAAAAGGAGGAGAGGGGCGAAGAGATTGACAGTTCAGCTGCGCGAAAAGAGGATAAGGCTGCTGGTACGTGTCTGTCATTTGAAAAGCACGATAGTTTTTTTTTGCAAACGTAGTGAAATGGGGAGCTATGTAAAGTGCGTATGTAGTGTAGATATCAGTGTACAGACTTCGTGTCGTAGTGGTTTTCAAATGGTTCATTGCTGTAGATCGCAGGACAGGTTTTATCACTTGAAATGGTTTTTTCAAAAAGCAGGACAGGCTCTACCACTCGTATGAGCACAGGAGTCTGTGCTCACCCCCGCTCCGTCTCCCTGCTTCCCCTTCCCCAGGAGTCCGTGCTTCAGCTCATCGCTCCTTCCGAGCGCCAGCAGATTGTCCAAGCACACAGCAAACCCGTGCATTTGCAGCTGACGCTCTTCTCTCCCAACTTCCACCTCTTATTTTCCCCCCTCCCTGGAGTCTGTGCTTCAGCTCATCGCTCCTTCCGAGCGCCAGCAGATCGTTCAAGCACACAGGGAACCCTCTGCCTTCCCCTTCTTCCCTCTCCCACACGTTTCCCCCCTTCTTCCCCCTCACCCCTCGCTTTCCCTCCCTCCGTGCTTCAACTCATCGCCCCCACTGAACGACAGCAGATCGTTCAAGCACACGGGGAACCCTCTGCCTTCCCCACCACCATCACCCTTCCCCCCCATTCCCCTTTCTCCCATCTTCCCCATTCCCAGGAGTCAGTGCTCCAGCTAATCGCTCCTTCCGAGCGCCAGTAGATCGTTCAAGCACACGGGGAACCCTCTCCCTTCCCCACCACCACTTTCCTCCCTCCCCTGCCGGTTTCCCCCTTTTCCCCAAAAATCAGTGCTCCAGCTAATCGCTTCGTCCGAGCGCCAGCAGACCGTTCAAGCACATGAAGAACCCTCTGCCTTCCCCGCTGGCCCTCTCTGTCTCCCACCTTCCCTCTCTACTTTTCCCCACATCTGCCCCCTCCCCAGGAGTCTGTGCTCCAGCTACTCGCTCCATCCGAGCGACAGCAGATCGTTCAAGCACACGGGGAACCCTCTCCCTTCCCCACCACCACTTTCCTCCCTCCCCTGCCGGTTTCCCCCTTTTCCCCAAAAATCAGTGCTCCAGCTAATCGCTTCTTCCGAGCGCCAGCAGACCGTTCAAGCACATGAAGAACCCTCTGCCTTCCCCGCTGGCCCTCTCTGTCTCCCACCTTCCCTCTCTACTTTTCCCCACATCTGCCCCCTCCCCAGGAGTCTGTGCTCCAGCTACTCGCTCCATCCGAGCGACAGCAGATCGTTCAAGCACACGGGGAACCCTCTCCCTTCCCCACCACCACTTTCCTCCCTCCCCTGCCGGTTTCCCCCTTTTCCCCAAAAATCAGTGCTCCAGCTAATCGCTTCTTCCGAGCGCCAGCAGACCGTTCAAGCACATGAAGAACCCTCTGCCTTCCCCGCTGGCCCTCTCTGTCTCCCACCTTCCCTCTCTACTTTTCCCCACATCTGCCCCCTCCCCAGGAGTCTGTGCTCCAGCTACTCGCTCCGTCCGAGCGACAGCAGATCGTTCAAGCACACGGGGAACCGTCTGCCTTCCCCACCACACCCACCACAGCCATCCCAGACATCCCAGCCAGAACAGGACCAGTCAAACCAGACACCAAGAGTCAACCCAAGGCAGTCACCAAAGTTACTTCCGCCACAGCCCTCCCACACAAGCCCATGCAGTCAGTTCAGTCGCCCAACCCACCGCTTTCCCTCCCTCCCTCCCCCACCCATACGTTCCCCCACTTCCCAGGAGTCAGTTCTTCAACTCATTGCTCCTTCCGAGCGACAGCAGACCGTTCAAGCACATGGGGAACCGTCTGCCTTCCCCACCACAGCCATCCCAGCAAGAACAGGACCAGTCAATCCAGACACCAAGAGCCTCCCCAAGGCAATCACCAAAGTTCCTTCCGCCACAGCCCTCCCACGCAAGCCCATGCACTCGGTTCAGCCCCCCGCTGCCAAGGCCTCCTCTCCCAAAACTGCTCCCGCTCCCCACTTTGGCTCTCCCATACTTGGAGGTGGGGGAGGTGCAGCATCCCTCTCAGGTTCCCCCCTCTCGTTCCCGAAATCCTCTAGCAAATCTCAACAGCAACAGCAGCAGCAGCAGCAGAAGCAGCAGCCACTGCCACTCTTCTCCTTTCCAGCAGCTCCTGCCTCCCTTCCTCCTTTCACTTCTACTGCTACCGCTGCCCCCGCTGCTCCCGGCCAATCAGAGCTCCCGCTCCAGCGCAAACTTTTCGGATCCGGGCAGTTCGGGCAGCAGGGTCCCGTAGGTGCCGGCCCAGCGGCCTTAGCAAGGGGGGCAACAGCGCCAGTACCCCTGGAAAATGCGCAGGTGTTGCATCAGAACCCCTTGTTTGGCATGCGGGTATCCCAGGACGGATCAGAGCCTGATACCACACAGTCACAGGAGAATGCCAGGGGTGCGGCAGAGGGAGGATTGGGTGGTGCTGGTGGTGATAAGGGCCTGAGTGCTGCTGCTGCTGCTGCTGGTACTGCTGCTGCAACAACTTCTGGTGCTGCTGCTGCTGCCGGTCCTGCTGGTTCGGCAGCCCCGTTGTTTGGTTCGGGAAGCAGTTTGTTCGGAGGAGGCGGCCAATCAGGGGGAAGCGCTTTGTTCGGGGGAGGTGGGGTAACCGCGTTCAGTAAACCCAAGGGCGTGGGTCATTTCACCAGCAGCAGCAGCAACGAGCCTGCTGCAGCTTTCAAGGACTCGGTTGGTGTGTTCAGGTGAGCACTATGCAGGGTTACCTGGTTACCAGACCCTGAGTGCTATAGGGATGGTCCCTAGGTCAGCAGCAACGAGCCTGCTGCAGTTTTTAAGGACTCGGTTGGTGTGTTCAGGTGAGCTCATGGCAGTGTTATCACGCTTGACGGATGCTGTTGCTGCCAAGAGCAGAGATAATAGTGGGTGCTGTAACCAACAAATGGTACTGGTTTTTCCGTACATGCAAATCAGCTCTAGCTGCTTTCCATCCTTCACTTTTGTTCTTCTTGTCCTATTATTGTATGCCTCTTTGTATGGGGCTACAACATTTCTCATTCTATTTTTTGGTCCTGCTTACGGGCACCTTCCCGAGGTGAGAACAGCAACAACAAGAACACCTGCAAGCCAAGCTTGTGTTGGAGGCGCCTCGAAAACATCTCTCCGTTTCTTTTTTTTCTGGTGCTGGTTACAGGCCTTTTCCTGAGGTGAAAGCCACATCAACAGGAGCACCTGCAAGCCAGTCTGCCTTTGCAGCAGGCCAACCATCAGCGTCAAGCATCTTTGCATCGTCAGCGCCAGCATTCGGAACGTCAGCGCCAGCATTCGCATCGTCAGCGCCAGCATTTGCAACATCAGCGCCAGCATTTGCAACATCAGCGCCAGCATTCGGATCATCAGCGCCAGCATTTGGATCGTCAGCGCCAGCTTTCTCTTTCGCATCTGCAACTCCCTCCAGCCCTTTCTCCCAGAAAGGTCCAGACAACTCCACTGCTGCTGCTGCTTCTGCTGCTGCTGGACAGCCTTCTCCCTTACCCTCCCCTCCGCCATTCAACTTTGCAAACCCTACTGGCACTACAGCAACTTTCGGGAAGCCTTCAGGGTCATCCCCAGCCCCGAATCCTTTCCAGAAGTAACTTGCAGTGGCAGATACGGTAATTTAGGTCGACAACTGAAGGAAGGACCAACTTTGAACTGTCCCAGATGTGGACTGACTTTGAACTGCATTGTCAGGTTAGTTACAGGAGTCAGTCAAGGAATCCAGGCAGCTGATGTTGGAATTTGTGAGCAGTATGATTCAAATCCTGGATGGACATCCTCCAACTAGCATGGCTGATGTTGGAAATGTTTCAGCCCAGGGCTGGAAGCAGTAACATCTTTTCATTATTACAGAGAAAGTACAGCAAAAGACCCTGTGCTACACTTTGCCTGCGAAGTAATGTAAGCTTCCACATTCAAGGAAGCAAGCAAGAACTAGATAGCACAGATAGGAAGAAATGAGACCTAGTCATGTATGGGAGCAAACACCAGCTCCACGCACAGTGGAGCTAAAGCTGAGTATGGTAAATGTGAGAAAAAGGGGGGAGCTAAACTGGTGAAGAGGGAGGCAAAGAAAGAGAAGCGTATAACATGGAAGCAGAGCGCTTAGGTAAGAGCACAGCAGCACGCATGCTGGCGCTCCTTATTAGTTACGGCAGCTGTGAGCTGCGGTGCCATGCCATGGCGTGTCTTGTCTTTCACAATACAAGGTATCAGCATCCGCTGATTTTTATCATTACCCCACATGGACGCTTCCGAGCCCCGCAAGATGGAGCCGGACGTCATCCTCGACCGTAGCGAGCTTCATCAAAACGGGGACAAGCTTCGCGAGCTCACGGTCCCCCTGCTCGTCGTAGTACGAGGGTATCGCAATGCCGTTCTCCGGCTGAAACGCGTAGGAGAGCGGGCTGTTATCAACTATCATGGTCTTAGTCAGGTCCCTTCCGAGCATCGTCAGATCTTTGACGTAGCTATTCCTCCACCAGATGCAGGAATCCCGGAAAAGACGGTGGTGAACGAGGCAGCGCTGAGGATCTAAGAGATCGACGAGCGCGTTCGCGTAACCCGCCATGCTCGCGGTGAAAACAACCACCTCGTAGACCTGCGCGACGGCGCGGAGAAACTCCTCCACTCCGGGACGCTTATGGACGTAAATAGTAGTCAGCCGGCCGTCAACATCCAAGCTGATGACGAAATCGGCGTTCATGATCGGCGTGAAGACGGAATGAATGAGGGTTTCGTCCAAGTCGAGAACGAGAGTCTTGCGGTTGAGATGGACGGAGCGAAGCGGAGGAAGCAGCTTGGAAGTATCAAAAGGCTCGTCGGAGGGACTCAGCGGCGCCAGCTGCGGAACGGTGAAGAGGTGGTCTGACGATGCGTCGTCCGAATCTGCTTCTGCTGATGCTGCGACTGGCGTTTCGCCGCCCCGCGGAGCGCTCCAGACGATGCAGTCCGCATTCACGTCAGCTGACGTGGCATCCGAAGTTCTTACTATTGGAAAGTCCGGTTGGTCGCAGGACGGTTGTTCCGCGTCTGCAGGACGAATCCGGTCCTCGGGAAGCTTCTTCCTTCCAGGAATGAGAAATCTGAAGATTCGCAACCAGAAACCCGCAACCATGGCTTGTTGGTACGCAATCAGCGGCCACACGCATTGTGGAAACACAGCGACTGGGTCGTCAATCTGGTTCGGTTCTTGCGCGAGAGTTGATCTTTCCAAAAAGTTCATAATGACCTCCTCCGTAGCTGTCAGCTCGGCCAAAGAATCCTTTTTCCCGCATTTGCCATTGCACGATTCGCTTGAAGAAAAAAGAACCTCCAGGGTCTTGCAATCCTCCGACGATGCCTTAGATTTCGACGGTGAAGCAGTCTTTCGGTTTCTTGAAATCGACCGGCTCGGAGAAGTTGACAAACCCCAATCCGCGCTTTCGCCTCTGCTTGAGAAAAGGCCTTCATCTTCAAGCTCGACGCTGTCGTACATCTCAAAAGCCGCAAGAACCCATTGCCAGGAGTTAACGGCCATCCGCTCTGTGCGGCGGAGGAAAGCGAAAAATCCCACAAAGATTTCGGCTCTTAGAAAGTGGACTAGAAGAGTCAACAATACGGTGAAAGCCCTAACCTGTTGAAAGGACGCGGGAGCTAATTTACCGTCAAACATGGATTCATTGCAGGAATTAAATCTCTGAATACGACTTCTAGCGCACAGGTGCTCAAACACACGTAGGTTTCGGTACGCTATTTTGAAAAATAATAAACTAATTCAGGCGCTCTAGACGCGTACTCAAGCAGAAGACGTGAGACAGCTACATTCAGAACTATTTAGTTGTATCCAATTCCTGGAAGGGTAAGGAAGAAGCAAGCACTCGCGGAGCAAACCCAATGCCAAACGCATCCATCCATTGCTGCGCGTTCCCCCTCCGCCAGCTCAGCTGGGGAAGAGCAAGCTCAGCTCAGCTGTGCTTTCCCCCACCCGAAACAGCCGCCAGAGACAGCCAGAGGGCAAAATCCTGGGGGTTCCGGGGGGGAGAGGGGGGCGGGGGGAACGGAATCCTTCTTCCGCGGCGGGCCAATACCCCCGCGCAAACCCTACCGTGGCGTGCAAACCAAGGGAGGGGTTTGCGCTAGCTGGCGCAGAATGCCCGTCCCCGAATCAAAACCTGGGTGTGAGCCAGGCGCTTGGGCAGGGGGGTGAAACTGGCATGTGGGAAATTCCCTGGCCTGCCAGCTGGACCTTGAGGTTTGCGGAATATGCGGAAGGTATGGCGGACGCGTTTGTGTTTGGGGTTGTATTTCTGATGTTCCAACTGAACATTTGTGCTAGAGGGCCTTGAAAGTCCTAGATTTGTGACGCAATACCCTTGCCACCAGTTGCTACGGGGCAGCAGACTTAGCGTCGTTGATCAAGTCAGGCACCCTGGCAACGGTGGGGACCCAAATTTACAAACCCCCTCTGTGTTCAGCGATTCCAGAATAACACCAGCCAATTTTCCGTGCAACTCAGTCTGGGCACAAAGTAAATGCATCATCTCCTTAGTACGGTACCACGAAAATGTGGCATTTCAGGGTTGCCCAAGCAAAATTGCTCCCAGTTCAGCCCGCCAGCCATACTCCAAACTGACGTGAAATTTGGCGCAGCTGACGCAGGTGGCGCAGGAGCCCAGCTGGCTGGCGGCATCGCAGGGAATGCTTCAGGCATGGGCAGGCGGCTCTGCAGGAGCTCATGCGAAATGCAAACCGAGCCTTGCATGTGGTTTGGGATTCACATACCAAAAGCCAAATGCATCCGTGTCGTCCTTCATCCGCGCCAAAACTTTCGGCATCTCAAGTTTGCTTCAGAGAAGCTTACGGGCACCACACTCGATGCTTCCAGCAATTTCTCGACGACCATTTTTCAATAAACTGACATCAACAATAAAGTGAAATAATGTAAATATTGTGATTCCCACACTTGGGCAGCATCTGTGAAGTTCGGGAAATGGGTCTTGGTGTTGCTGACAATAGGCCTGGTCATTCTTAACGTCAGCCAGACCAATCAGCGAAGTGCGACACGCAATGCTATCTTCACAAGCCATTCAAAAACTTTAGCCGCCACGTGTAGGAAGCGCACACGTAGGCTCGGGAAACCAAGGCCTGGAATTTGAGCACAACGGAATGGACAACACCACCCTGGACAACAACTCGCTATGCGTATATGTTCCAGAACGTTTATGTTACGTAGATGCATCATGACACTGATGATAATTTTGTATAAACACTTTGTAAACCTAGCGTAAGAAGTCCATGTTGTGGGTACACAAGTCAGGAAAGAATACTAGGATTGTGGAACGCCGTACCATTTACATACCACAGCCAGTTTATAAATCTCTGCTCACTTACATTATTAAATCGGGGAAAGGTGACAATGTGTATCTCAAGTAGACATGCTTGAAAGGCCCATCATACAATGCATCACCAGTGCAAGGCAGCAAGATGCTACCGTGAGGGCGCGTGCCGCACTGGCCCTAGCTTGACGCCCACAGACCTCAGCCACTCGTTCCAGCTCAGACGCCTCCAATGCCAGGTCATCATCAGCAGTCACATCATCAACCTGCTCCACGTCATCTCCTGAAACTACCTGAATCCGGCTCCTAGCCCCATGATGCTGCAACGCGGAGGACACAGCTGCTTCTCCTTTTCCTCTAGCTGCTCTAGAGGACTGACTGGAGAGGAGATTATGAAAGAGGACTAGGAGAAAGGCACGCATGCCTCTTGCTGACACAGCTCCCGCTACATCCACAACCAGTCCCCGAACCTCCTTATCTGCCAAGAAGCTGGTCAGCTGACGCTGCCACGTGGAGGATAGCGCTTGGCTCCCTGAGAATGCAGCGCTTGCTGACGTGGACGCCACTTGAAGTGCGGGAGGAGGAGGAGGAGGCAGGCGACGGAAGAAGGTTGTTAACTTGCCGCGAAGAGACGCGGAAGATGCTGCGGCTGCTGCAACTGCTGATGTCTGTGGCGCGGAGATGGTTGCGTCTGGAATGCCCTGCCACATGGCGTCCTGTAACTGGCCGTCAAGCGAGCTCCTGCTACGCGGAGACAGCGATTCTGACGGAGACGGAGCTTCTGACGACGAGCCGTCAGACGACGTCGATAGCGCGACGGAAACACCCCCCGTTTGTATCACTTCCTCATACCCTGCTCCCACCCCCCCGCTTGCCGAACCCCCCTGCCTTGCCGCTCGTTCAGGCGGAATGGGCGCCATTGCGGTCGCAACGGTCGTCTCTGCTGTCCTTGTTAGAATGTGTGCTCCGACATCCTTCACAAGCTCTTGATGCCGACTCACGGCTGCGAGGATGTCATGGTAAACGTTGACGTTTCTCGTCTTCTCGATAAACGTCCCGACGGCGTTCACGGCGAATGTTGCGACGATATCCGTCAACAGAGCCTTCCCTTTCTCGTTAGTAGCCAGCTCAACCAGTATCAACTCCCATCCTGTCAGCGCCTGCCGCGACCCAGCCGCGGAAGATGCGCCAGATGCGGAGACTCCTCCTGGAGGGCTACTTAGCTTGTCTACTAGCGACACCACTAGACTCCGCATCGCTTTTCCTACCACCGCAGATGCGAACGATCGACCCTCGTCTGTGAACAGCTTATCCAAAACTGACTCCACCAATCCCAACCGTCTACCCCGCATCCCGTTGATCCCGGAAGATGTGGCGACGCCATTGGTGCCTTGAGCTGGGGATGCGCTTGCCGTTTCATCTGGACCGTTCCAGGCTGACGACAGGCACACGCCGTGGAGAACACCTTCGGTTACAGAGTACGTCGTACGTACGACGGCTCGTTGAAACTCCTCAGAGCTGGACAGCTTCAGGATCTGCCGCACGCTTCGCGGAACCTCGTCTGAATCTGACTCGATAAACGCTCGAACGTCCGTCAGTACAGTGGTGGACAGCTCAGAAGCGGCAAAAACGGCGTTGTATAACCGCGAGAAGAGGACCCATGCGTCTCGCACTCTTTGTCGCTGGCGGCGGCAATACTCGGAGTTGGAGACTTTATAGGCTATGTATATCCCGCCGCCTGCTGCGGTGGCTGCTCCTAAGATAACGGCGACCCGGCGATAGTAGACCGCACGGGTCCCCGACATGTCCGCGGAAAGGCCTGGTGGTATTTTTTTATAATCTGCTTTGACAGCGGGTTGGCGTGGTGGTTAGGGTTTCCAATATGAACGGATGGCGGGATTGAAATGCTGGGAAGAGGATGATAAGTGGAAACAACGTTCAAAGCGCGACGAACGGCGAATAGGTGACGACTTGCTGTCGCGCGGAGTTAGACCATCCAAAATACGCTGCGGAAAAGTGATGGCAACATGCACAATGCCTGTCAATCGACGGCCTCCCTAGGCAGATCAGCGTGCTTCAGAAAGCGGAGTTCGAGCAAGAAATCAACTAGTGCAGGTGCTCGAATGCCGCACAGAAGCCGTAGATTGATGACGTCCTGAATCCCGAAGCAAGGGTTTCGAAAGAGGTGCACGCACACCGCACACAGTTCACCCCTTTTTCGTCCAGCCCAGAAAGATGAATGCACGAGGAAAGAGGTTGATTTGGATCCCGAAGCTGGTGCTAAGCGATGATGCTTAGTGAAACATAATGGTTCTGGTCAACACGGGTCGGAAAAGGTAATTGAGAGGTAAGTTTACAAAAGTCATAAAGTTACCTAAGTGCGTTGTGGGTCCGTTTCAGGTCAAACTCACATCTCTCTCGACCTTGAAATGGGAGTTCGAAGAACATACGCTGGTATAGGGGTAGAATCTGTGGGCCGATTGCTGACGGCATAACAAGCCGACTAGACGTCAGACCGCACTGAGTTCTCGGATTCAGGCATGACGTGGATGCAAGCCACGTCGTCCATGAGAGGTGGAGAAGTTTCACATCTGGGACCACACAACAAGAATGAATAAAAACTATAACGAGCGTGCTTCTGTCAGAACTGTCACGATTTCGGGAATTCTAATGTTTGATCTCGAAACGTAATGTTTATCCTCTCAATTGCTTGGGGCTGTGTAGATATTCAGAAGCGTATTTCAGCAGGCGACCTTGGAAATGGCTTTTTGGACGTGTCACCTCCGATCAATCGATCGTCCACCGCACTAAAACCCTGAGTGTTGCATTTCAAACTGTCTAAAAACTTTCTGAACCGAATCAAATTTTGAACCTGCGCAGGTTCGATCAAGGGAGGTGACGCGTCCTTAGGAGGCTGCTTGCGTGTTCTGAGGTTGGCGGGCGTCATGTAGTCCCATTGGATCTCATCTCCACATGGCAAAGCACCACTACAGTAGTGCCCAATCTGAAAACCTTCACCAACCCATGTACGCCACGACCGCAGCGTCCTGCATCACCACCAGATCACCCAACCAGTTGTCTCCGTCAGCAACACCTCACCTGCGCCTCACGGAAATCAAACAAATTCTCTCCGCTATTGGACACTCTTCGTTACCGAATCCGCAAATCTAGGTTGCCCATTTACCGTGCAACAGCAGCCTCACATGTCTCTTGCAACACAAAGCAGGGCACAGGGCAGTAGTGGTACAGGAGCAGCAAGCGGGTTGTATGAAGCAAGCCGCAGTTGGGAGTGAGTAGGCGATAGTTGAGGACATGGCTGGCAGGGGAATAAAGGGGAGATAGCGCCCTGATCGGCACAGGTCAGCCCACTGAGCAGCGGGCGAGCTGTTGCTGGTTGGTCTAGTTTCAGCGACGAACAACCTTCATGCTTGTACACATTGCGTGAGCAAGCCACGCTCACAAGCTGAAGTATTTTTCCCGTTCTCCAGATAACCGGGGAGGTATCTTTTGCCTGCTTTCCGTCTCTTCTGCAGATTCGTATTTTCAGAGGATGCATTGAATCGAGACAAAATCAAAGGGGCCTGACGGTTCGCAGCGAGACTGGATTCAAGAGACACAGAAGGGAAGGATGGAAGTGATAGGGAGGGTAGAGGACGCAGCGGCATATGAGCCAGATGCAGAAGGGACGCCAGAAATGGACGGAGGATACCTGCTCGTCAAGGCACCAATGCACCCTTCCCTCCCGTTTGATCATCCTCCCATGGTTACCACCTTTTCGCCGGAATTTATCGCATTGCCTGTCGATCCGTTCCTGACGAAGCAGTCCGTCGATTTGAAGTCGAACGAGTCTCCGCCGCCAACCGCGCCTCTATCACCGCCGACGTCAGCTGACGTGCTGTCGCCGTCGTCGTCACCGGGTGTTGACGGCGTTGCGTGTCTGCCTGAAGAGGAAGTCGTTATCGACATTTCAAGCGAATTCGGAAGAACCCTTCCTGCAGATGAATCGTTGCGCGCGCTAACCACAGCGGAGCTCATGTGCGCGCTGCAGCTGGCGCAGACCCGCGCAAGAACGGCGGAAGAGTCTCTGCGCGCGTTGGAGCAAGCGGTACAGGCTGCGCGTGGGAGAGAAGCGGGAGACGCGCGGAAAGCGGTTGAACCGGGGGAAGCGCAAGAAGCGGCGATATCGAGGGAAGCGGAGGAAGCGGGGGAAGCGCAGGCTAGCGCATATGACAGGCGTCAGCCTGTGTTATACGAACCCGTTATTCAAAAACCTGTAATTCAGGGTTGGAAAGAGGCGGTTGGGGAGCTCGATGGAAAGGCAGCAGAATGCAACTGCAGTGACAAAAACAGGGATACGGTCAGTAACAGGGACAAGGATCAGGGTTATAGAGCCTCAAGTCTTCAGAGGGGAGGAGCAGACAGCGTTGTCTGCGTGTTGGATGTTTGTGACAATAACAAAAGTGACAACGGCAGCAGCGACAATGTAGGGAGCGGTTTACGAGGTGGTGGCTGGTCTCTCAACCCCTGCCGAGCGGAGCTCCCAGGAACGTTTCCCAAACCAAATTTCGTGCCAGATTCGGAACCGTTTCTTGGATTGAGTTCTACACACAATCGACGTCTCCAGCAGGCGCTGCTTTTAGCAGGCGCTGGTTCAGATGGTAGATCAGCAGCCTCAGCACAGGCCCTAGGTGCGGCGGGAACCTCAACAGCAGTCGTCCGCAGTGACGAAAGTGTGGGTGGCAGTTTTTGTCTTTACAGCGCCGGCCGATGTCCTGCTGACAGCGCCGGCCGATGTCCTGCTGACAGCGCCGGCCGATGTCTGCGAACAGCGCCGCTCCTCCTGCTCTCTCTCCTCCCTCTGCTCCTTCTGCTCCTTCTGCCCCAGCCGATTCTTCTGCCGTGGCTATGCCACCAACTCCTGATGCACTCACCGGGAGGCTGTTTGCGCAGAATTCAACAGCTCAAGGCCCTGATCATTTTGATTCCTCTGCTCTGTCTGCTTTCAGCTCAAAGAACACTTTCCACTCCTCTCTCAATGACCCGTCCGTGTCGGCTCCATCACCCTTCTCCTCAGCTTCCTCCACTTCCCTTCCATTTTCAGCATTCACCACTCGCACTTCCTTTTCGGAATCCTTTGAATTCGTTTCCCTGTCGACATCTTCTCAAACACCCAGCCCTTCAAACTCCAATCTCATTCCATATCACTCACGCATATCAGACCAGCACTTTGAGCCCTTTCAGAAGTCGTCTCAAGCACCCAGCCGTTCAAGCTCCAATCTTTTTCATCCTCCTCCATTCCACTCGAGTCTGTCAGACCAAAACCGACGAACTTCACAAGCCGTGTCATACCACTCCCTGCAACCTTCTCATACAGCTCCTTATACTTGTTACAAGAAACCTGCCAGGAGTTCTTATACCAGACAACATCCCTCGCTTGTATCGAACCTGCTTGGTGCGCTAACCCGCTTCGTTCGCCGATCCCTAGTCCTTCCCCGGCTCCTTCTGAGGATCCACCAATCATTTCTCGTTCCCCTCTTTTTAGGTTACTTCTTTGAGCAGTTCTACACCCAGAAAACACGTGGGCTTGCGGAGCCTTTATGTGAACCTCGGGAAAATGTCACAGGTGAAGTTAGGGAGTTCTCTGCTTCGGCAAATTGTAGAGGGGGGAATGGAAATTACCCTATGGACGATGATGATGTGGAGGTATTAGGGGATGGCGAAGATTCTTGGTCAATTGCATGGCTTGTTCAAGTGGTACTAGCCATGGAAGAGGGCGGTTAGGTGTGAAGATTGTTGATTAGGAACAAACTTCAACGCCGTCATGTGTAGAGGCCTTGAAATTGAGTGTACGTCTCTGTTCTATCACGTCAATTAGCTCCATTCCACACCACCTTTCTTCCCTCTATGGGTCAATGCATAAGACTTGTATGGAATTCCACCATTGCCGCCATCTACCCAGCAGCGAAGATCTTCACAACGAATCTTCCGATCGTCGCAAACTGTCGTTCATACTCAGCTGAACCTCAGCTGAGTGCTCAACGACGTCGACGACATTCCAAACGAGCTCTTTCTATTGGGTGCCTCGTTTCGTCTGCAAGGCCAGGGGCTCACTGCCCTTCTTTGACCAATCGGAATTGCGAGCCCAACCGTTCCCTTTCAGCCAGTAATCGCAAGCGGTCGCAAGACCGTCACCTGACGGACGACGTTTTTACGAGCCGCGCATCAACTAACTGACCAATCAACCCATAATAAGCACCGAAGCGCAGAATGCCCAGGCGAATTTGCAAATTTGCAGCCCCACTCGCTCATGGGATGCGCGATGCGTTCTAGCGTCGTTCGTAATTCGCAAGGCAGATTCGTAAAATTCGTTATTGTATGTTCGTGAGCTCGCAACGAAACATTTTTCTCCTTGCGCGGTCGCCGCATGGTTTCGCATACTTTCGCTTTCACACGACTATCACCATGACGGCCCAACTCTGGCTTCCATTTTTACTATCGACAGCTACACACACACAGTGCCCCTGACAAATAACTTGCGAACTCGTTCACTTGACAAGCAGATGGCTGGATTACCCTCAGGGCGAGGATTGCTTTAGCATGGGGCAAGCACGGAGGCGTGAGGGAAGGTAGGTAGTAGAAGGGAGGTGTAAAGTCGCCGTTACGGCAGCAACCTTGTCCGTCGTTTCGGCGATACCACATCACAGTAATTTATCCGCTCCCGCTCCTAGTCGGCTCGTGAGCACCAAGATGGGCCGCCTCGGGTCACCTGACTGCGGCAGTGCCAGCCGCGAATCCTGCGAACCCTGCGATGCATGCGATTCCTGCGAAGCACGCGAAGCTTGTGTCCCGCTACACAAGATTCGATCCTGCGAACCTGTACTACCAAGGACTATCACCAGACCGCACGAGCAAATAGTACTTGTTCCACCCTGGAGCGATGGACTCCGTTTAGCGACGCCTGAACTCTGGCCTCGTTTTATTTCTGGAGCGTAGCTGCTACTAGAACTAGCACTGCTAGAGCTTGTAGCACTGCAACGAGCCAGCAGCGCCGCGCTGAGAACGATTCACGTTGCAGAACAGGAGATAGTACCTGCTGTTGCGAGGTATGGTTCACAGCTGTAGGTGACTCGATGGCGGTAATGGGTGATGTGAAGACCTGCTTTTGCAAGGTTCCATTCTCTATAGTTAGACTTATTACGTTCTGGTGTTCGTCGTTCCGAGGAGCTATGAATTGCACCATCGTTTCGCAGTGATACCTTCGCTGGTCGTTTCGCGGTATTTTCTCTGGGATTTATGCTCCGAGCACCACGAGTCGTGTCTAGAGCACCGTACTCCACCACCAAGCTATCAAACCGTACGGCTGCTCTCAGAAAAAAGAAAAGGTAATTTCGCACAACCGAGCGAGGTAGAAAAGGAGGCAAAGCTCTTATCTGGCGTGCGAGGCGAACGCTGGGTGAAAGCGGCGAAATCACGGCGAGCGCAACGCGAACTTCGGCGAACGCGAGACGAAGCGTGGCGCCGTCATGGTGAAAATTGGCGGCGCGCGACTGGAGGACGTGTCGCCGTTCTTCCATCTGCCGATTGAGGAGGCGGCGCGCGAGCTTGGAGTGTGCTCTAGCGCGCTGAAGCGGCGATGCCGGCGATTGGGCATCAAGCGATGGCCGTTCCGCAAGGTACGCGCGATTCCTGCGGCACAAGAAAAAGGGGGATGTCTATTACATATTGGAGATTATTGTACTTCTGGTGTGATCATCTTGTCTTGTCCAAAACAAAAGAAATAAAGGAAAATTGAATCCTTTGCTGTTCGCCCCCTGTACTGTACCCCATCCCGGTACAGGTGCGCAGCATGAGCAACTCACTATCGCGTACGATGGAGGGCATGTGCAACGTGGGCGCGGGCGGGATCGTCCCCCCAGAATACCTCCAACCGGACGCCGCCACGCGGCTCGCGGCGCAGGTGGCCGCAGCGAATCTAATCAACCTTGACCAGACGCGCCGCCCGCTTCTGCCGTCCATGAACCGCCCGCTCATGGGCGCGCGGGGGGCGGCGGGCGCAGCAGCCGCCGCGGCGGGGGGAGACGCAGGGGCGGGCGTGGGAGAAATGGTGGCGCAGATGGGTGGAAGCGGAGGCGGCGATGGGGTGAATGGGGAAGGCGATGAGAATCAGGAGGCGGGAGCAATTGTGCTTCATATGGGTGACTCTCCTGTACTCGCTTGGGAGTCACCCGATAAGCGTGACGAGCAGAACCCGTGGGAAGGAGGAGAAGGCGGGATGGAGAGCGGTTTTCGTGGCGCTGAGCTGACCATTCGTGAGGGCGCTATGGGGGAAGGAGGTACGTTGATTTGAGGACTTGTTACGCGCTTCTTTTTCTCTCTCTCTCTCTCTCTCTCTCTCTCTCTCTCTCTCTCTCTCTCTCTCTCTCTCTCTCTCTCTCTCTCTCTCTCTCTCTCTCTCTCTCTCTCTCTCTCTCTCTCTCTCTCTCTCTCTCTCTCTCTCTCTCTCTCTCTCTCTCAACAATAATCTTGCCCCAAGTTTCCTTCTGCTCTTCCACGTTCTTAATTCCCATTTCTCATCTGTTCTTTCCATTGCTTTCCACCCGTCTCGTCCCTTCCTGCACACCGATCTCTCCTACCCACCAGGCCCGTCGCTGATGCTGTCAGTGATTCGCCACGCCGCCGCCAGCAGAGCAGAAGCAGACAAGGAGGCACCGCCAGGATATGACAGCACACACGCCATGCTGCTCTCCAACCCCTCCCCCTTCCTCCGCCCACACCACCAAACCTACCCCACCCATCCCGCCCACCCAAACAACCCAACCTACCAATCTCAACTCCCTCTCCCCGCACCTCCGCAACCTCTTCAAACCCCTCCCTCCCTCCCTCCCATGCTGAATCCAATTCCATTCTCCACCAATCATACTGCCACTACAGCTACCACCACCCCCGGCAATCCTGCTCCTGCTTTCCCTCCTCCCTTCCCCGCTCCCTTTTCTCACGCTCCTCTCTCCCTCCCACCGCCTCCCTCCTCTCTCCCCCCTCTCCGCTCTTCCTCCTCCTCCTTGGAACCACCGAGTCGACTTCTCCACATAGACCACTCGCGATTGGTGCTGCCGCCGCCCTGTGCTGACGTCAAGCCCTCTGCTGGTGACGTCATCCGTACGCCGCAGTCAGCACCTGCTGACGTCAGCCGGCCATCCTTCCAGCCGCTTTCTCTTCCAAACCTGACGGCTTGGTCCAGACCTCCCAGTACGCCTGGGAAGTTGGGTTTCCCATCAAACGAAGCAAGCTTCCAGTCAGCTTTTCCTGCCTGTCCGTCAGGTCAACTTGCCTGTCAGTCAGGTCAACCAGTCTGCCCGTCAAATAGCCAAGCCAGCGGCCCGTCAAGCACCCCAATCCACCACCCAATCATGAATTCATCAAAAACACCCATTTATCCAATCTCTACACCCGCCAACCCCGCTTCTGCAGTGTCAGTACCCATATCTACACCCGTTATTTCATTTCCCGCAACAACACCCATGATGCACTGCGGATCTACACCAAGCAGAAGCTTATCCACAGTAACAGAACCACTTCTAACGGGGAATCCTCCGCATCTCGCTCTCCCATCGCCACCACTGCCCCTCAGCCACCCACCGTTCACCCTTCGAGGCCCAGCTGGATCCACGTCAACTGTTGCCACGTCAGCAGTTGACACGTCAGCGGCGGTAGCATCAGAGGCAGGAGGGACAGGTGGACATAAGGGTTTAGAACCCCAACTGCAACCGCAGCAGCCGCAGCAGCGATTGCAACAGCAGCCGCTAATGCAGCCGCAGCAGCAGCCGTTGCAGCAGCAGCAACAGTTTGCACCGCAGCAGCAGCAGCAGCAGCAGCAGGACCAGGACCAACCAGTCATGGATCAACCATACGAGCATGGGGGTGGGGATCGACAAGGAGAGAACCATGAACAGAGTCACTATTACCAGCATCATCCGTATCACCACCAGCAGCACCAGCAGCATTACCACCACCAGCAGGAGCAGTATGAGCAGCAGCACCAGCAGCAGCAGCAGCAATGGGAAAGCATGCCGCCCTTACGCTTCGAGTCGCATCACGGGCAGGATGAAGATTTTGAGCTGCCCGAACCAGTTCTTCTAGACGGATTTTACCTCCAGGAGATTGTATTGGATGACGGAAGCTACTTTTTTACACCTCCACGTGATACACCCTTTACTCATTATAAGCTGTCTCCTTTCAAGTCCATAATCAGCAATAACAACACTGCGCAAAAAGATATGAGTGGTTGTGAGCCTATGGATACAGACTTATCAACTGCAATTGCAGCTGCTACTACCGAGGATGTGCGCATGCAGGAAGTGCTTATAACGGGAGTGGATACGCCGCAGGGAGAGCTTGGACATGCCACTAACGCGGATGGAGTGCACCACGCAGGTCAGCATGGTGGTGCGTTTGAGTTGCAAGGGGGTGTAGCGGCGAGGAAGGGAGAAGAGGGGAACGAAATGGACAGTAAGAAACGAGAGACGGAGGGGGTTCTGGAGGTGGTGGGTGGAGGGGTTGCGGCGGCAGCAACAGAGGGAGGAGAGGAGGAAGGGGTGGATAATGCTACGATACGCGTGGCAACAGCGAACGTGACTGGAGGAGCAGCGATGCAGGAAATGGCAGAACATTTGGAAAGCAAGCTGAAAAGGGAGTCTCCAGCGGGTATCACCCTGAAGAGAGCGTACAGCTGTTTTGCATTCCACTCTGACTCGCCCACGCGGACCAATCAGGACGCAGGATGGTGCCACCACGTGGGGGGCTCGTCTCCTGGTATGTGTGGACTGAACCCGCTTCAGGGTGTGTTTGAGACTCCCCATGAGCACCCTGAACCTGGTTTGTCACCTGAAACGCGCCGATTCCTCCAAAGCCTGGGTCTGCTGGGCAGCCCGAAGCTCCATAGCCCCATGGCTAGAGGTTCGGGGATCCGAAGTCCGAACCTGATGGCGTCTAGGCTCGGGAGTCCAGGGATCGCGGTGCTGAACCTGGCAGGCTCGGGAAGCAGCAGTCCGAACCTGATGGGGGCGAGGCTGATCAGCCCGGGGCTGAGGTCCAGGCTCGGGAGCCCAGCCAGAGAGAGGAGGTTCAACAGTCCGCCGAACCTGCGGCGCGCAAACCTGCACAGCCCGACCCTGAGGTCCAGGTTCAGCAGCCCGGTCAGGTTCGGCGGGGCACGAAGCAGGATGAGCCCAGGCTCGGCAAGAGGACAGGGTGATCCCAGGCAAGGGCGAAGGGAATGCAGGAGCTCTATTGAAGGCCCCCACAAGGGCTGTGCTAGTCCCGTTAAAGCCCCACATAAGGGTAGTACTACAAGCCCCGTTAAAGCCCCAATGCAAGGTGGCGATGGGATGTTTCGCAGCTCTATTGAGCCTCCACATAGAGGACATGCTAGCCCGCTGCACCTTGTGCTACCCTCATCGGCTCTTCTGGACTCCAGGAGCTGTAGAGAGCAGCCAGGAGAAAACGGGGCGGCAGAGGAGAAAGCAACAGAGCAGAAAAACCCAGGGGAGGAAAAGGCAGGGGAGAACGTGGTAGGGGAGGAGGGAGCTGCAGGGGAGAAGGGAGGTGCAGGGGAGAAGGGAAGTTCAGCGGAGGGTGGGGAAGTCGATGGCGGCAGCAAGGGCGAGAAGAATAGCAGTGGCGATGGGAATCTTGGTCCCAGGCAGGGTCCAAGTGAGATCTCGAGACAGTCCCAGAGCCGGAGTGAGAGCCCAACATTACTACTGCCAAGCTCGTCTTTCTGGATGCATAGCCCATCTCACCTTCCAGACATTCGCAGCCCTGTGAAGGCTACTGGTGCTGGGACTCATCATACTGCACGGCTGCATGCACGAATCAGCCCGTGCAGGCTCTCGGGAATCGCTGGTATTCAAAGCCCCTCAAGGCTCCTGGGGTTCCACAGTCCTTCTCAGCTCGTGAGGTTCCACAGCCCGGGCCTACCATTGGCGAGAAGCCCGTCCAGGTTCGGAGCACTTGGAACATTCTACACCCACATGCACAGCCCTGGGATTGGAGGGGTCCATAGCCCTGGTGCGATTGGTGCGTTTCACAGCCCGTCCAGGCTCGGCAGCACTGTACATAACCACATGCACCACAGCCCTGGCATGGGCGCAGTTCAGATTCCGAGCCTCCCGTCAAGGCTCGGTAGCACTGTACATACCCAGGTAGAACACCACAATTCGTCTGGTACAGGGATGGTTCATCACAGTCCTTCCAGGCTAGGCAAGGTTGTACATACGGGCACTAGCCCATGTAGAATGGGAGGCTTACAGCAGAGTCCATCAAGGTTTGGTAAGGAGAGCAGGGCGCATGCGAGTGTGCTGTTTCGGCGGGAGGAAAAAGGGCGCGGCGGGAAGGGGGCATCGTTTACAGAGATGGAGCCCATGCGCTTGGACGGTAACACAGGAAGCGAAGGTGGTACAGGAGGCAAAGGTAATACTGAAAGTGGAGGTTGTGTAGGAGGTGATGCTTGCACAGGAACTGATGGTTGTACAGGAGTGGACGGCAAGACAGGTAGAGGCCAGGGTGATACAGAAGATAATGGCTGCAAAGGAGGCGATGATGGTTCTGCCCAGAGTTGTGGCGAAAGGAATGGCAATGGTGCCGTTGGTGCTGCTGGAGGCGTTCCAAATGGCATAGAGGAAGATGTTTTCATACCAGACGCGTTGTAGTAGATCCCTAGACATTAGGAAGGCATACTGATGTTAGGGCAGTTTTGGCATGATTAAATGCATCTTCAATGTATAAGTGTCAAATGTTGAACACTTGATAAATCACATGGCATGCACCTGTCCAGTCTTCTGACGTATAGTATAGTACCTACCATAGATAAATGGAGAATCTCCAAAAAAAGGAGACGGTGAACTTTGATGGAAAAATGGAATGTAGCTTGCTGCATAAGCACAAAAATCAACCTGCACAGGTAAAAACGTCCAGGTTTCAACTCAAGAAAGAGAGTTAAGAATAAAGACATTCCGAAGTATGGTATCCATTAACTAGTGAATGAACCTACCAGGATTCAATCAAATGAAGTTTTCATGGGCCATCGAGAATGGCCTTCTCCACGTCCTCTCTGCTGAAAGAATAGCTGAACTTCCGTTCAATGTCTCTGCTCAGGTTGCCAGGTCCGCTCTTCAAGTACCTGGCGATGACAGCAGAGCATGGTGGAGAGCATGGAATAAAACTAAACTAATAAAAACAGGAGATGTTAATAAACTATCACTGATTTAAGATAGGGCTTCAAGAGGTGAGATGAAAGCAAGTGAAAGCTCATAGAGAAAGAAAAAAACTGGAATGCCAGCTTCCAGCATCACAACACAACGATGCGAGTAAATTGAAACAACCAAAAAGTTAGCCTAAGAGAACCGCTTCCTTGACCAGCTGTGCATCGCACGGCCACCTTCAGAGGATTCCTCAAGCTTGTTGATCCAAACCGGAAAACCGTCCTTCGCATTCAAATTCTCTTCTCTAACGACTCGAATATACATAAATTTGCACATTGACCGCACCTCAGACACTCACCTCACCACCGCGTCCACGTCTGTTGCATCCATGACCAGCTCCGTGTGCCGTCTCTCGGCATAAATGTCCCATGAAAGGAGACTATTATTTAGAGGTCTCCAAAAACACACCTCAGGCTCTCACCTCACGACCACATCTGTTACATCCGTGACCAGCTCCGCATGCCAGTCGCTCCGCTCAAGACGCCAGAGCTCAGGCTTCGCGGACGATTGTTGAAACCCTAACGATCGGAGCCACGCCTCGATCGACGGTAAGCTGCATGCGTATAACGCGGATGATTTGTCTGGAAGCTTCGCCAGCCAATCCTCGTCCGTGAACGAGGAAAAATCGTCTGCGACTGCAACGACGACTTTCGCACGCCTGTTTTGTAATCTTGATCCCGGAAATGCCCTACAATGGCTGTGCTTCTGCGAAAATGCGACAGACCGAAGACAAGGCAGGAGAGAAACAGGTCCTAAACGCACGCAAGCTCCTGAATTCGATGCGTGCAAAGCCTCAGAGGAGAATAGACAGGCTGGACTTGGTCGTATTGTGGAGAGACACGCCACGTCCGCCATGGCAAACTGGTTTTATTTACACAAATATGACGCTCGGCTTGCCTTCCTTGTCGGTCTGAAAGGAGGTTCGCATCTTCATAACCCCCTCAAGCCTCATCCTGCACTCACATATCTCATCCCACGCTCGGGCATCCACAAGAGATAATGTGTTGCAAACGAGCAAAGCGAGCATTTCACTAACGGGGAGAAATATCATGGCGGTTTAAGGTAGTGTTGTACGCGGTAGGCAGCTTTTCATTAGGAAATTTGGAAAACTCTCTAGAGTAACCTTGGTCAGCAAGTCTGTGGCACTGGTTCAGATACTATATTTTTACAGCGCAGTCGTTGCCCTATAAAGGGAGTGAAGCTTGGTAGCGCGAATAGGGGAGCGTTTGTTGTTGTACAAACGTACGTGGTCTCTGAGGAGCCGCTTACGTTATCTGACGCGTGATGCTAGCGGAATTTTGATACACCTTATATTTTAAATCCACGAAATTGCATAAACTTGATCCATAATGAAAGAGTACGTAGTGTCGTCATGGACAATCTTTGTACATCCATACCTGATAGATAAGATATGCATGTAAAACAATCAGGTGTAAATCTCCTATCCAATTTATTGCTGCTATCAGGCAGTATTTGCGATCTCCCTCCCTCACGACTCCCATCCCATCCCAGCCGTCTTAGAATTCAGAAGCGATACAACACTAAGGTACGATGCGTGATACTAGTCCCTACGGTTCTAAGGTAAGCCAATGAAAATTTTAAATGCCAAAACTTAAATCTAAGATCTGAAGCGCGAGAGTGTAACTGTGTTCTGCATCAGACAAAATAGCACAATTACGCAAGGAAATTGAGTGGGAACAGGAAGAGAAGAGGAAAGGAGGAATAACGTGAGGAGAAAAAAGGAAAGAAGAAGAAAGAAGGAAGGGAATAGGGAGAAAACGGTAGGAGGAAGAAAAACCGGGAAAAAGGAAGAAAAAACACAAGACGCAACCTCAAGAAAACCCCAATAGCACACACAATTGAAACCCCATCTAACCATCCCATCAAAACACCCCAACTGCACTCCCATCGAACCAAAACCCCCCCTAAACCCACCCTCTAAACCCGCATGTCTACCAAGTAGGGTGCATCCGCCCACGGAGCATCCCATCCCATCTCCTCCTCAACATCCTCCCGCTCCACCCAAACAGCCTCTGGACCTCTCATCATCGACGCCGCGCGTAACAAGATCACACGCGCCTGAGCCCGCTGCAAAGCCACACCCACGGCCGCTTTGAGTGAACCGAGCAAGTAAGCAGAGAAACCCTTTCCCGTAGCTCGCGCCGCCCCTTTCGTCTTTGCTATCTCGATCTGCGCGTCACCCTGCTTCTTAAGCCACCGTCCAAAACTCCCCCCCAAGCATCCCCATGTCTCAGCAATGAGAGGTGTGAACTGCACTCCCCTATGCCGCTGTAGAAGCGATTTGTAGTCCGCCGCCTTCCGCTTTTCTCTCTCTCTCGCGGCAAAACCCACCTTGCGCCCAATCTGTCCATGGTGCTGCGCGGATAGCGAGATAGGGTCTACCACACTAACCTCCAACGCGTGCTCTTCCCCCTCCCTCAGTTTCCGAACCGCCACATCAACCCTCTTCCCTGGGAGCAACGTGTCGTCTTCCATGGTCACAATCCCACCCGCACCCTTAGCTATCTTCGCCACCACAAACTTAACCGCATCGTGAACACGAGAAGGTGCATACTGATACTTGCAGCGAAGGGCATGATGCGGGTCAGAGGGATCAGCAAACTCAAACCCACACGCGCACTTGCCGGCCACTATCAGCTGCTGTATAGGGAGGCCTAAGCGCATGGACGCGCAGATGCTCCACTCGGCTGCGGTGAAGGTAGCCTCCTCGTGCGAAGGAACGGCAGAAACCCACGCCCCAGCCCCCGGGCCCTGAAGGGATGTCAAACGGGCCAAGGTGGCATCGTTGTGGGCCATGCCTCGAAGAGATTGAAGGCTCTCAACCGCTAGGCGACGGTGTTGTGTGGAGAAGAGCAGCACAGGGGGGTCAGCAGTGCACAAGGCAAGGGGTGGCATCTCCTGCCGGACCGACTGTGGAAGCAGATCCACTGCTCTCGCAAACCAGGGGTCCAACAAGGTCGTAGCCTCGGGCGTGCGGAAAAACTCCTCAAACATCCGCTCCTCACCTGCCACCCCCAACCGAGCCACATCGCTCACTGCTTGGCACCAGCCACATGCATACGACAGAGGACTAAGGTCAGCCGCAGATCGAATGCCAAACCCCCCGAGTCTGGCAGGAAGGTGCAGCTGTAAACGAGCCATCTGAGACTTCCCCGAATCGTGATCCCAGGTACTATCTGGAAACAGCTCCTCGAAACAATCTTCTAGCTTCATGTCCCAGTCCCGAAAAGCCTCCACAACCTCAGGTCGTGGAGGCATCGTCCGTGTGAGGTAAATCGGGCGCGCTGACACTGCGATCGCCAGCAAATGGGACGCAATCTGTGGGTGGTCAAGCAGAGGAAGCCAAGGGACAGGTGCATGCAGCTCCGTCAGCCGGCGACGCAGGCTAGCCACCTCCCAGTCCTCCTCCCCAATGGGGACCCCTACCACAGTGAGCCCCGTCCATGTCTGCTGCATGCCGGGCGGGACGGTCTCATTTCTCTCCTCCCCATCCTGGTTCCTCCCTCGCTCCCATAGCTTACACTTATGCGGCTGCACCTCCAAACCCAGCCCGTCCAATCGTTCCCGCAAGGCCTCATACTCTGCTAAAACCCGTTCCCTAGGCCCCAGGATATACGTATCATCAGCATAGCTGAGGAAGAGTAAGTCGGCCGTCTTATGGCTTGTTACGCGGATGACGTCACCCTTTTTCTTAACTCTGACGCCGAACTCGGCGTTGCAACTGCCAACTTACAAACTTTTGCCTCGGTATCCGGAGAGCACCCCAATTGGGCAAAATGCTCTCTCTTGCTCTTCAACATCCCCGCACAATCCGTTTCTCACGCTGGTAGGCATCATAGTCCTTTTGCATTGTATATATGTTTGTAACAGGTTACGACCTTAATAAAACCTTAAACCTTAAACCCATCCCAGCCGAACAAATATTCAGAAGGAACACAGAGAAGAATAAATACCTCCAGTATTCTAGAAGAGTCGATTACCTCGAACTGTTTTAGAACCGTTTCTTCTTAGAGCAGCTCTTCACGGTAATACTGCACCCTTTTCTAGCACGACGCTCTTAAGAACGTAAAATTGACGTTAGGGTTAGGTGCAAACGTGTTCCTGGGGTTCGTTTCACTGAACAACCCACGGTTGCGTGTTACTCTAAGTTACCTGTTGTTTCTAGATTGCATTCATATTCTTAACTACTCTTTGCGTGTTGTCATACCCCTCCCGTCGAACGTCACCTCTACTTACGAATTCGAATCTAAGCATTCCGCCGTCGCGTCTCGCTCTTCCTTCCGACGTGTTCCCAGCCACCCAGCTATACCCCTCTCTTTGTCTCTCCACCCTCACTTCCCCATTTTCCCAGTTTTCTCAGGAGCCTCTGAAACTTCAGAAATCAGTTACCAGCCGCAGCACACCACCAGCATCACCACCAGCAGCACCAGCACCAGCAGCAGCAGCAGCACCAGCAGCACCAGCAGTACCAGCAGCAGCACCAGCAGCGCCATTAGCAGCATCGCCAGCACCATCACCATCAGTCGACATGCATCTCTTTGTGCGAACCCTAGGAGGTACCACACTCTCCCTCCAGCTCCCGGATTCCGCTCGAGTAGCGGATCTTAAAGACCTTCTGGCCTCCAAAGGCGGTCCCGCAACCTCTTCCCGCCAACACCTCCTTTTCGAATCGCGCCTGCTATCCGATGATGCTGCGCCGCTCGCGTCCGTATTCGCGTCGCAACGCGGCGATCCAAGTCAGCATTCTCTTACGCTTCGAGACCTGACCGTTCACCAGACTTTCCTTCTGCCCGGAGGCGCGCCGCAGCCCGCAGTTCCACGGCCGAAGCTCAACTTCAATCAGCGACCGCCTCCTAACTATGTCGCCGGTCTCGGTCGCGGTGCGACGGGTTTCACCACGCGGTCCGATATCGGTCCCGCGCGGGCCGCTCCGGACATGCCGGACCGCAACGCGGCGCCGCTGGGTCGTGGGAGAGGCGCGGGAGGGGGAGCGGGGGGAGGGGAGGAGGAGGAGGAAGAAGAGGAGGAGGATACGGGGAAGGAGAAAAAGGAGGTTAAGTACGACGAGCATCAGAAGTTCGACGAATTCGAAGGGAACGATATGGGGTTGTTCGCGACGGGGGAGTATGACGAGGATGATAAAGACGCGGACGCGGTTTGGGACAGCGTCGACGAGCGCATGGACGATCGGCGGCGCGACCGGCGCGAGGCGCGGCTGAAGGAGGAGATCGAGAAGTACCGCGCGTCGAACCCGAAAATCACGGAGCAATTCGCGGATCTGAAGCGCGGCTTGGGCCAGATGTCGACCACCGATTGGGACAGCATCCCGGAAATCGGGGACTACAGTTTGCGAAACAAAAAGAAGCGGTTCGAGAGCTTTGTCCCTGTACCGGATACGCTGTTAGAGAAGGCGCGACAGGAGAAGGAGCACGTGTCGGCGCTAGATCCGAAGGGCAAAGGAGCCGTTTTGGGCGGCACTGAAACGCCATTCGCATCTCAGACACCCGTGACAGATCTGACGGCTGTGGGCGAGGGACGCGGTACAGTGCTGAGTCTGAAGCTCGATCGGCTGTCTGACAGTGTAACGGGTCAGACTGTAGTGGATCCCAAGGGTTACTTAACCGATCTAAAGTCCATGCGTATTACCTCTGACGCGGAAATTTCGGATATTAAGAAGGCGCGCCTGCTCTTAAAATCGGTGATCCAGACCAATCCGAAGCACGCCCCTGGGTGGATAGCAGCAGCGCGGCTGGAGGAACTTGCGGGGAAGCTTCAGGCAGCGAGGGGGTTTATCCAACGGGGTTGCCAGGAGTGTCCTAAAAACGAGGATGTTTGGTTGGAGGCGTGTCGGCTTTCGTCTCCTGACGCGGCTCGGGCCGTGATCGCGCGGGGGGTGAAGGAGATTCCGACATCTGTCAAGCTCTGGATGCACGCGGCCCGGCTGGAGAAGGATGACGTGGCAAAATCCCGCGTTTTAAGGAAGGCGTTAGAGCACGTGCCTGATTCGGTGCGTCTGTGGAAGGCGGTGGTGGAGTTAGCCAAAGAGGACGACGCGAGGATTCTTTTGTCCCGGGCAGTTGAATGCTGCCCGTTGCACGTGGAACTCTGGCTGGCCCTGGCCCGTCTAGAGGTCTACGAAAACGCCAAGAGGGTTCTGAATAAGGCTAGGGAGGCTTTGCCTACAGAACCGGCCATTTGGATTGCTGCTGCGAAGCTGGAAGAGGCGAATGATAATGAAGGGATGGTGGGGAAGATTATAGAGAGGGCGATAAGGGGGTTGCAGAGGGAAGGGGTGGTGATTGATAGAGAGGCTTGGATGAAGGAGGCTGAAGCAGCGGAGAGGGCAGGTTCGGTTGCCACGTGTCGCGCTATCATTCGCTCGACGGTCGGTATGGGTGTGGAGGAGGAGGATCGGAAACGAACCTGGGTGGCAGACGCGGAGGAGTGCATCAAAAGAGGTTCGGTGGAGACAGCGAGGGCGATTTTCGCGCACGTGCTGACCGTTTTTCCGGGCAAGAAGTCGGTGTGGCGGCGGGCAGCCCAGCTGGAAAAAACGCACGGGACTCGCGAGTCATTGGACGCGCTGCTCCGCCGGGCAGTCACGTACTGCCCGCAGGCCGAAGTTCTCTGGCTCATGGGGGCAAAAGAAAAGTGGCTAGCTGGGGACGTGCCGGGGGCGCGAGCTATTCTAGAAGAGGCCTATGCTGCCATTCCGGATTCTGAGGAGATCTGGCTTGCTGCTTTCAAGCTGGAATTCGAAAACAGGGAGCCGGAGCGTGCGAGGAGGCTGCTTGCAAAGGCGAGGGAGATGGGAGGGACAGAGAGAGTGTGGATGAAATCGGCGATTCTAGAGAGAGAGGTGGGGGATGTGGAGGAGGAGAAGTTTTTGCTGGAGTCCGGTTTGCGGCTCTTTCCCGGGTTTCATAAGCTCTGGCTTATGCTCGGGCAGCTGGAGGCTCGGCAGGGCAGGACCGGGGCTGCCCGGGAGATTTTTCAGCGTGGGCTTAAAAACTGCCCGGGAAGTATTTTTCTCTGGCTCTGTGCTGCGAAGCTGGAGGAAGACTTAGGTGCGGTGAGCAAGGCTCGGGCGATTCTGGAACAGGCTCGGCACAAAAACCCACAGACGCCGGAGCTGTGGCTGGCTGCGGTTCGGACAGAGGCTCGGGCCGGGAACAAGAAAGCCGCCGAAGCTACCCTAGCCAAGGCCCTCCAAGAATGCCCTAGCAGCGGTAGGCTCTGGGCAGAAGCAATTGAAATGGCACCGCGCCCGCAGAGAAAGTCACGCAGCGTTGACGCTCTGAAAAAGTGTGACCATGATGCGTACGTCGTTGCTGCGGTGGCTCGGCTTTTCTGGGCGGACCGGAAGGTCGACAAGGCTCGGAACTGGTTCGGCCGGGCCGTAACGCTAGCTCCGGAAGTGGGGGATTTTTGGGCGCAGCTGTGGAGGTTCGAGAAGGCGCATGGGAGCGAGGAGCAGAGAGCGGAGGTGGTGCGGCGGTGTGTTGCTGCCGAGCCGAGGTATGGTGAGGCGTGGACGAAAGTGGCTAAGGCGGTCGAGAATGCTCATCTGTCGACCGAGGCACTGCTGAAAAAGGTGGTGTTAGCGATGGATAGGGAGGAGGCGGCTAAGACAGCTTCTGGTGCGTCTGGTGCTCCTGCTGCTAGTAATGGCGCTGCTCCTGCTGCTGCTAACGGTGTTCCTGCTAGTGCGAATGGGTCAGCTGCTGCTGCACCAATGGCGACTGATGGGTAGCTCTCCCAGGGGAGGCGTGGAGGGAGTGGCTCTGAGGGAGGCATGAGGGAGTGGCTCTGAGGGAGGCATGAGGGAGTGGCTCTGAGGGAGGCATGAGGGAGTGGCTCTGAGGGAGGCATGAGGGAGTGGCAGGTATGGCGAGGGATGGACGAGGTTGGTGGCTAAGGCAGCGGAGATCGCTCATCTGTTGACCGAGGCGCTGTAGAGAAGGTGTGCTGGCCGTGGATATGGAGGAGGCGGCGGAGGTGCTGCCATGGATAGGGAGGAGGCGGCTAAAACTGCTGCTGCCGGTCCTTCTGCTTCTGGTGGTGCTACCTCTGGTGGTGCTACCTCTGGTGCCGGTGCTGCTAATGATGCTAACAGTGCTCCTGAGGAGTAATGGCGACTGAGAACTTCCGGTGGCTCTCCCAGTTAAGGCATGGATGAGGGTGGCAAAGGTGGTGGATGCTGGTGGAATGGAGTGGGTGTAAGGGAGCCGAGGACGAGGGCGGCCAAAAATGCGCATTTGTCGACAAATGCATTCGCACGTGTCGACACGTCCGGTTCTGCTGCTTTGATGTCGGCTGCTGTTGATGCAATGATTTGGCTCACTCTCTAGACTATGCTGCTGGTTGTTTGTTGCTGCTAGTTTCCTGCTGTGGTCACTTCCAGACTTTGCTGGTTACTCACATCACATGTCATCTCAGTAACTATTTGTGATGGTACATCCTGCTTCATCACTGGACTTTTGGACTGTTAAAGCTCTGGCCGGTCTAATTCATAGACTGATATGACTCTTGTTACATGAGTTAAAACCATTAGCCAATACAGATCTTTCAGTAGAGAGATATAACAGGCACAGCAGTTGGCTGTGCACATCTACATGCCAACTACAGTACAATAACAAAGCATACCATCCATCCATTCTCCTGTCCCATGTCTACTGACCTAAAACCCAGCCCTCTTCAGCTGGAACCAGAATCTGTCAACATACAACAAACACCTATGCTTGAGCTCTTGCCTCAGGAGTGATGCCTGATGCCCAATTTACTCCTGATAACACGTCCCACTCCACTCCTGATCAACTGTCCCTGAGCCTGCTTCCACCTACCTCTCAACGATCCAACGCTTGCTTCACGAGTGCCTTTTGTTCCGCACTCAATCGCCTTGGGAACTGCACCTCAAACTTAATCCGCAAATTCCCCTTTTTCCCAGGCTCTTTCATCGGCATACCCTCGCCTGCAACCACCTTCTCATACCCCGGTGAAATCACCTCCGTTACAGGCACTTCCAGCCGCCTCCCGTCCAGGGTGGTTACCCTCACAGTGTAACCGGTTAAAGCCTCCGCCAGGCTCAATTTCTGGGTGTAAATCAGGTCGTTGCCGTCGCGCGTGAACCTATCGTTGGGTTTCTCGTCGATGATAAAGGTTAGATCTGCTGCAAGCATGCCGGGTTGCTCGTTGCCTTTCTCTTTGAATGTGATCTTGGTGCCCTTTTTCCATCCGGGCTTCACATTGATGGTCAGGATCTCCTCCACGGGCAGCGTTTTTCTGAAATCGAAAAAAAAAGGGAGGGGAAGAAATAATGCAAAGGAGGAGGGTTATCAATTAAGCAATCCAACATTATACTATTTTTCTCTGTAAAACGTTATTTAAGACTCGAAATTTGATTGTAGCATAAACGGAGCCTCGGATCACTTACCCGCTGGCGTCCGCGATGTTTCTCGAGATCTTCAATTTCCGCGTGGATCCGGTATAGAGCTCCTCGAGAGAGCACATAAGCTTGTTCTCCACAGGAGGCGGCTTTCTGGGGCTCCTGGGGCTTCCGCCCATGGGGGAACGCGCGAAGGGGGATTCGTCTCCGCCGAACATCTCCTGGAATTGCATTCCGCCCATTCCGCCCATTCCGCCCATTCCCCCCATCCCCCCCATTCCGCCCATTCTGGGAGATCCGTTGGGTGACATCTGCGTTACGCGGATACCCGGCCCGCCAAACCCGCTGAACGAACTTCCGCCCATTCCGCCGCCGCCGAACGGGTTCGACCCGCCGAAGAACTCGGCGAAAATGTCTTCCGCGTTTCGCGGATTGAACGTACGGAAGCGCACGCCGCCGCCGCCGCCCGGTCCGCCGGGAAAGCCGCCGGGGAACCCGCCGCCATCGGCGCCGCCTGCTGCGCCGGGAGGAGGTACGCCTCCTTTAAGGCCCTCTTCTCCGTACTGGTCGTAGATCTGCCGCTTCTCTGGGTCGCTGAGAACCTGTGCATAACAAAAAAAAGGGATAAAAAAAGTGTCAGCATTCAGACGGCGTTTGAAGAATCAAAGAACGGTTTTAGTATTCACTTATAATTATAACGAGAGGTTTTTTGTCCCAGCCCGATGCGCTAAACTCGTTGCTTCTTCTTAAGAAACGGAGGGATCATTCGTGAAAGGACGAATAGGAAGTTTGACTACTAAACTATTATTTATTTCCAGAATTAAAATGAAAAATGGAAGAATGCATTCAAGTATGAAAATTCGTACCTCGTATGCTTCTGATATTTGCTTGAACTTGGCCTCCGCTGCTTCCTTGTTGTCGGGGTTTTTGTCGGGATGCCATTTCATGGCGAGCTTGCGGTAGGCCTTCTTCAGCTCGTCGTCGGTTGCGGTCTTCGGGACCGACAGCAGGCCATAGTAATCTATCCCCATCTTACAAATTAGAAAAACGATATCGCGAAAATATAATGACTCTGGAGATGAATTAAAGAATGTTTATCAGACAGGTTACCGCTTGTTGTGCTTAGAGAGGTTTAATAGGAACGAGCAGAGAGAGGAAGAGAGTTAGCTTGAGTAGCTTGCGCTGTTTGGTAACTGAATTGAGTTGTGAAATAGCTCATGCCACAAGTATTTATAGAAGAGGCGGATGGAATGTGAGAGAGGCGTGGAAGGGAAGAGCTGGAGGAAAAGGACGGAGCCGGAATGTGCTTCGCGAAGGTACACGAAGCGTGACGAATTTTCTGGAAGGTGGACGAGACAAGTGACGACGGTAACGACAGTAACAAGAGTCACGTCAGCTCTCGCGAATTTTGAGAACATTCCCGAACTCTCTCGAACTCTCCCGAATGTTCCCAAGCATTCCTTTCCGCCCGCCTTGTCTTGCGCCCCTTGGGTTTGACGCGCAAAGAGGAATCTGCCTATACACGTCCTAGTACTAGGGGGCGCGCGGGAGAGCGCGTTGCGGCTGAGCGTGGTGACGGGTGTTGGGCTGGGTGGATTGCGGGCGAGGAGAGTGGCGGCGGAGGAGAGACGAACCACACTGCAACGTAACGAACCGTTCTCAATAGCGACAGCCACTCAAGCTTTGTGATTGTGACTGAATGTTCCCCACTTCAGATGAAGCATTTTGGGTGAATGTTCGTTGCTACTGTAATGAACGTACCCACATGAACATCCTCTGTAAACAAAGCTTATCCAAATTCCTAATACGAGGCTACAAAATACCTTTGTCACCCAAGGGCCTTGTGGAGAGGTCATATATCTGTTTGATTTCTACCTTTCAGAACGTACAACCATTCCAAATGGAGACCATTCACAATTGGTGCATCATATCAACAACGCCATGGGCAGCAACTAAATTTATATATAAACCATCATATACAACAATCTAGTGTTCCCCCTCTTGCATGGAAGGATCATCATAAGCCGGCATGCCTGGACTGTAAGTACTGTAATCCTGCTCTCACCAGCCGACTTTAAAATCCCCTCAACCTGATGTTCCGCCTCTTGCAAAGAAGGATCGTCGTAGGTCAGCCCCGCAGTGTAATTCTGCTCTTATGAATCTCAAACGATAGCCTACTCCTCTCACCAGCCGGATTAAGTCGGCTCAAAAATCCCCTCAAGCCTATTATTCCCCCTCTTGCATGGAAGGATCCTCATAGGCCGGCCTGCCTAGCTGCAGTGTAATCCCGTTCTCATCACAATCAAGAGATAACCTGCTCCTCTCACCAGCCCCGATTATACTAGAGGGGTTGAAGACTTGCCTCCTGGAAGAGCCATGGCCCTGACTTCTGCTCCTCCCTAACCCTCTTCCAGTAAGTCCAGCCCCTAGGTTATCCTGCTGCTGGTGCTGCTGCTGCTGGTGCTGCTGCTGCTGCCGCTGCTGCCGCTGCTGCTGCTGCTGCTGCAGTTGCTGCTGCTGCTGCTGCTGTTGCTGCTGCTGCCGCTGCTGCTGCTGTTCCTGTTCAATCAGCAGACCCTCTCTCCACACCCCCACATCCCAAGCCTCCAATTCCGTGATAAGCTGTTGGGGAGTCACTTCGTCAAACGCACGGGAGGAGAGCAGGCGGGAGGATAGGGGAGGGGAGTTGGGAGATCCTGTGGTGTCTGTGGCTCCCGTCGCTGGTAGGCTGACGGACGTAACCAGAGGAGCAGTCATTGCAGTTTGCGGTGCAGAGGCTGCAGAAGAACCACCAGCAGACGGAGCAGAAACAGCAGCAGCAGCAGCAGCAGCAGTAGCAGCAGAAATGGAAGCAGCAGCAGCAGCAGCAGTTATGGCAGAGACATGGCCAAAGGGAGCCACTGCACTTGCACCTTCCCCTCTTTGCCTCAGACATTGCAGCAAAGCCTCAGCGCCAGGATTAACCGACTCTGCAGTCGCGACAGCAGCAAGGGAAGCGGCAGTAGCAGCGGCCGCGGCAGCAGGAGATGCAGCAGCAGGAGATGCAGCAGTGACGCAAGCTAGGGTAGTGTTAGCAGCAGGAGATCCAGCAGTGATGGAAGCTAGGTTGGTGTTAGCAGCAGGAGAAGCAGCAGAGAAAAGGGCTCGCGAGATGGCAGCAGAGATGAGAACGCGTGCAGCAAGGGAGGCGTCAGTAAGATGAGCAGAAGCAGGAGATGCAGCAGTGGCAGAAATCAGAGAAGCGTTAGCCGCAGGAGATGCAGCAGCAGCGGCGTCGGCAGTCGGTACACTGGCGTTAGTCCTAGGAGCTGCCGCAGCTGTAGCACAAGCAGTAGCATCAGCTGTAGCACGAGCTGTAGCACGAGCAGCAGCAGCAGCAGCAGCAGCAGCAGCAGCAGCAGCAGCAGCAGCAGCAGCAGCAGCAGCAGCAGCAGCAGCAGCAGCAGCAGCAGCAGCAGCAGCAGCAGCAGCAGCAGCAGCAGCAGCAGCAGCAGCCGCCGTAGCACGAGCAGAAGCAGCAGCGGCTGTAGAAGGAGAAGCATCAGCCGTCGCAAGCGAAGCAGAGGCAGCAAACGCAGCAGTAACAGCCGCAATGGTCCTCTCCTCTAGCAGCGGTGCGCTCTGAGAAGCAACAATCCTGCTTCCGGTGGTGACAGGAATAGGGTGAAGGGAAGTTGAGAACGTAGGATTGGTGCTGCTTCTGCTGAAAGTGTTGGAGGTGGTAGCGGCCGGTGCGGAGAATGTGCCTCGAGAGTTGTCGAGCCTTGAAATGTTGAAGAGCGAGTACTCCTTCCAACTCCGTTTTCGTCCCAAGGGGTTGCTTCCCGGGGAAGAGAGGGGGAAAGGTGGTGCGGCTGAAGCTGTTGCTGCTGATGGGGCTGCTGATGGTCCTGCTACTGATCGGCCGGTGGGTGAGACAGCTGGTGGCGGTAGCAGTGCTGACAGATTGCGGGATGAAGGGCATGACAACCGCCCTGATGCTGCTGACGATGCTGCTCGTGCTGATGGTGCTGCTGCTGATGGTGCTGCTGCTGACGGTGCTGCTGCTGATGGTGTTGTTGCTGATCCCCCAGTGGGTGACACAGCTGCCGGTGGAAGCGGGGCAGACAAATTGCGGGATAAAGGACGGTGATGCCTAAACCGCCCTGATGCTGCTAATGCTGCTGATGCTGCTGATGGTTCGGATGGTTCTGCTAGTGGCGCTGCTGCCAGAGCTGACGGTGCCGCTGCTGCTGCTGCTGCGGATCCCCCAGTGTGTGACACAGCTACGGGTGGGAGTGGGGCTGACATGGGCCTGGACAGCTGACACGAGAAAAGTTGGGATGCTGGCACAGTCACTGTTGACTGTGGTTCTGCTGCTGGTGATAATGGCACTGCTGCTGGCGCTGCTGCTGGGGGAACAGTTGTCCAGGAAGCTGCAGCAAAGACCCGCGTAGGGACAGCAATTGACGTTGCTGTTGGTACTAATGGATGCGTGGCTTCGGTAGCTTGGATAGCTTCTCTGGCATGGGTGGCTTGGGTGGCTTGGTTATCATGAATGGCTTGGGTAACATGGGTGCCGTGTATATTAGTTGAAATGGGAGCTGGGGCTTTAAACATGCGCTGAGATACAGGCTCCTGAAAGCTGAAACCCGTTGGAGGCATGTTCAAGTCTACCATCATGGCCACACCTCCGGGACCGGTACCTGAGAGACCACCTAAGGGAGTATCTGAGGAGCCACCTGAAGGACCAACTGAAGGACCACTTGAGGGTCCACCTGACAGGACACCTGACGGACCACCTGAGTGTCCACCTGACGGACCACCTGAGTGTCCACCTGACGGACCACCTGAGGGGCAACCAGAGAGACTACCTGAGGGTCCACCTAAAGGATCACATGAAGGTCCACCTGGAAAACCACCTGAACCTCTACCTGAAGGTCCAACCAATTTTCCACCTGGATTTTCACCTGAATCCCTGCCCAGCTCCTCCATAGAAGCAGCAGTACCCCATGTAGATCCCAAACGCCCTGGAGGAGACCCCCAATAAAATATTGGCTGTCGTGTTGCTGGGTCGGCACGCAACATGATACCAGTGCTGTTTTCAGAACTGCCGAGTGCTGCTGCTGGGGCTGTAGCCTGTGGTGCTGTTGATGGCTCAGCGTGCAACGCAATACCACTGCCGCTGCCGGGGCCGCCGCCGAGTATTGCTGGAACCTCTGGTGTTGACCGCCTAGCACGTAGCATGCTTGTGCTGCTGCTGCCGAAACTGCCGAGTGCTGTTTCCGGGGTTTGAGCCTGTGGTGCTTGCCACTGGTGAGTGAGAAGTTGCTGGTTCTGGCGAGTGTTCATGCCTGGAGTGGAAATACCTGTTTCCAAGGGACTTGGCAGTGTTACAGCTGCACTCGGAGTGAGGGGGTCTGTGTCGAGGCTTGGAAAAAGGGAGCTGTACAGGGTTGAGGGCGGCTGCTGCTGCTGCTGCTGCTGCTGCTGCTGCTGCTGCTGCTGCTGCTGCTGCTGCTGCTGCTGCTGCTGCTGCTCCTGCTCCTCCAACTGATGCTGATGCTGCTGGTGCATTTGTGATTGCTGCTGCTGCTGCGGTGACTGATGCACTGTGTGAAGCGGCGTGGGGCTGGGGATGATAGAGCAGAAGGACGCCATGAGCCGGAGGGACTCTGCCTGCGCTTCAGAAAACGCAGCGACTGCCGCTGCGGCCGCTGCTCGGTCATCATCGGCTGAATCCACCACAGCATCAAGATTGATAGCTGGTCTGAGTCCGCTGGAGACATCCATAGCAGCAGAGAAAGACCGAGTTGCTCCTGCTGCTGCAGCCGCTGCTCGGTCATCATCACCTGAATCCACCACAGCATCTAGATTGATAACTGGTCTGAGTCCACTGGAACCAGCCATAGCAGACCCTGTTGCTTCTGCTGCTGTTGCCGTATACTTTGAAAATTCTCTCAAACCAGCAAGGTTAAGGGCCGGACGAGTAAGAAAACTTGATAAGCCCACAGTTGCTGCTTGTGCTGTTGCTGCAGCTGCTCCTTCTGCTTCTTCTTCTTCTGCTGCTGCTGCTGCTGCTGCTGCTGTCGCTGCTGCCGCGGTCGGCGAATCTTGAGGGATTCTGCTCAAGTCAATGTCAAAATCGTGTGGTGACACGGCCGTTCTGCGAGCAGACGATGCCACAATGGCCTGCAGCGCAAAACCATGCTGAAGACGCTTACCAGCAGCAGTCTCAGACTGGCTCTCTCTCACGTGCTCTTCACTGGGACGACCCTGGAACTGAATCCCGGATCCAGGAGATGATCCGAACCCTAGCTCCAAGAATCCTGAAGGGAAGGCATGAGAAGGTAGTAGCAGCCTGGACGCCTCAGGATGGCTTATACTGAGAGCCGGATTCTCAAACTCCTGCGCAGCTCCCCCGAGCTGGAGCCCATCAGAATCATCATCACCTTGCTTCTCTGAGTCACCTCTGTCAAGATTGGTTTTTCCAGCTGATGCGCTCATACTGCTGTAAGATAGTGCTGTAAAAATGGCAGTTTCTTCTTCGGAAATAGAGACTGAAAGCGGCTTGGATACCTCTCTTACCCTGGAGCCTTCAAGCTTCTTAGTAAGAAGAAGAAAAAAAGGATGTGAAGAAAAATCAGAAACTCCCAATCGGTCACGGAAACTGTCTTTGCAGAACTCTCATGAGCAGCTCCTGTCCATCACAGTTCCTGACAACTACTGCAGTAAACTGAATTCTGAGACTATTCTTTCCTGATCTTTTTTATCGGCAACGGCAGCACCCCGGGTGGGCCACCAGATGCTTTTGCGGCGCGTTGCAATTATAAATTACGGCATTTTTTTTTTTCAAGTATAAGCATCTCCCGCTGTGCATCAGTTGAGACCTGCCTAGGAAGTCAAGTTTTTGGCGTAGATACATTCCGGGGTAGTGCGAGTCCACCGCCGGTCCCAAGAAAGCACCGACCCGGTCGGCCATCCCGTGTGCGTGACGTGACGTCGCTCATGCGTGAAGCGGCAAGATGGAAACCCGGAAGAAACGGGGTGATGTCATTTGCTGGTTAACTGTAGAAAGCCTCACTTTGACGGTGAAAGACTTTTCCGAATAGCCAGAGAGGATTCACATGCGGGACAGCTACATTGAGATGTAAAATGCAAGTCGGTGATGTCGATGGTGAACGGATCTGCCTTTGTCACAAGGTACTATCACGCTGACAGGTCATAAACTTAGCCGTTATACCAAGGGATTAGGAGGGCTAAGGCTTGTTTCATTCAGTATTGGATTCGCCTGCTGTAACCTCATCATCGCTAGAAGAATCCTCAGTTGCATCAACTTTGACTCGCTAAATACACCGCTTAACTCAGGCCAGCGCCACCTTATTGTTGTGCTTTTCCTGCTGGCTGGTCTGAGGAGTTGAGTTGGGAAATTGAATCTCAGCCTTCTCCACTGGATGGCAGCTCTTGCCATGAGCTCTCAGCTCATGCAAAGCTCATAACCAAGCTTTGTTGTGAGAGGTGAAAAATGCTACAGATTGTGGAATTGTCATATTTCAAGATTTCGTAGTACAGGTGGCACAGCCACGAGAGCATATGACAGAGCGGGATGCGAGGAGAAAAGGGGACGGGGAAGCAAAACGAACTGGAACAGAAGTTACTTGAACCAGCCCTGAAGTTCGAAAATTTTTCGAACCTGGTTCGGAAATTGTAGCTCGGGAATTTGGGCAGATGGGATGGGAGCGTCTCAGCCATGCAAGTTGCCGTTCTGTACGCAATGGCGTCCCGAGAACTCGGGAAATGGCTCAGAAACCCCCGTATTTATTGTCCGTTTTTTTTTAATCCACTTCAAGTGGAAAGAGCTGTGGCCTAGAATTACCCGGAAAATCAATTAAATGTCGTATGATTACTTTCATAGCGTGACCCAGCTGAACTCCTTCCAGTATCTGCGGGGATTTGAAGCCTTTTTATTGCATAGCTCCAAAAGATAGAAGGAATTTGGGGGACGACTCACGTGATGCCAGATGGGCCATCCCCACCCAGCACGTTTCCGAGCCTTATTCTGACATGTGGTGCCTGTTGGGTGAGGGACAGCAGAGCAGTCAAGCTGGCAGGGGGAGGGAATCCGCCAACCACAGGCCTAGGGAATGCCCTAAGATTGCGCGTGCATCCAGTCCCGCGCAGAAGTCTTGCAGATTACTGTACATTGTACAGTACGACCCCCAACAAAACCAGGGATATTTAGAGAATGAACCTACCGTAAGCGCCGAAGTGCAAACTTGGCTTTCAGCTGAAGTTCCAGAGCAAAGCTCGACATTTTCTACCGTTTCAATCAGTGTTTCCGCGCTAGGAAAGAAAAGGAGCGACAGTTGGAACTAAACTCAGAAACATTCACTACAGTACAATGTGAGCATTGAAATATTAATCAGATGGGCCTTTCGGTCGTACTTCCGTGGCGTCAGGCCTACAAGTTGGAGCCTGCAGACTCCCACTTGTGTATGGGCGGCATATATTAATGGACGATGGACTGAGGAGGGAGAACAGTAAGCTACCGTTGTAAGCAGCATCACATACTGTCAACGGACAAGCTATACTGAGGTTTTCAAAAACAGGTTACCCTTTTTGGGGTGTCTACCTACGGTTATCCTC